TGCGGCGGGCGGTGAATGGGCAGCAAGTGCAGCTGCTGCGGTTCGACGACGACCTTTTCGGCGCACATGATCTGCTGGCGGCTGTGTGTGTGGTGGAGGAGAGGCCATGGGTGGAGATGGGCGAGGTGATTGAGCTGGCGGGGCAGTGCGGCAACTGTGGGCTGCCTGTGACCCTCAGTAGTGCTGACATCAACACACACGCAAACAAAACGGTGAGCCAACAAACAGACGGGCGGGGAGGGCGGGGGAGGGGGAGAGGGCCTCATTCTCTCTGTGCGTCTGTCTCTGTCGTCCTGTGTGTGTCGTGTAGGCGTATGTGTCGGCTCCCCGTGTGTTGGCGCAGCTCAGGATGGTCGGCCGCCACGTCCACTTCGGCGACGGTGTGACCTTCCAGCTGTTCCAGCACGGTAATCAGGTGCGGGCCATCATCGACCAGCCCGGCTTCGAGCTGGAGGTCGACCCACCCCTCGGTGCCAACCACCCCTACCAACAGCACCGACAGCCGCATGACCCGCCCGTCCGTAACAACATTGCATATCCCTCACCGACTTTTGGCTGGCTGTCGCGGGAGGCTCGGCTCTCCTCGTGTGTGTCGTCGTTTGCCAAGGAACAGATCCTCGACCACTTCCACATGACTCACCCGAGGAACTACACTTACCGTATGATCGACAGGTCAAGAGGGGTATCACTGTGTGCTGGCACTGTCACGACACACACTGTGTGTGTGTCAGGCATGTCGACAACAGCCGGCTGAACACCCTGCTGACACAGTCCCCCCACACACCAGTGGAGGGATGCACCACCACGACATCATGCCGCTCCGTTGGCGGCTGTGCTTATCATCGTCTCGTCCTGACCGACGCTGGCCACTCGTTCGTGGCATGGATCATGATCATAAAGAGCCCCTACATGAACACCGGTCAGTCCAGACGGTACAACAACAGGGGGAGGGAGGGTAAAAAGCACACGCACACCCAGCACTCACACACACCCAGCACTCACTCTCATGCGCCGTCCGCTGCTGTCGTCTCCTGTCATTCGTTCGCAGTGGATGTGTACATCGTGACGACCGAGTCGGCTGTGTCTGGTGTGGGCGGTGCCTTCAAGGACCGCTTCCTGGAGACCACTCGGCTGGCGCGTGTGGTGCTGGGGGCCGTCATCTCAGCCATCCTTTTCGGCCAATAGACAGCTGAGGTATGCATCAAACACGACTGACACGAGCAGCAAATGCGCACACACACGACGACCACAGACAGACAGACAGACAGACAGACAGAGGGAGGGAGGGAGGGAGCAGTTCAATTGCACTCACTGCGGTTGGCCGACCACACACAGGTAAGGTGTTCGTTCGTATTGATGGATTTATGCGTGTAAGTAAAGGTATCTCGACTGACTGGCTGTCCTCTCTCTGTCTCCATGGCTGAGTGAGTGGCTGATCGACTGATTGGGTGGGGTGGTCATGATCGCATTCATCACATTCCATCCCACTCCATCCCACTTCATTGTCATGGGGCCGGTGCTGCCATAGCCTGTGCGTGCAGACGGATGACAGACGGGTTTTAGTCAAGTGGACAGACAGGTCGACGCAAAATGTGATGAATACCTGCTGGCTTGAACGAACCGTCCGTCATGATCCAATCGAACTTGAAGGGAATCTCATCGGCCGGCAGCACTGATGGATAGAAAGGATGAATCAGCTTGCTCCAAATCGGTAGATCTCACATCGGGTTACCGCCTGGAGCCGATACAGCCGCAAATGGCTCTTGCCTTTCAAGGTCGACCCTGCGCAAGCTCAGCTCCCCGAAAGCCATCTCGCCCCTCCCATTCTATGCGGTCTACAGTTACATACTTCAGGAGAGCAATGAACTCGATCATTTCGAGCCCACTTTTTCGGCCATCAGGTGACAGTTGTCGGATTCATCGTAGATGTGTTAACGGCTTGGCGTGATGGCTGACGTGGGTGCTGGTGGGACGATGGCCGCCCAGGAGCATCCCGTTAGCCACTTGTTTGTCGGCAGCCGGGGCCATCTGCCCGACATCGTCACGGTTTCCCGCCTCAGGGCCACATCGCGGCGCATCCGGGCTTCCTTCACCATCGCTGAGCTGCGCAACCGCCTTGCCAACTCACTGAGGCGTGACGGCGATGGCATCAACACCCCACAGCTGCAGCTGGTGCGGTTCGACCCATCGCTGGGGATGGGTGACCTGCTGGCGGCGGTGCGGATAGCCGAGGAGGGCGGGCGGTGGGACGAGACGCGAGAGGTGCTGCAGTGGGCCAGCCAGTGCCGCTACTGCACGCTGCCCGTCACCCTCACCAGTCCTGACATCAACAAACACGCCAACAAGACGGTAAGGCACACACAGAGGGGCGGGAGGGAACAGAGAAGCCTCACTCATTCCCTCCTCTCTCTCTGTCTGTGTGTGTCGTGTAGGCGTATAGATTGTTAGCTCGTGTGTTGGCGCAGCTAATGGTGGTCGGCCGCCACGTCGACTTCGGTGACGGCAGCTGCCTGCAGATCCTCCGCCTTGCCAACCATTGGCGTGGCAACGGTAAGGTGGGGGCCATCAAGGACCAGGCCGGGTTCCGGCTGGACGTCAACCCGAGCCTCCCTCGCGCCCTCCATCTGTATCGGCAGCACCGACTACAGCATGACCCACCAGTGGAAAGAAGCATCTCCCACTATGAAGGCCCCTGGGCGTTGAGCGTTCTCGAGGACACCGATGCGTCATTGTCGTCGTTCGCCAAGGCCATGATCCTCCACCACTTCAGCTGGACTCACCAGATCAATGACACATCATACATACTTCTAAACAGGTATCACACGAATTCCACCAGTGGCCAGAGGGGTGTTTGTGTGATTGTGTGTGTGTGTGTGTGTGTCTGTGTGTGGTTCAGGCGTGTTGGAGGCGGCCGTCTGGATGGCCTCCTCACTCAGTCGCCCCACACACCGGTGGCCGGCTGCACCACCACACTCAGCTGGAACGGTAATGTGCGGACTCTGGTGCTCACCGACGACAGCCACACCTTCGTCGCGTGGGTTTCCATTTTGTGGGAGAACTTCGGCAACGGTGAGACCGACAGACAGGCAGCTCTGCACAATGCCACATGTGTCTTCTCTGTCTGTCATTGTCTGCAGCGAGGGTTCGTGTCTCGACGACTGAGGCGCCTGCGCGTGCGAGCGGTGCCTTCAAGGACCGCTTCCCCGTGACCACTCGGCTGGCCCGTGTGGCGCTGGGGCGTGTGGCGCCGTACGTCTTCGACGGCCAAGTAGAAGACCAGCTGCAGGATGATGACGGTGCGGACAGGGGAAGAGAGGGACACACGCACACACATGGTGGCCATGGATGGATGGATGGCTGGGATTTACTTCTCTATCTGTGTGTGTGGTGTAGATTCCGACGGCCATGGCGGCGGTTGGGATGATATGGATGACGACAGCGACGATGGCACGGACACACACAGATGGATGGAGAATGTGCCTTATCTCTCTCTCTCTCTCTGTCTGTGTGTCTGAGTGTGGTGTGTGCAGATTCGGACGATGGCAGCGGCGGCAAGGGTGATGGTGTAGATGACGGCAGCGGAGAGGGCAGCGAAGGTCACAGCCGCACACTGATTAGAGCCCCCCACGTCGACCTGCCTCACATCATATTTGTGTGTGTGTGTGTGTGTTTGTGTGTGCCTTGGGCAGGTGAGGGTGGCGCAGCTGAGGCACCTACATTGTCATCGGCGGCAGCAGCGGCAGCGGCAGCAGCATCGCCGCAAGCAGTAGCACCTGAGGGAGCCGGGGGCAGCCTGCGGACGACAGCAGTGCGGACGGCATCGCAGCAGCAGGTGGAGGGAGGAGGGACAAGCGAGACGTCGACGCAACAGGTATGAATGCATGGCTGGCTGGCTGGGTATCATGCATTGCATTGCGACCATTGATTCACGTACAGGAAGACAAGTGCGAGCATATGTGCGAGCATATGTATATAGAGCTGAGGAACGTTATCTCCGAAGCCGGGTCGCAAGGTGAGTCGGTCTGTGGCACACTCTCATTGGATGGACAATGGCACCGTCTGTGTATGTGTGTGGCAGAGGCACAGCTGGCTGTGTTGCGCGATCGACTACAGCACTTGACACATCAGGACGACCACCAGCAGGTACACCAGCAGCCACACCGACACAGGCAGGCACAGGTACCAGCCCAGATGGTCTCTCCCTTTTTGTTATGCACAGGCGCCTGTCGGCAGTGCACGCGTGTCTGCACCCGCTGCTGGCGGCCCCTTAGAGAGCTCTCGTGTCGTCAACCTGCCTGTAAGGAAGACGTCTCTTCACACAAATGAGCCACCGATCTGTCTGTCCACTCACTGCGTCTATCCGTGTCGGTCTGTGCCTCACTCAGGTGAGTGCCGCGACGCCCGGCCCGGCACACAACTACCTGATGCCCAACATAGCCAGCCACTTCTACCCACAGCCCCGTCCCATCTTACCCCCCCACCCGTCTCTGTTTGCCGCCCAGCCATCGCCCCCCGCTGCCCCGCCCCACCTCACTGCACTCCCTCACCCTGCTGTCGGGCGGTTTGGGTTTGAATCGGCCAGCCCGCCGTTTGTGCTGACGTCGCCACACCGCCCCGCACCAGCCCCAGCACATCGCGACATGATGATGAACCAGCCATCGCCAGTGCAGCAGTATCACATTCACGCCGGCGCCACGGGCATGCGCCCGATGCCGTCGCCGTCGGCCAACGGGGCTGGGCGGACAGATGGCAGCCGTGCTGCACAAGGGAAGGGCAGCCAGCAGCGAGGCTGAGGCGACTGATTGCACACATAGACTGACTGACTGACTGGTGGGTGGCTGGGTGAGTGAGTGGGTGAGGGCCGACGGACGTAGCAGCTACACATCCATACAAGCGGGGGGCACGTGACTGGCTGTCTGGGATGGCACGTGTGTGTGTGCGGCTGTCTGCGTCGCTTCGTGTGTGTGTGTGTGGATAATATGAAGCAGTGGGCTGTCCGTTTGACCGTTTGTGTCAGGGGTATCGCTGGGTGTGTCGGTAACCGGCACACTCAGAGGAGTGGCGGGGAGGGAGGGGTCAGGAAGGTGACATCTGCTGATGTGCATAGACTCATCAATGCAATGCAATGTAATGCAATGCAATGCAATGCAATGGCCCATACAAAACGCCACACTATCGATACTGCCAAGCGCGCTTTGATCGCCCACGAAACGAAGGAGCCAAGTGCCCCTGGCTAATGACACGAAGCCGCTCCCTCTGTTGAGTGTGTGTGCACTGCTCACACACACACACACACCGGGCCAACCGGTATATGTCGTTTGTCGCACTGACCGATTAGACCGGCATATACCGATTCGCCCAGTCTCTGGCCGAACCCCATTGATTCAGCTGTGTGTGGCAGAGGTATCTGCACACACACGCACACACACACACACATTTGTGTCGCGGAGGCATGCACCGTCACACACACACACACACACATGTATGGGTGCTGCGTGTGTGAGTGTACCTCATGGGGCTTGGGTGGAGTGCCGCAATAGCTAACCTTTCATCATGTCCTCGCCACGCTGACGAGACACACACACACACGCAAGATACACGCCACGAGGTGTCTGTCTGTCTGTCGGCCGTGGCTGCAGTGGCCGAGCCGTCGTCTTCGTCGACTCTGACGCCCGAGGTTGAATCTCGCCCCTCCAAGCTGAAGGAAGGCGAGATGCACTTGCATGACATCGACTGGATTCACATCAGCTACACCTTCAAGGTCACTTCCTCGGTGGCGGCAGACGACGGCTATGCGTATGTGACCCTCGCGGAGATGTTGCAACATCGGCCGGCTGCTGCACAAGCCGAGAAGCGTCGAGCTGTTGGGTGGGCAAGCAGGAGTGAAGGAGTCACACATACATACATACATATGCGACTAAAGGTTTGTCACATCCATCCATTGGTTATGACTCATCGGCTGCTCATGCATTGCATTGTGTCCTGAGCATTGACACTGCTCGACTGCAGGACACACACGAAACAGAGAGAGGTCAGTCATTGACTGACACGTGTCACAGACAGACAGACAGACAGACAGACAGAGAAGTGAGACATGCATGCATTGGTCTGTCTGTGTGTTTGTGTGTGGGTTGGTTCTGCTCACACTGAGTCTGTGTGTCGATGGACTTGGGCGTGTCGATGTGCGTGTTGAGGTTGACGGGACTGGACTGGGGCTGGCTGGCTGGGCTGCTTGAGAAAGTTACGATCGGGATATAAAGATGTAGGCAACGATTCATCTTCTTGCCACAAAGACAGACAGGCAGACGGACAGACATGAGACTTCTGAGAAGTGTGCATTCAAGTTCGTGGTCGTGTGTGTGTGTGTGTGTGTGTTTTGTTCGTGGTCGCCCTCACCGGCCTCTGTGTGTTGTTCGGGATGGCAGCAAGCGACGCCGTGCTGCCGAAGGGCCGCTCGGCACTCCCCCAGTCGACACAGGTGTGGCATGCACGGAGGCAAACAACACGGGACACACACACACACGCATCGATGAAAGCGTGTTTGTGTCTGTATGCTGATGGTGCGGACCGTGCAGTCGTAACGTACCTGAGGCGGCGGTGCTGGTCCAGCAGCAGCAGCACTAGGAGACGATGGCGTCAGCCCAGGGGGCCGGGAGGGCTGCTGCACGTCCGTCTGCGAGCCAAGAGGACCCCACACGGTACGAGGAGCCGATGCGCCTGCCGCAGAAGTATTGTCCACACCCCCCTGCATGCACAGACAGACGCATACACGCAGACAGACAAAGACGATGGGTGCGCATCGGTATACGGTTGCGTACCTGAGCAGCTCTCATGTGATGGTCTGTCGCGCCCCGCTCCACCCCGCTCCACAGTACCCTCAGTCGACCCGTTGGCACCGCCCAGCGGCATTGCAGGTGCCGGCCCACCCAACACGCGCATCGCCGAGCTGCCACCACTGGGCTGTCCTGCGTGGAGGGGAGGAGGCCGTGTGGGAACAGAGGGATGGGGGTGCTGGGAGAGCGACAGCACAGACGATGGAGCAGATGGAGCGCCAGGGGCGGCCGAGGGTCTGCCGACGTCAACACGGGAACTAGACACACGCGACGCCTACAGCCATCCATGAGCCCATCCGTCAACACATACACGCCATGAACGAGTGGGTGCACGCCTTGTCTGTTTGGCTTCGTGATACGTACATCTTCGCTACTTGATGGTGACGCTGCCGCGGCTGCAGCGGCACTGGTGGGGACGCCGACAGTGATGATCTGTCAAACAAGACACATACATATGCATATACGTTCAGACATCCAGCCATCGACAGACAGGCAGGGTTTTTCTCACCTTTTCGAATGTCGCGGCGCCTGATGTCTCGGCAGGCCGGGGGTCCAACATCTGCACACACACACACACACACACACAAACACGCAGAGAGAGAGAGAGAGAGAGACCAACAATTGTGGCACCGGCCTACCGCCCGTGTGCGTACAGTACCTTGGCCCAGTCGTCCTTCTCCTTGGCGCTCTGGCCGTCTTGGGAGCCACTCGGAGAGGCAGCGGTCACGATCTGTCACACCATCAGACACACACACCCAGCCAGAGGCGCATATAAAGGTGCGTTGTGTAACGTGTTGCTCTACCTTCTGGAATGGCACGCCGCTCCCGGTGTCCTCTGCAGCAGGCGTGACAGCGAACATCTGGACCGCAGGCAGGAGAGACACACACACAGACCAATCCACCGCTCATTCAGGCATGTCAGCTCCTCTAGAGATGCACCCCATCCCGGAGTGTGTGTATGTCCACCTACCTCCTGCACGTCTGCCTCGTCCTTTGATGACAGCTGGAGGCGATCATCTCCCTCAAGCGCTATGAAGGGTCCCCCATCAAGGCCACCTTGTCAATGTCGTGGTGGTTGATGTGGAGCAGCGCCTTCTCCAGGGGCAGCAGAAGTTCGCTGAGGCTGCACCGCTGCTCGGGGAGGGGCTGGAGGGCCTTCGTCGACACGTCCATCATCACACCCACGACGTATGTGCCGATGGCCATGAGCGATGGAGAGACGCCTGGGGCTGCACTGTCGTCCAGCCGGACGGCGGCGTCCTGCAGCTGGGGGAGCGTGTGCCGCCACGCGAGCAGCCGCTCCTTGCCGTACAGCACCTCATCCTCTTTGCCGTTGAGATGGATGCCCGCAGCCGTGGCCAGGCTCAGGAGCAAGTCTGTCCTACAGGAGAGTGAGTGCTGCAGGGCGGGGCCGGCTTCAAAGACGACCATGGCCTCGCCGTCCACCACCATTTCCACCCGCTGTCCGTCGACGCACACGACGTATCCCCCCGCCGCCCACTCGTCCAGGACCGTGTCGAGCCGCCGATACAGGTTCTGGTAGCGGCTCGCGGTGGGTGGGTCAGACCCGGCCAGCCCCCGCCCCTCCCTCCGCCACTGCTCGACGACGAAGACCCCCACCTCGGGAGCCTCCTCCAGCGGCTTGCCCTAGGGCTTGCCCATGGGTATCTGGCCGATGCGCCTCTCCTCGCCGAGGTCGAACGGCACAAAGGCAAACAGGCGTCACTGTTGCTGTCACGGCCGAGGGCGTCTGGGAGGCTGAGGCCGGAGGGGTATTTGTCCTGCAGGTACCGGCGAACGGTGCCGGGCGAGTTGAGCAGAATGGTGTTGGCGGCACACGCTGCATCGCAGTGGCACATTCTGGAACAGACGCAGTCGACAGCAAAAGGTTGCTGTTCAATGCATCAAAAAAATTCGTCCCGTCCCTTGTCCCGTCCCGTCCGCTGAATTCTCGACGTCAATGCCCCCCAGTCTCGCGATCGCCCAGGAGGTCAAACCATGACTTCCAGGCCACTTGTGTCAAAATCTGTCAGTTTGCGCTGTCGTGACTCAAAAGTCTCGTCTGTTACGGACTTTTGTCCCTGTTTGTATGCACATCCATTCCAAGATCCATTCTTCGCATCGATTTGTCATGAAGAGGGCATCCAGCTCGTGTCTCAGAAACAACCTCCGTGTGTTGGCTGCGCTTCGCTTCGCGTGCTGGTGTTTCGTCGACTTATGCTGCTTCAGCCATCAGGGTCTAGCTATCGCCTGGCTCTTATGTATATATGTGTCTTTTGTTCTTTTGTTTCGGTTCGTCCACCCATCCCACCACACCCCACTCCACCCAACTGACGCACGCGAGGCCCCCTAGACACCCTTAATTCGCCAGCCAGCCACACACACACTACACAGACGCACGCGAAGAGACATGGACAGGCAGACAGCTGCACACAGTCGTCCAAAGATGCGTGACCCATGCCCGCTAGCCAATCCATCCCAAGAATGAGCCCGGGCTGCATATCTAAGAAAAGGTGCCTTCGTCTTATCGTCTTATCTCAAAATAGCTGCATGCCTGCCTGTCTTGCCGCCCTCGCTCTCCGGGCGACCGTGCTCTCTCTCCTCTTTACATCTACGCCCTCGAGTTCATTCCTGTGGGCTGCCTGCCTGTCTGTCTGTCTCCCTGTCTATCTTTGGTCGATGGCCGGGTGGTGGATACCGGACCTGCAGAAAAGACAGCCAGCCAGGCATAGGCTGCAGGCATTCACACATGCATCCATTCAGGTGAGAAACCCACAAGGCAGGCATTGCAGGCATGGAAAGGCTTCTGCTGGCATGGCAGCTGGCTACAATCTCATGCCAAACGGCAATCCTTCACTAATCTCATCACACATACAGAGAGAGAGAGAGAGAGATCACATCCAAGAGAGAGCACATCCATGCCGTCCCCAAAAACGGACGCACGCGATGTGATGTGGTGTGGTGGTCATCCCATGCGATGTGGCTGTGGCTTCCTGCCCTCCCCTCCCCTCCCCCTCCCTCCCGTCCTCCTTCAGGCGCCCCCCAACTCACTCAGCCACTATCGACACCCATCACACACAGCCATCCCTCTCTTTCTGCCTGCACACAAGCACCCGTCTCCCATCTAACGATACCAACCCACCCCCTCCCTCCCTCTGTGTGTTTCGTACTGGCTATCTACTCTTCGCCCTTCTCCTCTCCGGGCGGGCTACCGGGGGCGCTGCTGCCCTCTGACAGCGGCGGGGTGGGCTCCGCACGCGTCGGGCTCGTTGGCGCCAGAGTGTGGCCCTTGGCCTCCGTCACGGGCAGGGCGCTCTCGCTCAGCTGGGGTGTGTGTGGTCCCGAGTTGGTCTTGGTGATGCACGCCGAGTAGGAGATGGGCGGCGGGGCGCGGGGGCGGGTGGACGATTTGAGTGGCGAGGGGAGGGTGGGGGTCACCATGGACCGCCCGCCACCCCTGCTGTCACGGTCATCCTTAGACGACTTGCCGCCGTTGCCCCCAGGCTGCTTCACCGCGAACGACACCCTGATAACGAAGACAAAGGGCATATGGCCGGCCATTGCGTGTGGGCCAAGATCTTTTCATGTGTCTTCTGTGTGTGTGTGCTCTGTTTACTTTTTCGGCCCGCCGCCCTGCTGTGCCACCTGCACCCATGAGCGGCCCCTGTGTCCTCCCGCCTCCCGCAGCAGCATCGCCTGGTCGTCATGCTCGCCGTCGCCCTGTGTGTTGTTGGTGCGCTTGACGTACGATCGGCAGATCATCTCGTGTGAGAAGGGGAATGGGTGTGCGTCGTGGGAGAAGGGGCACGGCTGCTGCTGCTGCTGCTGCTGGGGGGATGAGTGCTGCTGCTTCTTGTAGTCCATCACCTACACACACGCACGACACACACATTGAGAGAACGTGTGAAGGTGTGGGAGTATCTATTCCACTCATGGACCCATAGATAGATGGATGGATGGATGGATGGGCGTACCATCTGTTTGAACTGCATGCATTCCCCGGTGTCTACGTGCGAGTGCTTGCTGGCCTCCTGGCACACATCGCTACAGAAACGCACGAAACGGCAACCCCCACACACCTACCACCACACACGCCCAACACATCCACCGGGGAATGCATGCAGTTCAAACAGATGGTACGCACGCACCCCTCTCCATCCATCCATCCATCCCGTCCCCACCAGCCATCCCATATCCCTCCCGCCTTACTATGAGGCGCTCGCCGAGGTCGGCCTCCTTAACGCGGCACCGACGGCAGAAGAACTTGCTGCTCAGGCCGCCATTGGGGGGCGACCCGCCGCGGGGGTTGCTGTTGCTGTTGCTGTTGATGTTGCGGCCGTTGTGTGATGCGGAGAGGGAGACGGGTGAGCCGCCGCCCTCCTGGCCGTCACTGAGGGACAGCAGGGGTGAGGGCGGCGGGGGCGCCTCATCGCTACTGGCATCCGCCTGCTGGTGCAACATACGCAACAACGAACGACCTGATGGCCAACACCCAGACAGACAGACAGACAGAACACAGGCGATGCACGGCCATCAGTCACGGTTCTCTCTGGCTCATTCCGCTTGTCCTTACCCTTGCCTCCGTCGCCCTGTCCCGCCTGCACACATGGGGTCTTGTCCTCGTGACCGCTGCCCGTCGACCCTACGCCGCTCCCACCCCTTCCCCCTCCCCCACCCCCGCCATGTCCCCCGTGGCCATGTCCGCCGCCCCGCATGAGTATATCGCTAAATGAGGGCCCCTGGAAGGGGTGCCACGGCTTGGCTCGGGGGTTGAGCGTCGAATGCACCACACCCGATTGCTGCTGCTGCTGCTGCTGCTGGCCGTGGGTGTAGTGGTTCTGTGCGTGGTGCTGGGGTGTGTAGCGTCCCTGGCCGAGGGACTCCGATGGGGTGGGCTGCTGCTGGTGGTTGTGGTGCTCGTGGGGGTAAGGGTAGGTGGATGTGGTGGTGGTCTGTGGCTGCTGTTGTGCGTTGAGGGAGGAGTGGAACTCGTGGCCGGTGAGGCGCTTGCCTAGGCATCGGTCGGGGAACCACCCGCAGTTGCCGTTGCTCAACCTGGGCAAGGAGGAAAAGAAGAAGCGATGGATGGATGGATGGATGGGTGGTGTTGGTGTGTCCCGTTTCGGTGTGTTTTGTGGAGGGAGGGAAGCTTACTCGCCGTATGTCCATCCGGATGGGTCGCGTAGGAACACCTGGACCGCATCGCCCTTCTTGACCGTCAGCTGCATACCGTCGCCCTTATCAGCCTGATACAACACCACACAAAGAACACCACACATCAGCATAACAACACGCCACACACCCCTCCCCCTTTGGTCAGGCTCTCACTTTGTAGCTAGCGTTGACGAGTCGGTACTCGGCCTGTTTGGGTGGTGCCATTTCCTGCGGTCGCTCCTCCTCGGGCCGCTCGCTATTCATCGACACACCGTCATCGCCACCACACCCACTCAGGGCACCACCCCCCGCACCCCCGCAGTGCACCTCCTGCCGATGGCCGCCATGGTCACCCACGACATAACCCCCGGCACCATGGCAACCACCGCTGCTGCTACCGCTGCTACTGCTGGACGAACTCGCGACGGGGCTCTGAATCTGAACCACCTGTGGATGGATGAAAACACGTGTGGCTGTTGGCGTGTTAGGGGGAGATCATTTACCTGTTGGTGAGCCTGTTGTTGCTGTGCGGTGATGCCCGTGTCCGTATCGGCGTCAGGGTATGGGGCGGGCGAGGACGATGGTGAGTATGCGGCAGCCACGGCGGCCGCCTGCTGGTGCAGCTTCTCAGCGGCCACATCCACACTGGCCATATCCACCTCTACCGTCAACAAATCACCTGCACATGGCACCACAAACCACACCACACACAGGCCAACCACAAAAACACGAAAATGGATGGATGGATGGATCTGAATGCATTCCCCCGCCCTGTTTGGCGTACCTCCCTGTATGAGCGCCATGCTGTCGATAAGGGCGCCCTCACAGAAGTAACGCAGCGAACTGACGGCAGGAAACACACACCCACACCACACACGACCATTCGCGAGGATGAAAACCGTCAGAATCCGTAGATCTGGCCTCGATTTGTCCCCTCCCGTCCTCCCCAGCCCTCACCTGAGCACGGCATCGTCATCGGCACCCGCCAGCTCCAGGCGGGCGAGGGTCTGTCGTTTGAGCTCCTCCCAGTCCTTGGGCAGCAGGAGCCACCGCGGCGGACCCCCACCTGACAACTGAAGCTTTATGCGACCCGCCATACCGCCGAGGAGCGATGGAAAGGCTTCTAGCTACTTTAGCGCGGCTGGGATCTTTCGAGCTCGCAATTCCCCTTTCAGTCCCCTTCCCGCCTTTTTTGGCGGACGATGGGGATCAAGAACCTTCTGGTAAGGCTCGGTTGTAGTGCACAATGCGGAGATGCCACCTTTTGATCCATTGCTTTCCGTTCCTCCTCTCCCTCCTCTCTGTCAGCAATTTCTGAAGCCGGTGGTGCAGAAGGCCTCCATAGACAAGTGAGCAAACGCTAAGAAACGGCCGCCGTGATGGTGTGGTGCGTTGTGTGCCATCCGTTTGCAATGCCGGTGGTGTGGTGCATCTGTTCATGTGTGTCAGCTTCAGCGGATGTCGCGTGGGCGTGGACGCCATGTGCTGGATGCACAGAGGGGCGTGCGCATGTGCGTATGAGCTGGCCACGGGGCAGGATACAGACAAGTGAGGCCGATATCACACGCAGGGACTGCATTTGCAATGGCGCTTTGTTGTCGTCTTGTCGTATGCAACGGTTTTCAGGTTCATCCGGTTCTTTTTGCGCATGGTGACTTTGCTCCTCAACTGTGACATCAGCCCCGTCATCGGTCAGTGGCCGACCTGACAGAAATCAAGGAAAGAGGAACCATCCATATGTGTGTGTGTGTGTGTGTTCTGGTGCAGTGTTTGATGGCGATTCCCTACCAGCCAAGGCCAAGGAGGATGAGGACAGACACAAGTGAGCGAAGGGGGAAGATACACCCCACACCCAGGGCAGGAGCACCTGTTGTGGATGCATTCGTGTGTGTGTGTGTGTGTAGGCGTCGTAAGGATGCGCAGCAGGAGGTGGATCGCTTGCGCAAGGCGGGCAAGACGGCCGACGACAAGGAGATGCAGAGCAAAGCCATGCAGGCCATCTCCGTCACTGGAGACATGGTACGCCCTTCGACAACGACATCAATCCGACCAGCCATTCGTCCCACATGGCCATGCATGTGGTCAGATCGACCGTGTGATAGAGGCGCTTCGTCTGCTGCCCAAGCACACGAGTGGCGGCAAGACTGTAGGGGTGGAGGTGCTGGTGGCGCCATACGAGGCCGACGCCGAGCTGGCCTTTCTCGCCAGAATCGGATACGTGGTCCGTCATCTTGGCACCGCATACACGTGTGCACGTGTCGTGCTGTGTTGTCTTTGTGTGCAGGAGGTTGTCATCTCAGAGGACTCCGACCTGCTCGCATACGGCTGCCCCAAAGTCCTCTACAAGTAAGCGCGGCCGACCAGCAGACACATGTCGACTACCTGTACTGCCGTGTGGATGGGCGTAGGTTGGACAAGTGGGGCAACGGTGACCTGGTGGATCTGTCTGCGATCGCCGACCTGCCCGACGATGGCAAGGCCGCCAGAAAGGGCAAGGCGGGGGCGGGGGAGGGGGAGGGGGTGGGTGAGTCGTCAACGTCGCCCATGGAGGTGGACGAGGGGGACGACAGCGACCAGGGCGATAGATGGGTGAGCTGGTGTGGTGGGGTGTGTGGGTGTGTGTGGGTACCTTCAGTATGTATGTGTGAATGGATGTGTGTGTGTGTGTGTGTGTGCAGGGTGCCTTGTCGTCGTTGCGGCGGTGGTCGCATCAGAGGTTTGTGGAGTTCTGCATACTCTGCGGCTGCGACTACACATCAGACATCAACATACAGGTTGGCGCGTGCAAGGTTAAGAAATGGAGAGAAGCTCCTGCACGTGCTATTGCCCACACAGGGGTTTGGCATCAAGACGGCCTTCGAGCAGATCCGCCAGCGAAAGACCATAAAAAGGGTCAAAACACGCAACACATAGCACAACTCACCCAATCAGACGTGTGCATTCACGTCTGTGTCTATGTGTCTGTGTTTGTTTGCGTCAGGTGTACGAGTTCATGCGTATCAACCGCAAGTGGAAGGACAAGCTGCCCGAGAAAAAGGCCGACTTCTTCAACCCGACCAACAGGGCCATGGCCGTCTTCCTCAACCACATCGTCTACCACCCACAGCAGAAGTGCATGACCTCCATCGCTACCTCGCTCAAGACGCAGCCAGAGCTGCCGCAGGACGTATACCAGCAAAGAGGGAGGGGAGACACGGATGGGTGGATGGATGGATGGATGCCAACTTGTGTGTGTGTGTGTGTGTGTGTGTGCAGATGGATATGAGTGCAGTGGTAGGGACGGCGATTGATGACCCCGTAGAGGTGCATCAGCTCGTGTCGGGCCGCATCAACCCAAGAACCAAGAAAGCACGGGCCACCGACACCGTAAGTGCAAGCAGGCACACAAACCTCCATCAGCACCATTCCCCGACCATCTCCCGTCCTCTTTTGTTCGATCAGTTGTCTGCGTCTGAGCGTCAGCTGTTGAAGACCTTCATAGCCAACCTAGACAAGGCTTACCGCAGCGGTGCCGGCACCGACTACCCCGCACCCTCACACCCACCACCAGCATTCTCGCAGCCCCCGCCCCAGCCCGCCCCCAAAGAAAAACTGGCCTTCGTCTTCACCAAACCAGGTGAGGCGGCCCAGGAGCCCGTGCAGCAGAAGCCGGCGGAGACTGAGCCGTCGCCGGCCCCTGTAGCCAATCGCAGGCGGCACAAGACATCGCTTGACGAGCTCCTGGAGATGATAGAGTGAGCTGCCATGCACACGCTCTTGTGGCATTCCACTGACGCTGCCGGTGTCTCTGTGTGACATGTGTGCAGCGTTGAGGACCCACTGATTGAGGAGAAGGCGGAAGAAGGGGCGCCTGACCAAGACCAAGACCAGCACCAGCAGCACCAGGAAGCGGCACCCCGGGCACCACCACCCCCAGAGCAGCAGCAACAGTCGGCCCCGCTCCCCGGTCCGCCCCCCAAGCCCAACCCATTCAGCCTGGCCAACAGGCGCGTGCAGTCCCACCAGAGGCACCAGAGCGCCGCCAAACACGCAAAGGCCACCAAGCTCTCTCCCATCATCACCATCACCACTCCTTCGGACGACGGCGGCAGTGACGAGCGCGAGGAGGCCACGAGAGAGGAAACAGGCCATGGCGATGGCAATGGGGGCCCAGGGGACAAAGGCAAGAAGGGGGTGGTCGAGGGGTTCCGAATGCGGCTATCGAGCCCTGGTGATAGTGGCGACGAGCCGAGAAGGCGTGCTCTCGGGGGTGGTGGCCAGAAGCGGCCAGCACAGGGGGGCCTGGCTGGTTTCCTGGCGCAGAAGCCGAAGACGAGCGCCCCCGCGATGCTGGCCCGGCCCACACCAGCGGAGAGCGCGTCAGTAGAGGAGCGGCTGCAGAAGGAGAGGAGTTTGCACAACAAGAACCCCTATGCTGGGCTGGGGGCGGTGGTGAGGGAGGGGGGATGGAAGCGGGGCGGCGGGGGTGGCAAGGGGGGGAAGAAGAATGGGGAGGAGGGGATTGCCGCCAACGCGTTGACCAACTTTGGCTTCACTAGAAGTGTGCAGAGCAAGAAGAAGTGATACATCGATGGCAGATGAGAGGGGAATGCGTGTGGGGCGGGGCCGTTTTGCCTCGATGCGTTGATGGATGCATTAATGGGTGTATTGTATGTGTGGCGCGTGTTGGGTGGGTGGGTGATGGACACCTGAACTCGTGTGTATCCTTCAGTCCATCGATCCAATCCGTTCACCGATGCAGCACCCAGTCCCGCCCATCAATCCGTCTGTTCCACAGTTCCAGGCCCTCAACGACGCACACGCTCACGATGTGTAGGACACATTACTGCCACCCCATACCCACACTCACACCCAAAGCCACACTCGAGAGAGCCGCCAGGATTTGGCCCAAAAAACACGGAAGGCCAAGAAACGCACGAGGGAGGGAGGGAGGGGGGAGCGTGTCGGCGGCCAGCTACGCGACTAGCGCAACTCACATAGGAGCAAGCACTCGACTCGAGCGGGTGGGAAAGCAGCAGGTACACAACAAATACAGTACAGGCGTCCTTTCTCCCATCCAGATTCGATGACACGAAAAAGATGTGCTCATTCACACATAACGTGAACCCACCCCACATGAAGCACACACGGCCTTTTCTCCCTCCCATTTGGCTTCAACTTGCTTCAGCGATCGAGTTGGCGTCCTCGGAGGAGGCGCCGGTCGCATGTCAGTCTCAGGAAGAAATTGCCGTCATAGTCGAGGTCCTCATCCAATGTTGCCACCTGCATGTCCAAATCCTCTCCCTCGCACTCCTTGATATCGTCGCCGTAGCCGCGCCACCGCGCGCCGCTGACGGTGGTGTGCGCGTACCAGTAGATCTCCCACTCGCCATCCACTTGGAAGGGGAAGTACCCCTTGTCGTCATCGGGACTGACACTATACCAGTCACTGCAGACCCAGTCGCCGGACCTCGGCTTGTAGTGGACGATAATCCTGAGGGGCTCGTCGCATTTGTTGAGGACGCCGATTTTTTTCCACTGCACACACAGCACACAAAGGTGGATTCACACAGCTGTGTCCACAGATCCGCGTGGATGATACCGTGACAAGCGTGATCTCCACGGTGCCAGATATGGAGCAGCTACTCGGTGTGTCGGCACTTCTCCTGGTCGTGGTTGGCTCGGGGTCCCCCACAACCTCCACAGACTCGAGGCGCCATCCGCCCCCCCACTCCCTTGCACGCTCACGGCCTATTGCCTCGCCCTTCTCGATGAGGGCCGACTTGTCACACCTCCTGACGCCCTCGTGTGAAACGGTTTCTCTGAAGACTTGCTCATCCGACTGCAGACGGCGACTCCCGCCGTCCTCGCCATCAGCAACCTGCACACTCTCACATACACATACACACAGTGTCACCAATAAGAAGATGTGTCAGCAACTAAGAATGCCCACGCTGTTATCGAGAGGAGTGGCATCGAGATCTGCCTCGGGCATCGACACCGACTGCACACACACATTCACAACAGCAGATGAAGAGAGAACCGACACACAGTGACAGGCAGCCTCCCTACCGTCTCGTTGGTGGTGGCATCAGCAGCTGACGGGTTGGCCGCAGTAGCCGTCGTGTTGGTGTTGGAGGAGGCAGTACCGCACACAGCAGCGAGGCCGACAACGCACAGGAAGATCTCAAGCTTCATCGAGAGATAGTTTTCTCGGAGAGAAAGGGGCTGATCTAGGTTGAGTAGAAGCAGATCTTCTGGCGCAATAGCATTCGGACGCCCTGGGAAAGACCCAAACCCTCGGGGATGCGCCAACTTGAAGCTCGCAGCGGAGGAGGCTTTCCAGAAGCTTGCCGCTTGTGAGAGAGCGACCCTGTCAGTCCAACAGGAAGGCCAGCGCCACGGCAGGTGCGTCACCGTGCCCCCTTGTGCCACACCAGATGGGTCAAGAGCGCCCTTTCTCTCTGTGCAGGTGCATCGTTTGTCCTCAGGGGCATCTTACTTGACGGCGCCTGACCACTTCGGCCAGTCGGCAGCGGCCCAGCGATGAAGTTTGGGGTCAACATGTTTCGAGGGTATCTGGGCATCGCATCGAACACATCGCCTGAATGGTCAGTCGCACAGACACATGTACAACAAGACCACACACCAGTGCAAACGGTGTGCATGTTTGGTGTAACAGGCTGGAGAAGACTCTGGCGCAGGGTACCAGGGGGTGAGGGCCTACCTGACGAGCCGCCACATTCCCGTTATCTCGGCCCGCAGCCATGCCGAGGCGACCGGCCGAGGCGACCTCCACCCGGGCAAATGGAAGGTATGCAGGAGGCCCACACACAGGGACGCGTCGAATGGAATCAGGGCAATCCTGTCTGTCTGTCCGTGTGTGCGTGTGTGCAGCGTGGCTGCTTTGCGACTCTGTTCCAGGCGTTGCGTCAGAAGGGGGTCGGTGTGTCGTGTGTGTGGTCGTTCGGGGACAAGGACCACGACACGTCGGCACTTGAGGCCAACCGACGGTAAGGCATCACACGACACACATGCACAACACCCACATGTGTCCGTCTTTGTTATGTATGCCTGCAGGTCTGTAAGGTCAAGATGCTCGAAGGGCCATCTGAGAGACAGCTGATGATGGTATGGGGGAATCGGTGCCAACAGCACAGCACAAACCTATATGTGCGTGTGGGTGTAGGAGCATGAGGAGCTCGGGCACCATTTGGACACGCTGGCGAAGGAACCGTGGGAGAACTTCACCATGGTACGCACCCGCACCCCCCTTCAGTCATGAGTGTCGGTCGGGCGGGTCATTCGTTCGTATATATGCGGTCCCTTTATGTTGACAGAGCGACCAGACGAGGTACTCGCAATCCCGGCAGAAGACCGTGCTGCAGCTGCACGCCGACACAAACTGCCCCAAGGACATGCACGTATGTGGCGGACATATCACACCATACCGACCGCTTCCCATTCATCTGTGTGCCCGTGTGTCTGGCTGTGTGTGTGTCTGTGTGTGTCTGTCTGGATCTCCCTCTCAGGTTTTGGCCAAGGGACTCGGACTACCTGGAGAAAAGGCCCATCCCACACTGTTCCCCGACCGCCAATGCCGCTGACGTACTGCGCCGGGTGTCACTGTGGTCGAGCCCATCGCTCGCCAAGGATGCTGCCGTCTCTCGCACACTCCCCGCCCCCCACACAAGGCCCACGGGCAACAGCCCCCCACCCGTAGCCACGCTCAAGCACACACACGACCAAGATGACCTGACGGGCAGAAAGAGGCCGCTGTCGGGGGCCTCCGTCCGACGAGACACGGCGAAGCAGCCGCCCGTCAAGAAGTCTCGGACGGCCCTGCTGACGCTAGAGGCGATGCAGGGCCTCAGGAGCTATCTGCTGCACTGGCAGGGGCAGATTTTTGGCTACAGACGTTTGTCGTTCCCGAAGAGGCGGCTCAACGCGAGAGCGCGGCGCGTTGGACGGGCGCGCCGGGCCGCCTGACTGAGTGACTCAAGTGGGGTTGAGAGGGGATGGGAGGGAGAGGGGGACAGGGAGTCAGCTGTGCGTGGGTGTATTGCGTATGTGTTGTATGAATGGATGTCAGCTCAAGGGAAAAGGGGCCTGCGTGTGTGTGTGAGGTGAGGGACTGAGTGGCTGGCTCGACAGATTTGTGTCTTCAGTTGTGACATTCGCTATCGCTGAAGGCCTCGTGTGCGTGCAAGTGCATTCTTCAATCGGTCCACCACACGAGGCCGCACACCCATAAAGTGTCTCTTTCAATCCTTAAGACACGCACACTCGCCACACATGAAGGCAGCCACTCGTCAATTACATTACACGCAGATGCGCTTCATCAAATTCGGCCCACCCCACACCCACACCCACACATCCACACACAGAAGAGACACGCTTGTCTGTCTGTTCCATCCCTTCGAATACTCTGCATCCCTTCGAATACTCTGCCTCACCACGGACACACAGATCGAGGTGTATCAACTGCGACAGCGACCATACATCCACACATCCACACAGGTGGCCATGCGAGGGGAGCCGCCAGGATTCGGTCAAAACAGGTCAAACGAAGAGAGAGAGGCGAGAGGAGGGAGGACGCAAACAGCGACCAACTCATACACACAAACCACCAATCAGGCAGTCGAGTAGATAAAAGAGGGGTAGGTACGAAACCTAGTACGAAACGCAGCTGTCTCATCCACATCGGATGACACCGCCCGACATGCCGCACCCCACACGCAGCACACACTTCCCCCGCTCCGACGTACACTCAAACAGGTAAGCGAGCAAACGAGCACGCAAATGAGCACTCGAGCAGGCAGAAGAGGAGTAGGCAGACAGACAGACAGACAGACAGGCAGCCGATGACCCAGACACCCATGAAGTGCCTGAGCTAATCCGTAAACCATGCAGCCACTGCTCAAGTGAGTGCCACCATTCATCCATCCACACGCACGCATGCACCACATACATGTCGGGCTTCATCAAATGCGACACAAAGTGTGCACACGAGAGCAAACCGTATGCTACTCAACGTACCAACTCCTCACACGGACTGCCACTACACACATGACTGACCACACACACACACACCCATGCACTCAGGCCCCCTTCCGATTGAGCAAACAAGACACCGAAACCGAGGGGGGCCACCATGTAGAGAGCAAGCGGTCTGTTACCCATGTGTAGCACACCCACCCACCCACGCACAGACCCCCTCGACAGAGGGGCGCCAGGTAACAAAACAGCATGTACATCAACACAATGACCCACCCCGCATCAGCACTCAATCTTCATCGTCGGCTGTCACCCCCCGGAGGCGACGGTCGCAGGGGGGTATAGAGATGCGCCAATTCCCATCTGTGTCCAGGTCGCCTTTGTCCTTGGTCCTCATCTTCAGATCGCGCCCGTCACACTCTCTTGGAGAAGCATCGGGATCTGAAATTTTCTTGCTGCTGACGGTGCTCTCCGCGTACCAGTAGATGCGGCTACTGTCGCCATCCACCCGGATATCCTTGCCGCCGTCGGACATGTAAAAGTCCTTCTCGGGATTGACTGTCTCCGACTCGCAGTCCCACTCACCGGACGTCGTCTTGTAGCGGGCGAAAATTTTGATGGGCTCGTGGCATCTGTTGCGAAGGTAGATTTTCCTCCACTACTCAGACACACATGCACAATGAGTCGAATCGAAAGGACAGCTTCTGACTCGCGTGTATGCCGCGTACGTAATCCTCTTTGACCATCGTGATCTCCACCCTGCCCGTTATCGAGCACTTGCGCGGTTCCACGCCAAAGAGCCCCACGTCCCCCCCGGATTTAATTTTGTTGGGGGTTCCATCAATCTCGGCATCGTAGAAGCGCCATCCGCCCCCCCACTTCTCTGCAAACTCATGTCCCTTTGCCGCTGCCATGTCGATGAGGTCCTGGTCATTGCAACCTTGAACGCCCTCGTGCGAGAACGGGTATACCTCGGACCATGTATTCTCGGCAGCATCAAGCTGTGCTTCAATATCTTCAACATCGGGAATCTGGATGTCGCCGACGCCGAACTGCAGACGTCGCCGCGCTCTTTCTTCTTCGTCGCCGTCCTCGCCATCAGCGACCTGCACGCAGACGCCGCATACACACACATACACAGACACACGCATCAGCAACTAAGACTGCCCACGTTCTTATTGAGAGGAGTGGCATCGAGATCTGCCTCGGGCATCGACACCGACTGCACACACAAACATTCACAGCAGCAGATGCAAAGAGAACCGACACACAGTGACAGGCAGCCTCCCTACCGTCTCGTTGGTGGTGACATCAGCAGCTGACGGGTTGGCCGCAGTAGCCGTCGTGTTGGTGTTGGAGGAGGCAGTACCGCACACAGCAGCGAGGCCGATGAGGCACAGAAAGATCTGTAGCATCCTGAGAGATAGAGAGAACGACGTGACTGCAAGTCGATGATACAGTTAACACGAAAGCGGAAGGACGGAGAAGGCAATGGGTTGTTGACGGGGGGTGAGCATACAAGCTGGGCCAATTCGGCACTGCAGTAGACTGTCTTCCCCGCGACAGAAGAGAGATAGGTCTCTCGGGGGAACGGAGAGAGGATGATCTATGCTGAACAGAGGCAGATCTTCTGGCGGAATAGCATCCACTCGCGGCCCCGGACTGTCTCCGGAATAGATTCTGCCTCGGCACGCCAAGCTCGCAGGTCGAAACCCTATCTCGGTTCTGGACGCCGGACATCCCGCAGGTGTTCTCGCTGGATACGACGGCCCCGAGTGCTTTGCAGAGGCTTGTGTGCAGGAAGGTCACGGCGGGTGCGTCACCGTGCCCTTCGTGCCACGGCAGGTGTCCTACGACGCCCACGCTGACCTCAGGGGCATCTCCCGCATCGAACGCTTCACCTGAATGGTCAGTCGCACAGACACATACACAACAAGACCACCCACCAGTGCAAACGGTGTGCATGTTTGGTGTGTGTAGGCTGGAGAAGACTCTAGAGATCTGGCGCAGCCAGGGTACCAGGGGGTGAGGGCCTACCTGACGAGCCGCCACATTCCCGTTATCTCGGCCCGCAGCCATGCCGAGGCGACCGGCCGAGGCGACCTCCACCCGGGCAAATGGAAGGTATGCAGGAGGCCCACACACAGGGACGCGTCGAATGGAATCAGGGCAATCCTGTCTGTCTGTCCGTGTGTGCGTGTGTGCAGCGTGGCTGCTTTGCGACTCTGTTCCAGGCGTTGCGTCAGAAGGGGGTCGGTGTGTCGTGTGTGTGGTCGTTCGGGGACAAGGACCATAACATGTCGGCCCTGGAGGCCAACAGACAGTAAGCCATGCCATGCGCTCATCCATCCATTCATCCATCACATGTGCTGTCCGCAGCTTCGTGACGGGCGGCATGCTGCGCAAGGTGAAGTTCTTCGAGTCCATTTGGTTCAAACAACCCATCTGAGAGCCACCTGACGCCGGTATGATTGCTGGGGTGGGGTGGGTGGGAGCGGGGCGGATTGTCACGCGTGTGTGTGTGGGTGTCTGATGAGTGCAGCAACAAGGTGGCCAAGAACGCGAGAGAGAACTTCGTGATGGTACTATGCACCGCACATCAGCACAGCTATCCTGGGTCCGGCGCCAATTGCCCTTTCTCTTGATGTGTGTATGTGTGTGTGCGTGTATGGTTGCATTCGGGCAGGAGCAAGAGGATGCGGCCCCGGACAAGAGGCTCTCAGACTGCGACAAGCGGCGACCCAGAGACATGTATGTGTACTGTGTGAGAAGGGATGGGGGAACACAGACTGCTTCTGTCCATCCATCCATCCATCTGTCTGTCTGTCTGTCAGGTATTTGCCCTAGGATGCCGACCAATTGACGCCCACCCTGCAGCCATCCCGCCGAGGTGCTCGCCCGTGTCAGCTTGTGGCCAAGCCAGATGCTCGCCCCGACCCCACTCCCTCCCCCCATGCCATCTGCACTGCCGGAGAGCAAAAGGCGTCTCACATCCAACGAGTGACAAGGGAGGAGGCCGAAGACACCAACCAGCAGCCGCCCGCCAGGAGGGCCCGCAAGGGTTCGCAGATGTGGGAGGCGGTCGAGCGCCTGTGGACCTTCCTGCGGCATTATCCGGGGCGCATGTTTGGCTGGACGGCTGGGGGCGTACGAGGGGCAGAAAGTGGAGGGGGGAAGGTGAGTCGAGAGTCAGCTGTCCCTGCGTGTTATGTGCCAGCTGCTGTGTACAGGGGCGTGGCGTGTGTGCATGAGTGATCACAGTGCGTGTGTTGAGATACTCATTTTGCTGCATGGCGTGTATGTGAATGAATATGTACAAATTGGTCGGTCTGTGTTCCTTCCGCGTATACATGCGGCTAACAGCTCGCCAGGCCAGCCGACACCGGCCGGGACTCGCTGTCTTCGCCACCCACTCACATCCATCAAGTCAGCCAGCCAGCCAGCCACGTCGCCAGAAACTGCACAAACCACACGGGCATGCACCCTATACCTTACACACTGCACAGGCAGACGGGCATATCTCTCTCTCCCTCTATGTGTGGGTTGTGTCTGTGTGTGTGGGTCCCCTCGGTCCCCCTTTGTTTGTGTGCGGTGCGTGTGAGTGTGACGTAGGACGGCAAGAGAAACTCAATCGCCACACACAAAAGGAAGAGAGAAGACACACACACACATCGACATCACACATACGCATACACCGCACCGGGCACACACGCTCATCGGCAAATACAGACAGACAGACAGACAGAATCGCCCAAATAACACAGAAGGCCAAGAAAAGCCCGTTGCCCGGCTGGCTGTTTGTCTGTCTCCCCTCTCACTGACCGCCAAGCATCCCTCTGTCGTGGATGGACAATCGACATATCGTCAAAGCCCCCGATCACATCAGAGTGCAGGCCGTCGCTTGCCTGGCCTCATGCTCCCCCCGCCACACCACACCGCCCAGCTGAGCCCCCAGCATTCTCATCACGACATTGCGCGTCTGAGCGTGGGGGGCCGGCTCGGTTGAGTATATGATGACATCACGAGAATAACCCCACCAATCGACCAGCTCAATCACTGCCATGTGGCCCTCGCCCATCACCTCACTGCCCAGCACCACCCACCGGCAGTGTGACAACCCCTTCCCGTCCGGCCGCTTCCCGTCGAAGATGGCCACCCCCGCCCCCCACTGTGCCGCATCGCTGGGAGAGGCCGCCAGCAGCTCATCCACACGCCGAAATGCAGCATAAGCAGACCGGTAAGACCACCACTCTCTGACGCGACGGATGTGGCCGCCGCAAAAAAGCCAGCGGAAAAGAACGAATGCCACCATTGATGTGTAGTTGGGGTACGTGTACTCGGCCAGCTGTGTGGGCGGGTCGGTGGGGTCGAATGCGTCAGAGGGGAAGAGGTGGCTGGCAGAGGCGAGGAGGGTGGGCGTGAAACGACATGCGTGGGGGAGAAGGATGATGCTGTCGCCGATGCAGGAGAGGTCCATCAGTCGTGTCTGTTGTCCTCCATCAGCGACAGTGACGCCCCAGCTGAGTATCTTCCACTGCCAGACCGCCTCCGTCTCGCTGATGAAGAACGCCCGGCGGTCGAACACACCAATATATCTATATTGGAACACACCGAAGTTGTCGTCACCCAATACCACAGGCCTCATTCCTCTCAGCAAATAAAGCATCTCCAAGTGCGGCCGCCATCTGGCCCAGTCGCCGCCCCTCTCAAGCATGACGAGCCGGCGTGCGATGGCCACAATGATGGCCACACCTTGGGTCAGCTGGGGGAGGGGCACCTGCACCAGCGCGCCAAAGATCAAGGCCACCACGACGGGCAGCAGCTGGGTAAGGATGGGCAGCAGGACGGCGGCGGTGAATTGGGTGGGATGGGCGTCGATGAGGGCCTCCAGCTGTGAGTAACTCCTGACGTACTCGGCTACAGTCGGGGCGACAGCTTGCGGCACGTCAGCGGCATTAATGCCGCCCTGCTGCTTCGCCGACGATGCACTGGCCGCACCTGCAACACGCCTCACACATACAGACAGCTGTGTGCTTGAATGGCTGTGCCTTTCTGCAGCAAAAGTGTTGGTTACCCTTGGCGGCAGACGCAGCCGATGAGGCCGACTCGTCAGCAATCGAGCCACCAGCTCCATCAGCCGCACCCGACATGATCTGCACACCCACAAACAGACATAACACAGACATCATATAAGTGAATGCATTCGTGGCGCCTCATCGATCTGTCAACATCCGAGCGGCATGTTTTCGCTTCCCGTACCTCGGTTGGCTGAGCGCCACAGAAGCAAGAACAAACAGGTCATGCATGAGAGTTGGTCCACACGCGTGTCAGTGTGCGCATCGGTATGCTCACCGCATTGGCCGCCTCCCGCCGATGAGCTATCGGCGCACCACCCAGTAATGCGCGAGAGGCCAACCAGCTTGGAAATGACGTTTGCCAGTGAAGGATGTGATCACGCGACGAGGTGCATCGCTTTCCATTCGGTGATGGTGACGCCATGATGTTGCCGAATCGTCAGATAATCCTCTGCCTCAACGCCTCCACATGACAGCTTTTGCGCACAACGCATCGATGATGTTGGGTTTTGCGCGGACGAGCTCAGGGCGGCCAGGATGCGTCCCGAAAGGTCACACACCGCGTGCGTTGGAACGACGTCTCTTTGATCCATCAGATGCGCTGCTGCGGTCACGAGGCAGCTGGTAGACGATCTGGTGGCCGACATCGGGCGCTCCTCGTTTCCATCTTTCAAGAACTGAAGGTGTCCCGGCTGTCCCTCATGTGTGTCTGTGTGTCTGTGTGTGTGTCTGTGTGTGTCTGCTGTGTTGTGTGCGTGTGGATGCATCCCTAGCTCATGGTGGTGTTGAGGTATACATTCAAATCAGTGCCACCCAAAAAAGTGTGCCGCAGACACTCATTCATTCGCAAATCACCCAGTAGATAAATACACCGAGTGGTCGATTAGGAATCAATCCCCCACTCACCCCCCATCAGTCACGTTACATGATGGTGCACATCCGTCCCGCCCCTCCCCCGCCCGCCTGCTGCTGACGCAACTGGTCCTCGTCAACAAAGGAATAACAATAACTCCGAATCTGCATGCGCACGACACACACGGCACGCCGGTCAGGTATGTTCTGGATGGTCACGAAGATGTGTGTGAGTGCCTACCTTTTGGTAGATGGTCATGACGGCGGATGGGACCATGGGTGCGGCGAGGAGTCTCGTGATGGACGTGTCCAGCTTGCGGAACGAGGCCTGCGTGAAGGCACTCATCATGTACCTACACACATCCATACATCCAATCAAGACAACACACGACAGACAGACAGACAGCAGACAGATGAAAATGTGTGACTGCCGCGGAGCAGTGTGTGAGTCTGGGTTGCAAGTGCGTCTGACCTGAGTCTCATGGTGGACCAGTATATGAACACTGTCAGGGGACTCATCCTCCTCCTGCACACACACACACGAATGAAATGCGCAGGAGCGAACAGGACACTCGGCGGCCGTGTGCTGACCGACCCGAACGCGAGAAGAATGAGCAGGAATCCGATGCCGACCTCACAGTCCGCCCGCCAACCCATGATCTGGTAACGCTGACAATGGCAACCATGTCACACACACGGATGAGATGAGTGGATAGACCAACCGTGTCCTGTGTGTTCCTCTCTGCTCACCTGGCGACCCATGTTACGAGCAAAAGTCGTCACCTGACTGCACAGCAACGTGACATCACACCATTGGAGCAACACGTGTGTATGTGTAGCACATGTGCTGTAACAGCTGTGTGTGTGCTGACTCGAACGATGCGGCCATGGAAGGCATCTTCTGGACGACAATCTGCTTCATGGGTCCGGCGCGGACTTCGGAGAATTCGACGATGGCCATGAAGGCGGTCATGGCGGGGGGCACGAGCAGCACCACGAAGGGCGGTGAGGTGAGGAAGAACATGCAGTAGATGATCATGAAGAAGACGTCCTCCTGCACCGCACGCTGCAGGTACTCCGTGCTGAACTTGGGCATCTGACGGGCAGGATGGCACACAGCACCACACATAAGGAATGCAGGGATTGGTGTGGCTGTGTTTGTGTGGTGCTCACCCCGCATTTGCTGACGACGTCTGCAAAAAAGCCAATCCCAAAGGCGCCGAGCGAGAAGGTGTAAGCCCGCTGACACGACACGGCGCAACGAACACATGGTGATATACGCAGCGATGGTGAGTCGTATGCTCCTGCCTTGGTGGTCCTACTCTGGCGACGCCTAGCATGGGTATGAGGTAGATGATGGCACACACGATGGCCACCAGCTGTGCCGTCACCGATATGCTCTCGGCATTGCTCATCGGCCGGTGGACGCCACCGGATGACGACCGACCTGCAGGATACGCACAACACAATCACTTCCATTCAATCACTCACTGCCGTGCTCGTGCCCTCTCTTCCAGTGTCTTGCGTGCCTGCAGTGCTCCTGTTGGGCGATGATTGTGTGTATGATGCACCACTGGGCCCTGCCGATGACGGCTTGTCGCGTGCTGGCTCGCCGGCCGACGAGTCCAGGGGGAAATCCTTGTCCTGCATGGCACGGCAACAGCCAGATCAGCTGCTGCCTGCCCACCTGCTTGTGCCTGGCTTCTCTTGTGCGTGTCATCTTGCGTACGACGCACTTACCACATTTTTCTGGTACCACTTTTTCTTCCACTTGAGGATCTTGTCATGCGGCGGCGTCGGGTAGAGTGAACCCAGATAGGACTGCCATTCTGAGCTCTTGCTGAAGTCAAAGGCTGCATGCATCAGGAGCACACACGCAGGGGGTGGTGTGTACACATCCCTGCATCTCTTGGTCTGAGTGTACCCAGAAACTTCTTCTCGGCATCCGACAGATCCGCCATCGTGAACGAAGGGAGCGTCGAAGGGACAGAATGGTTTCACGGAACTGCGAGCTTTGGGAATTTGTAGCAGAGTTTTGAAGCAGAGAGGATAGTAGCCAGAGTGTGTGTGATCAGTCAGATCTGTGTGTGCATGAAAGTCTTCACTTCAGCCTTGAAGAAAGCCTGACGCATCGGTGCTTGATCCAAGTAGGACACAGAGGAGAGGCATGTGGTCTCCACTGGGAGATGCATAACGCTCACTTCCTCCTTCTCTGTGCGTCTCTTCTGTTGTTGTGCAGGCGGAGACTGTTTCCGGTTACCGCGATGGCAGCTGCGTCGCATGTCGGGGCGACTGGGCCAGAGGAGGGCGAGATCGAGGAGGGAGAGCTGGTCGAACGCTCGTCTGCCAACGCCAAACCCGCTCAGGCGAAAGCCAAGCCGAAAGGGACAGCCGTCGCCAAGCGAGGCACCAAGCAACACGTCACCCCGGCCGCCGCCGCTGGTGCTCGTGCTGCTGCTGCAGCTCCCCCAGCTCCCCCGCCCGAGCCAGCGGCCACGCCACCGATCAATGCGGAGGAATCTGAACCGGGTGACGCCTTTCTGGCCATGTGCGAGAGCCACAAAGCAGTCAAGAGGACGCAGAGTGGCCCGCCGCTCGTCAACGGCATTGACCAGCAGGGTCCGCAGCCGCGCCCCGAGACCCTTACCGCAGTGGCACTGCGCTTGATCGGCAGCCAGCGCAAAGCGTCTATGTCTGGCGTGCCCGGCTCGGCCGCTCTCCCGCCGAATGGCGCCGCCTCATCAGCGGCGCCTGCTGCCGCAGCTCCAGGACAGCAGCAACAACAGCAGCTGAATGGTTGTGGTGATGATGTGGAGGCGTCGCATTTCGCCGAGCTCACAAACGCGTTGAAGTCTGTGGTGGCGCAGAAGTGGGCGGAGGTCAAAGGTCGGAGCGATCGCGAGAAGAAGGGAGAGGGGAAGCGGATTGAGGACGGGTTCGGACATGTGGCGGGTCAGGCGAGCCCGAATGGCTCCAACGGCGGACAAGGGCAGGCCAAGGCATCAGGGTGAGAAGGAGAACAAAGACACGACGGGCACCGCCGACAGATAGGATCGGATCGATGCACGGATGCGCATGTTTCGTTTGTCTCTGCTTGCCTGTCTGTCTGCCAGAGCGGTGGCCCATGTGAGCTCCAACCCCACCAAGGCCAAGGCCCCTGGATTCGTCACGACCGGTTCGCGGCCCAAGGCCAAGGCAACAGGCCTCAGCCACCGACCCAAGCACGCACACCCCCGCCCACACACACCTGCAGCCAACGGTGGCCACCACCGCACTCTGCCCACGTACGAGGAGATCGTCGACACAGAGCAGTACCAGGAGGACCACCCCGGACGGCACCGCGGGCCCCCTGCCGAGCCGGGCTTGATGGGCTGGGAGGGGATGGAGCCATGGCAAGGCGACATGGCAGCACCTGCTGCTGGACCTGCACCCCCTGCCAATGTGGCGCCCATCTATGTGGAGTATGCTCAGCAAGAGGCCATAGCAGCTGCTGAGCATCAGCAGCAGCAGCAGTACATGCAGCAGCAGCAGCAGGCGTTTATGCCGCCGTGGGTCCCGTATCCGCCCCAGGGTATGTACGCTCCCTATCCCCCCGTCTGGCCCCCATTCCCCATGCAGCCAGAGGTCAGTCAAGTCATGCACACAAGACAACAAGACACACACGAGGGAGGGAGGGAGGGAGGGAGAGCCATTCGTGTCGGACGCGTGCCTCTACCTGTCTCGTTCTTGTTCTTTTGGTGTTCATTCATTCAGTCTATTCAGTCCCTTGGTCAAGCCCCAGGCCTCGATCCACCCAGTGCTGCCCCCAGCGACAATCGAGGCTTCTGGGGCGAGGCGCAGCACCAGCCACCCATCCCCAAAGCAGCACACCCGCACAGGGACGATCAGGTGCCGCCACACCACGATCTCACCTTCTACGGCAGTGCCTTCGGCCAACCGTCGCAGCCACCACAGCCCCCCGTAGGGGCTCGCGCGCCGTCACTGCCGCCCATGCTCCCCACTGCTGGTGTGGCTGCGTCGGGCGATGGTGCTGTGGGTGCGACCGGCCCTGTACACAAGGCTGTGCTGACGCCACGACAAGCGGTGAGCCGGAGGGATCGACATGAGGTGTTTACTCATTTCCCTTGCTGTCGTCCTTTTCGCATCAGAGTATCAACGCTGCTGCACAAGTTCCAGGCGCCGCCCGCGATGCCGTCCGCATCAACCTTCCCCCGGCCCCCAAGGCAAAGGCCGAAGCCAAGGCGGTCATCGCCCAGGCCAAACAGGCGGCAGCCAAGGCCGCCAGCAACCCACCGACACCAGCGGCACCACCATCAAAACGGCCCCCTCCCTCCCGTCCAGCGGCGCCCCAGCAGCAGCGGCATGAGGTGATAGAGATCGAGGATGACTCTGAGGAAGACGCGGCGCCTCCAAGGAGGAGGGAGAGGCGGGGGTCGTCCAGCGGGCCCGACAGGAGTATGGAACCCTCTGGCGACAGGCACGGCAGAGGGAGAGGGCTGTCTCGTCGTGACGTCACAAGGGGCAAGAAGCGTGTCCCCCGCTCGCTGTCTGTGAGTGAGACGTCGAGCCTCAGCCCCATATCGCCCATATCGAGCGACCACGTCCGCAGGAGTCGGCCTCGCCTCAAGGACAAACGGGACCGATCACGGTCACGGTCACGCGAGCGACTTGCCGGCCCGTCCCGCCGCCGCAGGCACCCGTCACGCCGACACCGATCCCTCTCGTCGGTCTCCCTCTCTTCGGATGGGGAATGGAGTGAGGTCACACCGTCATCCCGGGAGCGGTCGGTGTCACGCGAGCGGTCCTTTGAGCGGGGAGCCAAGCGCCATGTCAGTCCGCGGAGCAAGAGGCGGCAGAGCAGCGCCTACCGACACGAGTCCGACCGACCTCGACGGCGGCGAGCCAATTATCGGCCGCCGAAGCAGCGTCGGTACAAGGGCAAGACGGTCAAGGACAGAGAGAGGCAGAAGTACCGACGGATGGCATTTCTCGCCGCGCGGGGACGCGGGGAGGGCGACGCGGACAAGGACAAGGGCTGGATGACGTAAGCAAGGGCATGCATGACACAGGCACGACGACCTGGACGAACACTTGTGTGTGTCGCGCACACTGACTGTGCTCTTTTGCTTGGATCAGGGATGTGAGGGAGGAGAGAGGCAGGAGGGCCCGAGGGCGTGACTACAGAGAGGACAACCGTGACAGACATCACATCTCTCCCGAGCCCCTTCAGCGCCGTGAGCCGTCACCCATCACAGACGACCAAGAGCGCCCTGCGGCAGCCGCTGGTGCGGCCGTCCCCCATCCACCACCCTCCAGGCCCCCTGCTGTCGGCAGCCGACCGGCGGGGACTGTGGCGGCGGCAGACGAGCCTCGTCGTGTGGTCATCAAGCAGGAGCCGGATGACGGCATGCCCCGCCGCCGTCCAGACGTCCGCATCCACCTGACCGTCAAGCCCAGCCAGATCAAGACAGAGACGGACGACGCGGCCGAGTTCGAGGCTGGGCTCACAAAGTGGAAGAGACAGTGGATGGTCAGCGAGCAGCGACGGGAGCGGCTGGTGGCTCGCGACAAGCAGCTGCAGAAGCTGGGCCTGAAGAGTGGAGGGCACTCACCACTGCTGCCGCCGCCAGGAGACAAGGAAAAGGAGCCAGAGGATGGGGGCGGCGGCGAAAGAGCTGCGTCGGCACCGCCTACGAAGGCTATGGCTCCGAAGGCCCCAAAGGCTCCGCCTGCTGCCCCTCGCATCCCCCCTGTTCCATCCTTCCACGACGGACGGCCGCCAGCCGCACCATTGGCGCCTCCTTCCCGTCCTCCCGCCCCCAAAGCCGCTGATATGCCGATTCGCCCTCCACCGCCACCCCCTCCGCGCCCACCTCCGCGCTCGGTACGGCCACCTGTGCCCCCCGCTGCTCCAGTGGCACCGCCGCGGGAGCAAGAAGGGCAGGAGCATGCTGAGGACGTGTTTGACGGCAATGTGAGCGGCGATCGGCTGACCGAGATTGTCAACGCCGTCGGCGATTTGATCGAGCTGTGCTCTGACCTGCCTGGCCCGGACGGCCGTGACCGAGAGCCTTGGAGGGCCGCGGTGGGCGAACAGGATACGCGGCCTGAGGTTTCCGGCTTGGCACTGAGCGATCAGTTCCAAGACATTGCGACGAATGCCCTCAGCGTGAACGACAAGGGGCAGGGGAAGCCGCTCTCATCGATTCGCCTGGCGAGGGGCCGCACAGGGGCTGTGAGACCGCTCCCCAAGGAGCCCCCCCAGGCGCCACCGGCCGATGCGACAGCGGCGGAGCGGATGAATCAGGCGGAGCGACTGAATCAGCTCAAGAGCATCCTGAGGCAGAACGCCCAGAACAGGCGCTTCTCCCCCGAGCCGGGAGCAGCTGACAGGCCAGCGGCAGAGACCGAGAGGGCGGGGGATGAGGGACAGCCCCCTGCCGGGGGGCTGGAGGCCAGCAGAGAACGGGGGGACGGAGATGCGGTGATGGTCGACGCGCCAAACATGGATGACTCTGCCGCAGCAGGAACAGGTGCGGCAGCTGCCCCGCCACCCGTGGCCGACACTGTCATGCGTCAAGAAGAGCCGAGTGAGATGCCGCCTGCCCCTGTTGTCGACATCACAGGCGAGGCCGCAGCAGGTGGGGCTGCCGAGCCGCCCAAGTCACCTGAGCCCGAGATGTCGTTGGAGCAGGAGAAGGCTGCCGTGCAGGCCCAGATTCTGGAGCTGCGGGCGCAGCCGGAGTCCCAGCGTGACCCGCAGAAGATCAGCGATCTGAAGGCGAGGCTCGACGCCATCAAGAAGGCACAGAAGGACAAGGGCAAACCAAACAAAGGGGTGAGTCACTGACGCAGTGGGTGGTTTGATGCATGTACTGATCTGCGTGCATGGGTGTGTGTGTGCAGTTCGCCAGTCCCCCGCTGGCCGCCACGCCCCCTCCTCCACCGCCCCCACCGCCCAAGAGCACAGCACCGCCCCCACAAGCAGCAGCGGCAGCAGCAGCATCTGATCAGGAGCCCAGGCCCCCTCCAAAAGCAGCCAGCAAGCGACCGCCCCCCCTGCTGCTCGCACCCCCAGCTGTCGTTCCCGATCAGGCTCAGTCGCCTGCAGACAGGGTCGAAACTCCCTCGCCTCTCCCTGCTGCTGTTGCGGATGCTGCCAGTGACCGACCTCGACAGGAAAAGCCTGCTGAGGAGGTCCCGGCTGCTGCTGCCGCCGCTGCTGCTGGTGGTGGAGGGCGTGACAAGGATGTGGAGGCGGCAGACGAGGAGACCGGCCGGGAACCGAAGCGGGAGCTTGGTGAGGACGGCAACCCCCTGCCCGTCAGCGGGAGCATGTTCAGCGACCCCTACCAGCTGATGAGGGCGGCAGGCGTGCCGGAGGCCATCGTGTCGCGAGTGGTCGACCTCACACACGAGGAGGAAGACAACACGGGCGCGAGCCGCATCGGTGAGGCAGCCGAGGAGCTGTCTGCCGACATGACTGACGCTGCACTGGAGGAGACGCGGGCCAAGATGGTGCAGGGCATGCAGCACCTCAACAAACTTGTCGATGCCTTCAGCAAGGCCACAATGCTCGTGGTGAGGCACGCAAGGAGGCACGGCGGGAGGGAGGAAGATTGATTGTTTTCGGCTGCATCTATCTATCCATCCATCGATGTGTGCAGGGTGCGACATCTGTCAAGAAGAAGGTCAAGGGTGAGGCGGTGAAGCAAGAGCCGCCGCCCTCACCCCTACCACAACTGGAGGACGTCCCACGACCATCCGAATCAGCACCAGCAGCGGCAGCCGCAGCGGCAGCTCCCCCGCCACATCCACCACCACCGCCCGAGGATGAGCTCTCTGAGCCCTCCGACGCCGCCATCCCCATGCCTGACGCACCACGCCCCGCTCCCCTCCCTCTCACAGCCGCAGACGAGCCCATGCTGCAGCAGCAGCAGCAGCAATACGAGCCAATCCACCAAGAGGAGCAGGAGGTGCAGCAGGGTGACCGGCAGCGGCAGCAGCTGTCTGATCAGTATGGGACGGCCGTGCAGCCGATCAATCTCATCCCCGACGAGCAGTTGCCTGTTGAGAGCGACAGGGCGGGACTGAAGCGGCCAAGGTCGCCCGAGAAAGGTGGCCAGGCAGCGGCAGCAGCAGGAGGGGCCAAGACGAGGAAGATGGGCAGAGACGGCGGGGAAGGGGAGAGAGAGGGGGAGGGGGTGGAGGGTGGTCAACCAGCAGACGATGATGGCCGCGTGATCGCCCCCAGGCGCACAGTGGAAGGTGGAGGCGCGGCCGCTGCTGCTGCTGGTGGTGGTGGTGGGCGTTCATCTCATGTGGCTGACGCCAACCGTCAGGCGATTTGTCGTCCTCTGGAGGCTCCTCAGGAGGTCGTGGTTCCACAAGCCACCTTCAACCTGCAAGAACTTGTAATAGTAAAAGAGGCGCCCCTGCAGTGGGTGGGAAAGGGGCAGATTAGTATCTCTTGCTGCTGCTTGGTCTGAATGAATGCAGTACCGGTCGCGTCGTCGCTTCAAGCCCCCTACCATCAAGTGACCGCATTCGTCCGTCCATTGCGGGAGTGTCCAGTGGTCGGTGCCGAGGCCGTCACCTCCACACACACAGGTCAGGTCAACCGACGGCACAACGGACACACACACCCACAAGGAAAGATCCTGCCTGCATTCATGTCAGTGCCAGTCGTGTGTGTGTGGGTGTAGGTGAGCGAGGGGCTTGGAGCTGTGGCGCCTGCCAGTGCATGCATGTGGTTCCATGTGTGCCTGCCTTGTGTCCGCATCTCGTCCACTACGACACCTGGTGGCTTCTTGTCATCAACAGGAGGAGGACGGTGGTAGGCACGACACTGCACCAACCGCACACACACACACACACAGAGACACACACACGAATCCACACACACATACACACGATGTCGTAGCACAGAACCGGTGTGCATGAGACGAGCAGATCGGTGCCGTAGAGAGAGGGGGTGGGGATTTTTAAAGCAGCATGAGGGATGACTGGTAGAGAGGCATACAGAAGATGCAGACGTACTTACCATCCATGAGGGTGGTCTGAGTGTGATCTGATCACACTCATGGATGGGAAGAATAGACAAGACAGCGAGCGTTGCTGAGTCTCAGCGGTTCCTTTCTTTCGGGCCGTCTTTTTCGCGTTTTCGCCGCCGCGCTGTGTCCGCGGCGTGCTTGGCGGCCACATAATTCGGCTGATGCGTGGCGTGTTGCATGTTCTTGCCCTAGTCTGAGTGTTGGCTTGAGTCGGATCATGGTACTGCCTGCAGGACATGCATTCATGGCTGCAGTTCAATCAATCAATCAACCAATCAGTCGATGGACAGATAGCGCCCCCCTCCCTGCCCTCTTACACAAATTATACCCTCGCACTTACGCACAACTGCGTACGCACACACGCAACCGATAAATCGACCCCCGTGTCACCGTCTTAATCACGCCCCCGCCCCGCTCGCCCCCTGGATCAACGAATGGCTGATTTCTGAGGTCACAGGAGGTAGCTATCACACTAGTAGCTTAGTAATCATAATCCTCATCATCGTTGTCGCTCTCGCTCTCCTTCCTCCTGCAGACACAGATAGGACATGCATCAGATCGATGGCTGAACGAATACAGCCAGCCATGCAGATATTTACCTGAGGGCGAGGTTGCTCGCCACCGTCGCTTCGATGCCCCTGGTGGCGACCTGGTCGTCCGCCCAACGAGACAACACCCCATTCGCTGTCTCGCCGACCAGACACACACACACAAACACACAGAGAAGAATGCATGCCCTCGCCCATGACATGTATCTATCGGTCTGCCGGTGGGTCCAGTGATCTATCCATCCATCTACTCTACCTGTGAGCTCGTCAGCGAGTTCTTCGAATACCCGCCTTCTGTTGAGGTCCTTGACGAGGTCGTCATACCACCCCTCCACGCCCACCTTGCCCGCAAGCAGCTCTGCGTCGGGCCTCTCACCCGCCGGCTTGACGCCCTTGGGCCGCTTGACGCCCCTCGCCTTGTCACTCTCCTCCCGGGCCATCCTTTCCTCCCACTCGTCGATCTCACGCTGGAAGCGGCCGTCGTCTTCCAGCCGGTCGATGAGTGTCTGGAAGACGCCCTCATTTGTGAGGTCCTCGATGAGGTCGGCGAAGGCGCCTCCTTGCGCCACGGCCGATATGAGATCGCTGTCGCCCGCAAGGTCGGTGAGATTCTCAGGTAGGGCAAATTGTATGAACTTGCCCTTCACCTGCACAGGATGGATGACACACGGCAGTGAGCAACTGTCGGGAAGACCGTAGCTGTCATGGCGCTCAAATTAACCTGCACGATCTCCGCCCCGCTGTCGATGGGGACGCCCTCGTCCCACTTCTGCAGCTGGATGGCCGTCCTGGTGCTGTTGAGCTGCTTGACGTCATTGTCCTTGACCTTGACAATGCCGTGGCTCCTCACCAGGTCACGCAGCGAGTTGACGTGCGTCGCCTCCACGCCCCACTTGCCCGTCGTCAGCAGGACCTCCTTGTTGGACACGCGCCGCCACAGCCGGTCGAGTGTCGCCCGGCTGAGCCACCGCAGCGACGGGTGCACCCAGTCAGGCCCCTTCTGCAGCTCCACCTTCTTCTCTATCGACGTCTCGTACTTCTTGAGCTCCTCACCCGACTGGCTCACCCGCGTCCGCACCCGCAGGCTCCTCGGCGGCAGCGGCTGCTTGACCTTCTTGGCCTTGCCTTTCCTCCGGGTGGCCCTTTCTGCCGTCTGCTTGCTGGCAGCAGAGGACGCCCTGGTGGCTGGCCGAGCCGGTGAGAGGGACAGAGATTGTGGATGGTAGATGGAAGGGGGGATAAAGGCGGCGTCGGCTGTTGATTGAAATGGGGATGGCTGACATCGCCGCCGCATGGAAGCGATGAGTGAATGCGCCTCAGCAGCACCATAGAGCAGGGATACAGCGACGGAGAACAGGATCTGCCTCATCGAAAGCACACCAAAGCTCATTCATTCATCGCGCCGGCAACTGTTGGAGAAACTCCGAAGATCTCGGCATGCAGAGGTCAGATGCAGGTCAAGGGAGCCTTCCCACTCTTTGCGTTCCAGCTCACAAGACGCGAGCTCGCAGCTGCAAGGCGAGCTTCCCAATTGAGAAACAGACCTTGCTGAATGAAGCCATTCTCGCGGATCAGTGGACATGTGGCCAGCCAGCTACTCAATAGAAGATGAAGTTGATCAACGCTTTGGTCGGTGGTGCGGCGGCGTCCGGCATCCCATCAGCGGTGTGTGGTGCTGGCTTCATCCATCTGCCGAATGCAGTGGTGCCACACATACCTCCCCGCAGACAGCGACTCCCACGCCGCTCGTCAGGTGAACGAATCACAGATGGATGCTTTCTTGCACAGGCAGCTCATTTGACTCCTCCAATGTGCTGCTGATGTGTGTGCACCGTGGCAGGTTTGGTGCTGCAGCCTGCTTCGGCAGCGCCAAACATCATGGAGCCATCACTGGAATCACCACCTGCTGCTGAGACGGATTTGTCACCTCCTGCCGATCAGCACCTGTGGGACATCGAGGAGCTGCAACTGCTGAGGGGTGCACAGGCAGAGGTCAGCCACGCACATGCTGGCTCACTGACACGTGTTGCTGCTCCCACTGTGGTTGTCTTTGCCGGCCTTCGTTGTGTGCAGATTGATGGTGTGCTCAAGGCGACTCGCACCTTTAACGCAGATCAGCGTGTGACCCAAAACAGGGTGTTTGCCAAGCGCCTCAAGGCCTATGTGGGCGATGTGGCGTTTGGCGACTTCAAGTCGCTGTCGGTGGACTGGCGTGACGGCCGGATGGGCAGCAGGGAGTACCTGTCGAAGGTGCTGGGGCTCTTCGGGGATGCAAGGAGGAGTGAGCAGTGGCGCGAGCACGTCGATGCTGTGGATCTGTTCACGGCAATGATCGCTGTGCTACCAGGTGGGGAGACCGACACAGACAGGAAGCCTCGACGCATCTTGATGCCTGGTCCCCTTGTTCCCAGATCCGAGGCTGCAACGAGGTCTCAGAGACACTCTTCACGAGCTGTCGCCCTCAACGACCCCAGACAGCACAGTTCCTGTGGTCAACGATCTACCTGATACTCAGCCGACGGCTGACCACACACCACCAGCCGACAGAGGCGGCTCAGCAACCGTTGCTCTCGGCCTGACTCGCGACGAGATGGTTGACCTCATCCGCAAGAACAAGATGTTCGCCCCGCCCAAGCGGAGGACACGGAAGTACCTCACGGCGGCATCCGACGTGGAGCTGCTCCGCATCTTCGCGGCGACCGTGGGGTCGACCGGGTGGGACCTTTCAGAGTTTGCTGCCGAGGAGCGCCGCCTGCAGGAGGAAGATAAGGAGAGGCGGCGCGTCGCCAAAGAGTGGCGGCGTGCAGAGCGGGAGGCGGCTCTCAGGGCGGAGTTGGAGGAGGAGGCGAGTGAGGGGGTGAGAGAAAAGTTCAGCGACCTTGAGGCCATGTCCCGCGATGATCTGCTGGACATTCTGCCCATCGTGGCGGCGGCGCTGCCCGAGCAAGCGGCTGGGATGGAACACTACGACACCATCTCAACAGAGCGCATCAGGTCGGTGATCAACTATACGCAACAGGAAGGACACAACTGTGGCTGTGTGTGTGCAGGTTGCTTTGCGCGAAGGCCCTGTGTCGGCTGGAGGATGCGGCTGACCCCGCCAGGGCCTCACGACTTGACCGCAACGTGCTGGAGAGCATCGTCCTGGACGAAGGCAACGCCGACCTCCTCCTCACGCAAGAAGGCGTCACACGAGACGACGTGCCCCTCATGACTGACGAGGAGGTGCGGGCGCTCTGGGGCAACATGTATCGCGCCTCGCAGGAGCGAGCTGAGAGGTCGGCCGCTATTGCCGAGGCCGGTGGCCCCCTTGAGCCGCTGCTGGAGGTGTCAGACACTGTCGAGGTGGAGCGTGCTGCACCTCAAGTGCTGGCGGGGATGTCTCGTCACGACCTCCTTGAGCTCATGGGGGACTTGAAGGACAACGACATGCTGCCGACTGACGCCCCGCAGACCGAGGAGGAGTGGCGGAGTCTCGACGTCACTGCGCTGCGACGGATTGCGGACGCTTCGCTGGCTGCTTTCGGCTGGACGGGAGGGGCGAGTGTGGTCAACGTGTCTCGGGGTGAGATGGAGAAGGCAATCATGCAGGCGGCGCGGGTGTCAGAGGAAGAGCGTGGCGGGGACACGGCAGCACTGGACCAGCTGGCGGCCGACCTACCACAGATGACGGACGAGCAAGTCACGACGACATTCACTCAGCTTTTCGCGCAAACCGAAGATGAAACCAAGGAGCAAGAGGCGGCGGCGTCCCTGGCGACCAACTCGGACGACGAGCCTTCCGGTAGTGACGTTGTTGCTCTCCCTCACAGCCTTACGAGTGACGCGCCCATCGCTGTGCATGCACCAGACGACGCACAGAAGGTGCCTGAGGTCGGCATCCGGCTGGATGACCAGCAAACAGGCCTGTCTGGCGAACCGTCGGCGGATGAGAAAGCTGCCGATGATGACTCGGTCCTCAGCGGCATGGGCGTGACGAGATCAGAGGCCATCGAACTCATCCTCGAATCGACCGGTGCTAAGGAGGATGGTTATGGTGAACTTGATGATTTCGGCATACCGGAGCTGCAGCAGCTCATATCCGAGACGGGCGGTGATGCCGATGGGATGAGGCTGCGGCTCTCTCAGCTGCCGTCAGTCGACCTGGGCACCATGCTCATGACGGTCCTAGAGGAGGGCTTCATGGACGAGGAGGAAGAAGACATCAAAGGAGAGAAGGAAGCCGCAGAACAGCACGAAGAGGCTGAGCAGTGGACGTCCAGCGGCTCTGACGGCCAATGGGAACAGTGGACGTCGGAAGGGAAACCAGACGAGTCCGAGCCCACACCGAAAGACAACCCGCCCGACACACCGCAGACCAAGCCCGTCGTCACAGCTGTCAAGCCAACAAGCGCACATCAGGTCCAGGTCGAGGGTGAGCACATGCTCAAGTGGCGCCGGCTGGGTCTGGAGGAGTCGATAGCTCGTGGCACGGCTAGCATGCTGGGCGATGTGGAGCCCACGGCCATCCAGCGGCTGGCCATCCCACAGGTGCTGTCGGGCGGCAACATCGTGTTCGCGGCCGAGACGGGATCCGGCAAAACGCTCGCGTACCTGCTGCCCATGATGCAACACCTGAAATCAGAGGTACGCAGGGAGAGATGGAGACAATTAGCACATGAGGACGATTGGTGGGTCACTTGCGTGTTCGCTCAGGAGCTGGACGGCCGGTCATTGCGGCGGCCGAAGCGGCCCCGTGCTCTGATTCTCTCCCCCACACGCGAGCTGAGCCAACAAGTACTGGAGGTCCTGAGAGGCAGCAGCCAGCTGGCCAAGGTGACAACGCAACAAGGCACCTTTCTTTTCACTCCATGTGTGTGCGCTGTGGGTGCCAGTTGTCGTCGTGTTCGGTCATCGGTGGCGATAGTTTCGCTAAGCAGAAGCGCGACCTGTCCAAGATCCTCGATGTGGTCGTCGGCACACCCGGGCGCGTCCTGTTCCACTGGGACAAGAGCAACCTAGCGCTCAGCGAGGTACCAGGGACCTCGAACGAACCGTCACATGATCGTAGTTCCATATCTGTGTCTGCAGGTGTCTTACGTGGTGATAGATGAGGTCGACACGATGCTCATGCAGGGCTTCGGCCCCGACATCAACAAACTCCTACAGCCGCTCATCACCAGACCCGACACCGAGCAGCCCCAGCTGGTGTTTGCCACTGCCACCCTGACCAAGGCCGTCAGGCGGCTGCTGGACCAAGAGGATCTCCCGGCCGTGCGCTACGTCGAGGCGCCGGGGCTGCACAAGTCGCTCCCAAATGTGCGATACGAAATGATCGACACTAAGGTGAGGAAAAGACACACTCATTGAGAGACCATCCATGATGCCATCCCAATCTCTGTATGGCTGTTGTGGATACAGGGAGAGGACAAGCTTGACGCCTTGCGAGAGCTGCTGAAGGTGAGGGGGCCGCAGCGGCCTGCAGAGGGAGGTGATGGTCAGAGAGGGGCTGGTGAGGTGTACCGTAAGAGCACGCTGGTGTTCTGCAACACCGTCAACAGCTGCAGGGCATGCCAGCATGCCATTCAGGAGGCGGGATTCACCTCACTGGTGCGAACACAAAGACAATGGAGGCACCGCATCAGCAGAGCAGGGAGGCCATATGTGTGTGTGTGTGTGTGTGTTCCATCCATCCATCCATCCAGGCATATCACGGTGAGGTGCCGCAGGAGCAGCGAAAGGCCAACCTCGAGGCCTTCCGACACGGCCAGGTGCCCTACCTCGTGTGCACCGACCTTGCCGCCAGGTGAGTGAGCAGACGGAACACACACGTGTGCTTTGCTTGCGATGTGCCGTCCCGTCTCGTCTCGCATTGTGGTGTTGTGTGTGTGTAGGGGTCTGGACATCGCGCAGGTGGACCAGGTGGTCATGTTTGACTTCCCACTCAACCCCATCGACTTCATTCATCGGGCCGGTCGCACAGGCCGCGCTGGCAGCAAGGGCTCGGTCCTCTGCCTGCTGCAGAGGCGAGACCGAGTGCTCGCCACGGGTGTGCAGAGGTACGCCCATCCGTATGTGCCGCAAGTGAAGGCGTGGACCGATTGTGTGCGGTTCGTGTCGTTTGTTCGTTGGCTGTGTGCAGGGCGATCCGTCTGGGGCGGCCCTTGTCCGACCTGTCATCCTCTAGGAAGGACTACGAGAAGGGGGGGAGGCTCGAACAACTCAGCCAAGCTGGTCAGTCAGTGGGTGACACAAAGGAGACGCCGCCCTTGTTTCTCTCTCATCCGTCATTGTACACATCAGGCGGCTTTGGCATCCGCAAGGCCGAGAGGGACCTCTCACGCCCCAAGAAACTCGTCGACCGCGCCAGGCGGAGCGGATACACACCACCAAAGTGAGCGAACACAACACAATCCACCCTCGAAGCGAGCACACGACATGCATTCACCGTCTGCTGTGGTTACTGTGCTGTGGTGTGTTGGTTGAAGGCCATTGGGTTTCCACAAGGCTCGTGCAGATGCGCTGAAGAAGCGGCTGGAGCAGAAGCGGAAGCGGCAGCCCAGCAAGAGGGAGGATCGGGAGAAGAGACACAAGCTGAGATCTAAGATGGGGGAGCTCAGGAAGAACCTGCTCACCAAACACTACTGACGTGTGTACCGGTTGTGCGTGGGTGGGTGCGTATGAGATGAGCAGTGTGCGTGTGTCTTGGTGCATAAGATAATGATGCAGCGTGTATTTGGCTCATGGATGGTCGTGGACCATTGAACGTTCGTGTCCTCGAAATGGTCGCGTGACGGCCACGGACGACAAACACAGACGGTCTGTACAAATATGCAGCAGCAGCTATCGTGACGCAGCCAGCCAATCATACACACACACACACACAGGCAGGCAGGCAGGCAGGCACAGCCAAACGCGTACACGCATTCAAGTAGGCATCTGCACAGCGACCACTCAGTGAATTGACATCCCTACTGGATGACAAACAGACGAGAAAAACCATCCTAACAGCAGCCAGCAAACCAGCTATCTACCGACCGAAGAAACTGCACCATCGGATGATGCAATGTTCCTCCATCTCATCTACCTCATCTACCGTATCGACATGTCAGGTCACCCCCGGCCGCTCGTATCTACTTACGCCACCGCGGCCCGCATGCTGCTCTTCTTCTTGCCCAGGCTGAAGGGCCGCTTCTTGGCCAGTGGGACGCCCTTGACGATGGCCATGTGGTGCAGCTGCTGGTTCTTGTGGTTCTGCGTCACACGGTAGTTGCCCTTGGAGTTCTCGCAGCACTCGTTGCTGGTGAACTCGGCCAGAAACACCGCCAGCTGGGCGGGGGACGCCTCCAGCGGCCGGCGATTCACAAACCACTCGACGTTCTCGGAGCACGGCGGGACGGTGAGGCTGCCCGGATAGTAGATGAACTCGGCAGCCTCACGGATGAGCTCGTTGACGTCAAAGCGCGGCTGTGAAGGGATGAGGGTCACCCGGTTGGACACGGCGGGCACCCCACGCGACAGGATCTCTTCCAGGAATGCACTCGACTGCCCCTCCACAAAGGTAAAGCCCAACACCAGAAAGTGCGTCTTGTTTGCATCCGCCTCTGTCGCCGGGATGAATTTCGTGACGACGTGCATCTCGAGGGAGTGCCGCTGGCCCTGGAAGGTGTGTTCTGCTGGGGCATGAAAGTGGATGTTGTCCAGGACATAGCTTCCGCCATCATACTCAATGTCCGCCTGGTCGGTGTCGCTCACTGACGGCGCCGCGCTTGGACACGCGCCCTCGAAGGAGTTGGGGATGGCGTCGCTGGTGATGGTTTGGCGCCGCAGCTCGATGGTGAAGCCCGTGTTGGCCATGCACATGCTCCCGGCGGGAAGGAAGCCGTACTTGAAGGTGGTTGCCGACACGGGAGCAGTGACGGGCAGGTCGATGGGCGACTGCCGATTTCGGCAGCCACACTGTCCGCACGACCAATCCTCCCCCTGATGATGATAGTCGATGATGCCGGGCGTCAGCTTGCACTCCTCATCGCTGCAGGACGAAGCGTCACCCGACTGGCAGAGAGATGACGCCTGGCTGAGCACACTCCTCTTGAGCTGCTCGAATCCGCTAGGCAGGGCCGCCTTGCACGTGGGAGTGCGATGGATGGCTTGGTCATCACGGGCACAGAGTGGAGATGAGAGTGGCGAGGGCGTGTAGTTGCCGTCGGTCCGTCCGCGCCCTCGTGTGCCTCGGTTCAGCGAGATGCCGTCGACCAACGCCGAGGGAAGGATGACCAGTAGGACAATAAGCTTCATTCTTCAGGAAACAGCAATAGTTCAAGCCAATCCGCGTCGATGTGTATATGCGCAGCTGCAGGTTTCATGAAAAAAGTCACCTTCAGGCTCGCAAATCCTGGCCAACCACTTGGGTTTGTAGGGTTGCAAACCCTCCGGATCTTGGACGGGTTTCATAGTGTTCATAGGGTTGCAGGGTATATGAAACCCTCCTACATGCCTACAGCGCGGAGCTGAGCTCCAGATGGTGGGAGAAAGCGCGTCCGCCACGTCTCCCCCCCCGCACTTGCCTGCGCAGGGAGAGCTTGTGATCGTCGAGCTCCGCCCTACTGAGGAGGCATCGCATGGCCTTCCGCGCCGCCTCTTGGACGCCAACCGAGAGTGGCCGAACAACGCCACAGGGAAGAGGAACGAAGAGATGTGGAAGGGAAGCCGTCTGTATCGCATAGTCAACTGTGGTGACAAGGATGATGCAGGTCGGTGCGCACACAGAGACACACACGCCTGCCTAGCGCCTGCCTGCCTGCCTGCCTTATGCAGCATGTGTATGACGTGCTGTCTTTGTGTGTGAAGGTTGCACATGGGACAAGGCAACGGCTGAGAATCAGACTCTCATCATCATTGGGCGCGAGGAGGATTGTGAGCACGTGCGGGGATTCTACAAAGGCGGCTTCCCTCTACGGATCCCGGACGAAGTCAACCTCGACAGACTGCGTCAACAACTCGTGACGGATTGGGGCATCGCCGTGGAGAAGGACGAAATGATATCCACACAAGTACTGAGGTGGGCTGTGACTACACTACCTCAGCACAGACACCACATGTGTTGCTTATGATGTGCTGCAGAGGGCTTGTCGTGAAGCTGTCGGCGAAGGTGTCGCGGTGGTGGTCGGATTGTCCTTTGTGGGGATCGCGGCGACGCTCTTCGTCGAGTGGGCATCAGGCACACCCCTCCTCTCGGCGTGGCCCTTCGGAGACCAATGGCCCCTCGCAACCGTTTTTGGAGCCGTCTGGGGGGCCTTCTTCTTCCAATGGTGGTACTGGCAGGCCCTCCATGCCTTCTTCACGAGAGACTGCTGGAGCAGGTGCTGTTCGCGCTCGGGTTCAGGAGATTCCTCCTCACCTCAGCATCGGTCCTTAGAGATGGCAGCGACGGAGGTGCAGCATCATACGGATGAGGATGAGGATGAGGATGGGCATGAGCATGGTGGGGGTGGGGGTGGCGTTGGAGCGTCATGAGGATGAGGACGGGCGCGCTGATGGGTTCTCTTTACGCGTCGTGCGCCTGATTGCGCGCGTGCGCCTGATTTGACGATTGAACGACTTTTTCATGTATGTTTGGTCGACGGCGCAGGCAGCAATCTGAAAAGATGACAAACACACACAGCTGGATGCGTGCTCTTCGTCGCACGCAGAGCAATGTAGATACGTACATCACTTGCATTGATTCACTGAAGGGTCCACTCACACATAGAGGACAACCTACGGATGCGTCCAGCCTGCCTGCCTCATGTCGTGTCTACGCCAGCATGCTCAGGTTGTCAGAAGAAAGCGTCTACGCGGTCAGCACAACTGATTCAGGCAATAGCAGGCACGTGGTCAAGCAAAATCCACAGACCAGGTTGATGAACACACGCACACAGAAACGCAGCAGGCATGATGCACCGCAAGCACAGCAAAAGGCGATCAGAAAGAACAAATCAGCCGAGAGAAGGAGGCCCGATCAACCAGCGGCCAGCCAGGCGTGAGGGCACTGTGTAGACAGATGCCCGCCGACGCTGATCGACCGACCGATCGAAGACCATGCAGGCAGGCCACTTACTGCATCGCAAAGAGCCTCACTCACTACACTATGAATGGGGGGATAAATGCCAGACAGCAAAAAAAGCAGGGGGGCGAATGGCGCACTCACATGTTGTCACGAAAGACACCACGCAACACGCACACAGACCGCATACATCTGTCACAAACAATCGCACCAACTAGGTCACGAATGCAACGCAACCTGGGCTTCACAGCCACACAGCTCATCTGCGAAAGTGAGGCCCGAAGGGCCGAGCCGAGCACCGACTAGACAGCGATTGACTCAAATAATGCGGCGGCTCCGCACTGAGCCACTTTGACAAAGAAGGCATACACTGAGCCTCTCCCCTCCCTCTCAAGCAACACGCAACCTGTGGGAAGCCGGTGCCGAGACGCTGTGTGGGAGGCCGCGCTTGTCGAGGATGTTCTTGGCTTGTTTGAGAGTCGTGGGCTGTTTGGTCTGCACCATCCGCACCACAAAGTGTGGCACGTTGCCCTTGACATCCACGCGGTTGATGTACGTCGCCTCCAGAGTGCCGTCAGCCAGCGGCTGCAGCACCAGCCCAGCAACCTGCGTCAGACACACACACACACACACACACACACACGAACCTCAGAGCATCAATGGGATGGCCTACTCCCGTGGTGCTGCTTACAAGGATATCACCTCGGACGAGGCCAGGGACAGCAGGTTTACTCCAGTCGATGGAGGCGTTGGTGATGGTCACTCTGCCGGTGGTGGGGTCCTCATAACGATGCTCCAGCGCCACGAAGTCGCGGCCAGCGGTGCCCATCTGGGGCTTGTACACCTGGTGCACCACCGACAGCCCCTCGCCGAACGAGTGCAGCACGCTACCTGAATGAAGCAGCAGGCACAGGACAAGACCATCAGTCAGCAACATCCGCCTATTTCCTGCTACTCTTTTTTGTTTTGCCTGCTCACCCTTGTCGAACATGCTGTCCCATTCGTGCTTCGTGTCCAGCATGCTCACGTAGTCGGCCACCTGGTTGGCTGTGTACGCCTTGCCGAAGTTGAGGCGGCCGCGCACTGCCGAGGGGCCCGAGGGAAAGTCCTTGCGACCGAGCTGACGTACCAATCAACACACAAGCCACAGGAGGGACGGTCAATGAGCCGTCCTCTGCCCGCCGTGCTTCTCTGTTTACCTGGACGCCCTCTAGCTTGCCGCAGTCTTTCCATCCCTCCTCGCCGAAAGCAAACTCCAGCAGCTTCTCGCGCTTGGCAAACGCCTGGAAGACAGGCACGGACCCATGCGCACGTACATACCCGTTCGTTGCGTGCAGCGAGCCTTGGTTGGTGCATCCATCTGATTTGTGACCCACCAGCTTTCGGAACTGCTGTGCCCGGGGTGACGGCCCCGGCGAGGTAGCGGACGACGCGGTCGTGACCGCCGACGAAGGCACTCGCCCATCTGTGTGGCATGTTACAGCAAAGAAAGACAGGTACACACAGACAAGGGTGCGGCATCCTTGTCTGTGTGTACCTGTCCCCTCAGTGCTTCGCTCGCCATCAGAAGAGTCGCTGTCCTGCGGGGAGATCTGGCTGACGGCGGAGTAGTAGTCGTCCATGCTGATCTCACTCGCATCGTCAGCCAGGGGATGATCATGGTCACCCTTCAGGCCGGGAAGACCGCCAGACACGCGGAGAGGCGAAAGGATACCCATGGCTCCTCTTGATCAGCTGAGAAAAGACTGCGGGTAAGGGCCAGCCCGAGGGGGACACAAGCTTGATGAAATGCGCCACTGAGGATGGTGTGGGGGTGGCGAACGCACTGAACGCCGAGCGGGCGAAAGAAAAAGGAAAGGGGAGGAGGAAAGAGGGAGGGAGGAGGACCCGCGCGCCTAGCTCGCAAAAAGGAATAGCTCGCAAAGGCGATCCCTCTTTCCGGGGCCAGAATGGAGGCCTTGACAGCCTCTCAGGTATGCGTGAGGACTCGCTCGGTCGTTTACGCTCTCTGGTTGTGTCCTTTCGAGGCCTTCAGAGGCGTGAGGTGGATGAGGTGTTCTGCTTCTACGACAGGGCCAAATCTGGCAAGATATCCATCGCTGAGGTTCCCAACTGCCTGCGGGCCCTCGGGCAGTGCTTCACGGAGGAGGAAATGAAGGACAAGATGACAGGTGAATGTCAACGGATGCTCCATGCGAGTTGAAGTGAGGCTCTTGGGGCTGTTGGGGGGGTGTTGGGGGAGCAGGGTTGCGTGGCAGGGAGGTGACTAAGACGGAGTTTATGGCCATCGCGGCGGAGTACTATGCGGCCGGGGATGGATCGCCCGTAGCGAAGGACGAGTCGAACCTCATGCGCGCGTTCAGGGTGATAACCGGCACCTCCACGACCTGCTGGTGTCATTGACTCCGTTGCTTTCAGGTGTTGGATGAGTCGCAGGGTGGCGTCATCGATGCCAATATGTTGATGACGGCACTCACGACGTGTGGCGACAGAATGACGGTGGACAGGAGGAGGAGGCATGGACGGAAAGCGGTGGGTGGGTGGATCTTTGGTGTGTGTGTTGTGTGCTGGTGTGTTGCAGGAGGGTGAGGTTGATGATGCGTTCAAGTATCTGCAGGTCAAGCAGGGCAGCGGCGCGATACCGTATGCTGACGTCAACAAAATGTGAGAGACATGAGTCCTCAATCCAGCACATGGTTGCATGTGGTGGGCTGTCTGTTCCGACTGCAGGGTGCAGCACATATTGGACCTTCAGTAGATGAGCGGAGACGGCCACACTTCCTGTGTGAGTGTATGTATGTATGTATGTATGTATGTATGTGTGTGCGTGTGTGCGTGTGTTTGGTGACCAAATTCAACACGCACGCGCATTTGATGAACGTATGACTCGTCCGGCACACAGCGTTTCATAGTATATGCATTTATTCATCAAACTGCACGTCTTTGTTTGTCGGCCACTCAAGTCATCTGTCGAGGAGACAGGCATCGCAAACGGATCACACAAACGTCAGATATAAAATGCAGGCAGCGATGGATGGGGGAATAATGGGGGAGAGAGAGAGACAGACAGGCCGGCCGGCAGGCAGGCAGCACAGCCCCCCTCTCCCTATCGGCAAGGGTCGCAGCCCCTCGTGCACCTGCCGGACATTGCGCGGAATCGATGGTTGCAGGAACATACGGATATAAAATGGAGACAGCGATCTGCACACACGAGGCTCGTTCACAGGCAGGCAGGAGATCAAACATGAGTTCAGGCGATCTGGTGACGCACAGCACAGCACGACGGACAGATGAGATGAACGACGACCGTAGTGCGTGCAGGATGGGCCTCCGTCTGGGTCTCGTCGGCAGCGAGTCCAGAGGCTCGTCGCCGCTGAAGGGTACTGAGGGCAGATCACCTGACACACACAACAGGCACACACACATGTGTCCTTCGGCGTAGGCGTCCACATAGACTCACTCACCCTGATGGTGCCTTCTGAGCGCCTCGGTCTGGCGGGGGGGTGGCGGGGGGGTGGCGGCTGGCTGCAGGGTGCCCAGATATTCCCTCAGGCCGCGCGCTTGCGCTCCTTGAGCTCCTGATGGATGAACGGAAAAACCAATCACACACGCATCCATCAAAGCGTGTTCCTGTCTGCATGGTGACGGTGCAGTCCTACCTCCAGCGTTGGTGCGATGCCGGCGGCAACAGCCTGGGCCAGCATGTCCTCGAGGACCACTGTGGTGGCGGGGCTGGTGGGGCTGGGGGTGGCCGTGGGGGTCGGCGAGGCCACTGGCAGGAGGGGGCGGGCTGCCTGGGTGGCGGCATTTCGGTCCATCTCGGCCTCCCTCCTGACACAACAAATGTACATGAGGGAGACCGGGGGCGCTGACTGACTGACTGGCTGACCTCCTGCGCCTCTTTCAGCAGGTTCTGCAAGCGAGAGACCTCCGCCTAGAAAGATGAAACAAAATCGCCAGCCAGACACAAGACACTATCAATTTAGGGGGCTGGGCTGCTTATTCATTGTAAGTATGTATTGTGAGGTGAGTGACGGGAGGTGAGTGATGGGGAGGGACGTACCTGTGTGCTGGCGGTGCTTCGCTGCACCTCCTCCTCGGCCAACCGTTTCTCCCGAGTGGCGGCCTCCTGCACGGCATTACGGTCGATAAGCGCTGACACGTACTGACACGACACACAGCGCTTGGCGCTGCTCGTCGGCTGTTGTGCTGAGGTCCCGTTCCTTGACTGAGAGTGCGTGCGTGAGGTCATTGTTGCGATGCTCCTGTGTGTCACACTTGGTCTTCAGGTCCTGACACGTGTGACACACAGGCAATTAATAGTGAAAGCCTGGCGTGGCCATTCACTCACCCACGGTTTCTTGAGCCACGCAGCTGCTGCTCTGCGGCGTTCCTCTGTTTCTTGAGATGGGCAGCCTCAGCGGCCAGGCGCTTCTGGGCTCCCTCATGGCCTTGAGATGCTCGTGCAGACTGTCCACTTGACGCAGTGCGGCGTTCCTCTGTTCCTTGAGATGGGCAGCTTCAGCGGCCAGGCCCTTCTGCGCTTTGTCGGCCTCCTCGGCCCTCAGCGCACGCTGTCGAGGGTCCAGAAGGACGGCTGCCGGGTCCTCAGGCACCTCCCCGCTCTCACGCACCGACATGGCGGCAGCGGCAAGAGCTGCTGCGGAATTCAATTTATGTTTAGGGTTTGTCTCTTAGGGTTTGTCTCCTAATCTCGACGACAATATCAAGGTGGGGAGTCGTCGCGTCATGACCCCTCAACCAGACAGATCCATGCGCACACACTTCAGTCGGACGCACACTTCACGAATGTCACAGACGCGTTCTGTCAGGTTTGTATGTCATGTATCGGTGCGATGTGCCATGGATGGACACACTCCTCATCACTTGGGCGGCCTCTTGTGCTTCGCTCGAGCCTAACACACACACACACACACACACACACACACACATCCCCTTCGATCTGAGGTGCAGGTGAGAAACAGTGCACGTGGGGTCTGCTTACTGCCTTGTCGACTTGTTTGAATTGCTTGGCGATGGTGAGTTTGTCTGTGGCCGAGATGGGCGCATAGCACACGTCACACAGCTGGCGTCTCATGGTCTCGCGACGGGCTGGAAAGGGGACAATACACACACAGAGACATTCATGAGCGAAGGGCGTGTATATGTCAGCCAGCCACACTCACATGTCTTCTCCTTGAGGCAGGCTGTGTGGAAGGTGTGGCCGCACTCGAGCGTGAACAGAGTTGTGTCCTCCGTCCTGTACACAACACAACACAACGCAACACAACACAACACACAGATGGACACGCACATGATCGATGCGCACCAGTGAAACGCCTCTTCGGTCAGCCGAGCCCAGCAGAGGCGACACGAGTCGCCCTTGTCCTCGTCAGCAGAGCCCTCGTCTCCCTCGGCCGCCCCCTCGCCCTCTGTCGCTCCCTCGCCCATGCACTCATCGAACCACGACTGGTTGGATTGGGCACTGTGGAACGCACGCGAGCTGACAGATGAGGGGCTGAAGAGCAGACGACCCGACAAGCGAGTGCCGCGTGTGTGTTGAGAGAGACGCAGAGAGTGAATGTCGATACGGCGGGAGTGGCTGGGTGCTGCTGCTGCTGCTGGGAGGTGGTGGTGGTGTGACTGCGTCGGGGAGCCGTCGAATGTGATCAAATCCTCACCATCATCCTACACACAGACGCAGTGCATGATTGAGTGATTGGTCGCTTTTCTGAGTGTCTGTGACCCATTCTATCACTCACGTCGTGCTGTGCTTGCTGAGCCGAACAGCTGACACGACGCTGCTGATTGTTGGTGTTGTGGTCTGCACACAGCAGCCCGCCAGTGGTCACGCGTAGAAAAGTGCGGCCGATGTTGACAGCCCGAGCAAACAGAGAAGCATTCTTCTGAAGAATCAGTCGGTTGGGCTTGCCGCAGCGACGGAGCACCGCCTACAGCAAAAGCAGAATCAAGCAGAATGGGACAAGCACACGAGACACAGATCTAGAGTGCGCACCTGCTTCTCTGCATTCGGACCCTCGAGCAGCCGTCTTGTGGTCTTGACCCGAGTCATGATACAAACATCAGTCAGGCAACATCAGTGGAAGAAAGGACAGCTGCTCAGGGCATAAAAGCACGCTTGTACAGGGAACAGCATTCGTGTACGTATACTCGACACACACACAGACACACACACACACACAGACACACACACAGACACACACACAGACACAGACACACACACAGACACACACACAGACACACAGACACACACACAGACACACACACAGACACACATACATGATCGATCGATCGTGTATACGTATTCAGCCATGAGACACGTCTGTGAATGAGTGCACTAATGAATGAATCGATGAGCCTTCCATCACCACGGCCCCGCCCCCTCATAGGAGTCAAAAGCTTGCCCGAAGAACGACACGTATGGTGTCTTGCACTGCAGTGCCCACAGGTCTTTTTCCTCGTCGTCCCTCCACAGACCAGGACCATCATCGGCGTACCTCTCCGCCGAGGAAGCCGCAGAAGAAGCGGCAGATTCAGTTGTGGATAGGGCGTTCTCTCCTGTGGGCACAGCCAGCTTTGTGATCTGTGTCGACGGCCGCTTCACGTCCCCTTTGCGCCGGTCATCGACTCGCATGACATTATCAGGGCCGGACATCAATGCGGGCGGGATATTGTACAACTGAAACAGACAGACAACATCGAGGTGTGTGGTCACCACAAGTCGCTCGCTCCTTTTCGTGTGGTTACCTCTAGTGTCTGCAGCTGAGACAGCTGATGATGGGCATGGTGGCTTGCCCGCCTCGGAGGTGCCAGCACCGAGCTCAGATTCGACAAGTGAAACCCAGCGGCAGACGCCTGCAGTGGCAAAGACGACCTCTCGATGGAGACATGTGTGGCTACTTTTCTCTGCTGACCCTCACGACTTCTGACGGCCTCATGAAACCGACGAGAAGAGTGCTGTAGGAGCTTTTCTGCGGCATGTCGAACAAAGTCACCTCACGGCCAGCGGTCGCCTCCTCGAGGCCGCCCTGTGGGCCCACAGGCCTGCCGCCCCTGATACGACAGCGAGGGATGGTGGGCAGCTCACCACCAAAGGCATCTCTGAGCATGTCGCCTTCAAAGTCATCGGGCGCAGAGCCTTCATCCGTTTTCGAGCCGGCGCCTGAATATCAATGCACCAAATGAATGTGACACAGACCAAACCAAAGCGCATTCTCTCCTCTTGTGCTTGCCCTGTTCCGTGCTCTCGTCTTCTGTCACGTCAGGGGCTCTGCCGCTGCTTGACGGCGGGAAGCGGCCTCGCGACACGGGATGAGAGGACGCAGAGGCCGACGGAGGCATCTCGTGCATGCCCTTGACGCCGGCATCCATGAGGATGGATGCATCGGGCTCGTCGGTGAGATCCCAAAACGGACGCAGCGAAAGTGCAAGTGGGGCGGGAACCTTGAAGTGCGGCGGCTTGAGCTCCTGCAGTATGGCCCTCACCCCTCCGTAAGAGCCGGCCGATTCGCGAGACGGGGGAGGCAGCAATGCGCGGAGGGGACGGGGCAGGGCGGAAGATGGGGGCGAGGCGGCCTTCTCTGCGTCCTGCTCCTTCATCTCGCGCGCGGCATCCTGACGCATGCGCTGCCTGCAGTGGAAATGAGAGTGTGCCATTCAAGTGCTTGACGTGGGAGCGACTCCCGCTCACCTTTGTCTGAAGGTCTCCTTGCCTCGCAGCCATCTGTCGTACTTGGTTGAGAAGCGGATCGACGCGATCTTGGCCTAGCAGGCAAAGCGACCAAAAGAAGGCATGATTGGGGTTCAATAGCACTGCGCGCCGTTATTACCTCATGTCTCCTTTCGTCCTCGAGCAAGTCACGGAAGTCCACATCCGCAGAACGTCGGTGCGCCTCATCAGCCGCCCGGACCTTTGCCTTCCACGCCTATCCATACAAAGAGGTGGAACGGTACTCAATGTCGCAGCAACCTTTAGATGTCAGCGTACGTCGAATTTCGGCTTGTTGATATTGGTGTGGACGAATGCCGATGCGACAAATGTGTGTGACTCGCAGGCAGCCACCTGCACGACCGGCTGGAGCAGCAAGTCCTCAACAAGCTGAGGCTGGACCTACATGAAATGAGACAGGACATGAAAGAGTCAATCAGCTGCTGTCCGTGCATCTCTTTTAACCTGGTTCTCTGGTCTGTCAGGTCTGAATGGATGGCCCAGTTGCCCCCACTCGTGGCTGCCCCAGGTGTACAGCAGACCGAACAACGTCAGGGCACAGCTGTGTGAGGCACCGAACGAGAGGGAGCACACGCCCTTGCCCTGAGACACACGTATGGGATTGAGCCGGTGCCTCTTTCTCCTTGGCATAGAGCTAGTGCCTCTTTCTCCTTGGCATAAACTTACTTTGAAGAACTCCAGCTTCCTGGGCACGCACTGATTGTGAATGTTGGGGTGGTCGCACTTGTCGCTCACGCCGAGCTGTCCGCAGTTGTTGCTGCCCCACACCCACACATTCAGCTCCTCGTCTATCGCTCCGCTGTGGGCACCACCGGACGCTATCAGCCGACACAGGGGGATCCGCCACACCCTGGACACACACGTGCTGGTGTGCACACAGAGGTCTCCCTCTGTGTGAGTGTGTGTGTGACCGTCACTTGGTAAGCATTCTGCGCTGTTTGACGTCGCCCAGGCCCAGGCGACCCTCCTCAGCGGCGCCAGTTGAGTATACCTCTCCCGAAACACTCAGAGCCACCAAATGAAAGCGGCCGCAGGCCACCTGCAGAAATCCTCTCTTTGGTCCCTTGGCACACTGTGGCGTCCAGTAGTCTTTGCAGTCGCCAGTGCCGAGTGCGCCTGAGGCCCCCTCGCCCCACGTGTATAGCGCTCTGTTCATCCCTGTGAAAATAGAGACAGGCGCGATAAGCTTGTATCCCTCTCACTTTCTCTCTGCTTCAATTGCTGTACCGATGCATGCCGAGAAGGCCTTGCCACATGAGATATGCGTGACGTCATGAAGATCAGGAATCAGGGTCGGCTTCCACACATAGACGTCATCCAGGGCATCCTTGCCCCTCTCGCCTCCCCTCTCCCTCTCCTCCACACCAGACTGGGCCGCAATAGATCTTTTTCTTTCTGTTCCGAGCACATCTATGCCCGACAGAATAGACGCCTGGTGGACAAACGACTGCCGGCCGGCAGACGCTGGGCTGGGGTCCGTCATTGTGACAGCTGATGCTCCATGAGGCAGTGTCAGGGTGAGCTTCGAGTGCCGATGTGGTGTTGCCGGATGTGAGAAGGGGATGTCTCCTGCCGGTTGCCGCTCAATCAGGGGCAGCCGGGACGCGGGAAGGCCGAGGCGGCCGTGTGCTGCGTGGCCAAAGGCGAAGACCTTGCCCTCAACGGTGAGCACGAGGGTGTGTGCGGCCCCGCATGCCACCTGCACCACAAACTCCCTCTCGAGCGCGTTGACAAGACTCGGCGCAGGAGCCACCAACGTATATTCTTCCTCCCCTTCTCCACCTCCATTTGGCGCTTGGCCGCCGGCTTTGTACCCAGCTGGCGGAGGTTTGCTTGCCAGCAGTCCCGTCTGCCCCCTCGAACCATCCCCCCAAGCGTAGACCGTGCCGTCCGTCATCACCGCACAGCTGTGGCCGACACCTCCTGCAAGTTGCGCAACGCCGCCCTTCACCGGCAACCCTCGCACGGGCTGTGGCGAGCCGACACCGCCCCCTTTCGGAACGGCTTTGCCCCCTCTCCCCAGCTGGTGGGACTCATCATGGCCGAAGGACTTGAGCAGATCAGCCCCAGCGCCGCTCTCCACCACATAGACAATCGACTTGAAGAAGAGGGAGTCCAGATCCTCGCTCTGAGATGTGACGTAGTGCAGGAGATCGATCTCTTCTGAGGCGCCGCCGCCCCCCGCCCCCCCGCAGCCCCTCTGGCTGGCAGATGCGACACTGTCGGTGAGGACGACCACTTGCCTCGGCTGGTGGTAGTCGTTGGGTTTGAACTGCAATGTGTCTGGCCGCACGGCCACGGCGCCTAGGTTGGCTCTGATGGAGATCACCACGGGCGACTCGGGCTTGGTGCTGAGAGAGATGTGGTAGAAGTCCACCAGGGGGGCGCCGCCCTGCACCACCACCAGCCTCCGCTTTGAGACCTCGATGCCCTTGGAGGACGGCTCTATCAGGCGCATACGACGCATCCTGACGATAGCTGTTTTGACGCGTGTCCCGTCTCGGGGGCCCTGGGGGCTGCGAGCTTGCATGCTGAGGGGGCAGTGAAGTCTGAAACCTCAGTATATAGCTCAGGGATCAGCCTATCAGGGGCTCCTGAGCCGTTTTTGTGAAGGAAAGAGCGTTTGGTTGCGCCTCCTTGGTCAACGGTCAGGGCTCACCTTCCTGCCCGCGCTCTCGACGGAGAGTCCCACGCGCGTCGCCAGCTTGCGCCAACGCAACGCATCTCGTGTCAAGATGCTGACGACCACTCGACTGTCGGTAGCCCTGCTCGTCGCCCTGGGAATCCTGACACACCTGGTGGATGGCTGGTACCTGCCAGGAGTGGCGCCACGGGTGAGAAAGACACCGATAGGCAGGCAGGGGTTGGCACACTCACCAATGCTGTGCCTTTGTGTGTGGCGTGAAGGATTACGAGCGGGGAGCTCCTGTGAAGCTGAAAGTGAACAAGCTGACGAGCGTCAAGACGCAGCTGCCGTACAAGTACTACCATCTGCCCTTCTGCACGCCCGAGGACATCAAGAACGAGGCAGAGAACCTGGGCGAGATCCTACAGGGAGATGTCATCGAAAACTCGCCGTATGAGGTGAGCGTTGATCTGGACGACATGTGTGCATCTCTCTGTGGATGTGTGTGTGTATCATGCAGATTGAGATGCTCATGCCAGTGGAGTGCAAGGTGCTGTGCAAGAAGGATCTCAAGAAGAAGGAAAAGGACCTCTTCAAAACCATGATCGACGACGAATACTACGTCAACTGGTCAGTCCGCACACACACGCACAACGGATGTGTGTCGATGCGTTCACACACCCCGCCTCCCCCACCCGCATCCATTCAGGATAGTGGACAACCTTCCCGCGGCTATGAAGTACAAGGCGGGCGACCAGACGGGCTACCTGGCGGGTTTCCCGGTCGGCCAGCCGCTGCAGGGCGCCTACGTGCTGCACAACCACGTGCGCATGACGTTCAAGTACCACAGCCGCAGTGACACCGGCGGCACCGAGGCTGCCAGGATTGTCGGATTCGAAGTCGAGCCCGTCAGGTGAGGCGGGCCAGGGAGAGGGAGGGAAGGAAGGTCTCGTGGTGTGTGCTTACATGGGCTGATCGTGTGTGTGCAGTATTGAGCATCCGGTGTCTGCCGACGAGACCAACCCCACCTACTCGTGCAGCGGTGAGCAGTGGGAAGGGCTGGCTGTGCGGTGGTGCCGTGACCGGCGTTGCGTGTGTCTGTTATGTGTGTGTGTGCGCGCATGTGTGTGTGTGTGTGTGTGTGCGCAGGTCCCACATTGAATGTGGAGAAGGCCGACTCGGTGGTCTTCACCTATGACGTCAGATGGGAGGTCAGCACCAGCTAGCCACACTACAAGAAAGCACCCGTTGTCGCACGTGGCATGCATGAGTCTTGCTGTCGGTGGGTTGGCGTCCGTGTCTGTGTCTGTGTGCAGCCGTCCCCCGTCAAGTGGGCGTCTCGTTGGGACATGTACCTGAAGATGACTGACAGCCAGATCCACTGGTTCTCCATCATCAACTCCCTCATGGTCGTCCTCTTCCTCTCCGGCATGGTCGCCATGATCCTCCTGCGAACTCTCCTAAGGGATATCGCCAAATACAACGAGGTAGACGCACGACCACAGACACACACACACACATCCACACCTGATGCACGATGGCGTGTGTCTGTCTGTGTTTTAGATGGTAGACTCGCTGGAGGAGGCCCAGGAGGAGTCGGGTTGGAAGTTGGTGCACGGTGACGTGTTCCGGCGGCCCCCCTACTACCAGATGCTGGCCGTGTGCACCGGATCGGGCGTGCAGATCCTCGGCATGACCTGCGTCACGCTCGTCTTCGCGGCACTCGGCCTGCTCTCACCCGCACACAGAGGCGGCCTCTTGCAGGTCTGTCAATGCGAGAGCACAGAAGCGCCGTATGTGTCGATTTATGTGTCGTGTGGTTCTGCTTCAGGCCATGTTGGTGCTGTTTACGTTCATGGGCTTCTTTGCCGGCTACACGGCAGCCAGGTTCAACAACGTCATGGAGGTCAGCCAGCAGTTGTGCTGTCAGTCTGCCGTGCAGCCAACACACATACGTGCTGTTCTGTCTGTTGGTCTTCTGTTCTGTGTGCAGGGTGACGACTGCGAGCGGAGCCACACCGTCACGCTGTACACAGCGCTGCTGTTCCCAGGTCTGGATGCACACACACACACACGCACAGAGCACCGATCCAAGATCTCACATGACTGTGTAATGTTATATACAGCCGTCACATTTGGGATATTCTTCACCCTGGATCTGCTCATCTGGGGAGAGCAGTCGTCAGGCGCGGTACGCTGGCAGCCCATACGCAAGGCGAGACGACGTGTGCACAGCATTTTGCTTCGTGTGCAGGTGCCGTTTTCGACCATGTTTTTGCTGCTGGTGCTCTGGTTCGGCATCTCGGTGCCCCTAGTCTTCATGGTACGGACACAACACACGACCCCGTCCATGTCGACCTGTCGGTAAAGACAGAGGTCGGTACGTGTGTGTGGGTGTGGGTGTGTAGGGATCGTACTTCGGCTACAAGAAGGGTCCGATGTCGCTGCCCGTCCGCACCAACCAGATCCCAAGACAAATACCCGTAAGCAACACAGACAGACAGACAGACAGACAGGGGGGAGCAAGACACGGCCATGTGCGCCACTCTCTCTCTCTGTGTGTGTGTGGATGCTGGTTGCGTGAATGCAGCCCCAGCACTGGCTGACCCACCCCCTCATGACATGCCTAATTGGAGGCGTCCTGCCTTTCGGGTACACTACACACCATCATGCAGCAACAGGGTCGCCATTGTGTCCGTCCATCTGCGTGTGCCACCCACCCACTCACCATTCGTTCAGGGCTGTGTTTACGGAGTTGTTTTTCATCATGTCGTCGATGTGGCAGCACCAGTTCTACTACCTGTTCGGCTTCCTCACCCTGGTGCTGGTCATTCTCATCATCACATGCGCTGAGATCTCCATCGCATTCACCTACTTCCAACTCGCCGGGTATGTATGTCAGCAATTGGGACAGCCAGATAGAGAGCCACATGGATGGATGGCCTGTGTGTGTGTGGTTTCCTCCTCGCTTGTCACAGTGAGGATTACCGCTGGTGGTGGCGATCGTTCCTGTCGTCTGCGTGCTCGGCCGTGTACGTCTTCCTCTACTCCGTCCTCTACTTCTACACCAGGTGCCATGCGCACGGAGGACGGAAAGGCGGGACGATGGAGGGATGTGAGTGTGTGTGTGTGTGCGTGTGTGTGTGTCTTGTGGGTGGGCAGATTGAACATCAACAAGTTCGTGTCGGTGCTGCTGTATTTCGGCTACATGACCATCATATCTTACTCCTTCTTCCTGCTCACCGGTACACACACACACGCGCGCGACTGCGAGCCCAACAAATGGCCCCAACTTCTCTCGGTGGTCTTCTGTGTATGTGTGTGTGCAGGTGCGATTGGGTTTGTGGCGACATTCTTCTTTGTGCGGGCCATCTACGGCTCCATCAAAGTCGACTAGCACCCCCTCCCCCCCACACACCCGCCCCCCTCCAGACACACACACGGTCCCCTGTAGATGAGGGAGAGATAGAGAGGCCGCCCGTCCGTGTGCGGGCACCCATGGATGCTACTCGACTCGCTAACTTAACCAATTCACTTGTCCTTGTTTTTTGCTGCCTGTGCGTCTGCGTGTCTGCGTGACGACCGGTGGTGACACGCTTTGGATGCATGGTGGTAATTAATGCCTGTGATGGTTCGCATGGATGGATGGCACACGACCCACCCACACGCACGCACATGCACACACCGTGTTTTGTTGTCGTGTTTGTTGCTTCGCTGCATTTCGTTGATGCGACACAGACAGACACACACACACACGCACACACGTGTGTAATACGCGTCACATGGCAAGGAGATGGGAGGGTGGTGGATGTGGTCGCCACGACTGAGTAGAGATGGCCGACCAGAGATCCCTCCCTCCCTCTCGGATGGACGTGTGTGTGAATGGATGGCGCCCACAGCTGGATGATGACTCTCGTCGATCCGCCCAGATAGAGGCTAATTCACCAGACAGCCCAACTGCCTAATTGCCTGCCTGCCTGCCTCTCTCAGTCGCTCTACTTGCCTGTCTATTTGTTTGTGGTGTCTGGTCGGGGCCGTGCTGATGTGAATATGAGCTGACTGACAGATGCGCACACCACTCCCACACACAGATACATACACTGAGACCAGAGAGAGACCTGGTAAGCCTAGCTGCCTCCTCTCGGCTGCCGTCTGTTTCCTCATGGTGGGCGTGTTGTCTCGCGTGAGTGGATGCAAATCGGTGCGGCACAAAACCGTCGCTATTCGATTTGCATCTGTGACTCGCGGGCCGCACGCCCTGTGCCATGGGGAACAGATGTGCACATCACATGCCGTGAAGAGCTGAACCCAAATGCGTTCGCTTTTGCCGTAGCTGGATACACTGCACCGCCCACACCACACCACACCACACGGCTCTGCCTCCGCCTTGTTTTTCCCCACCTGTAGGCTCTCGCTCCCTCTCTCCCTCTCACACACACTCTTGCTCGTCTGTCTGTCCGTCTGTCTGGTGACTGCGTGTACAGGTGCATGTGTTGCGTGCCGTGCAGTGCCGTACCGTGTCTAGGGGTGCTACTACACGTGTGAGTGTACATTTTGCCCTTGAATGCCTGTGTGCGTGCCTGATGTGTGGGATAGTGGGTGGCCTCAGTAGGAGGCAGGCAGGCAGGCCCCCGTGGCGCGCCGTGGCCTGCATGGCACTCACTGGTTAGTAAAGACTTGTAGGGAATGGACCAGCGAGAAACCACTTGGTAGGCACGACAAACAGTCCGTTGGTTCTTGAATGCGTGGATGTGTGGAGTCCTGAGCAGATACAATACAACAATGCGACTGACTGACTGACTTGTGCAACGAATGTGCTGTGCGACAAGAGCTAACCCACCCACTCACTTACCCCACTCAGCCGCACACACACACATCCATCCCTCATCAGATGCCCCCCTCCTGCCCCAACCCCACTCCCGTCATGTTGGGCTCAGTGATGTCGGGCTCGCCCCCCCTGGCACGTATCTGCATCTGCATATGGAGTATCTGCGCGTCGCGCTTGGCCAGCTCCACCTTCAGAGACGACAGCTCACGACCGTAATGCTTCGCCTTCTCCCGCAACTCATTCTCCTGAACACACATGTCTCTCTCTCTGTCTATGTATTTGTGTGAATGGGTGTATAATTACGAGTGCGGCTTTTCTGATTTCGAGTTGTTCGCATTTCATCATCCACTCCTGCCGCTCCTCGTCCAGCCGACTCACGTCGGGACCGGGGGGCGCCTGTGGCCTCGCCGAGGGCTGCTTGCGTCTGGCTGCGCCTGGTGGTGGCTCCTGACCGAAGGTCTCTACCATCTCCTCCAGACGCTGGATCTCCTCGTCCTGCGATCCACGAGAGACATGTAGAGGGATGGCGTATACAGTGCGGTTTGGTTTGGTTTGGTTTGGTTTGGCGTGGTCATGCTCACCCTGTCCTTGATCTGTGTCTGGAGCTCGGCGATGTCCTGGTCGATCCCGTCGTTGTAGCCCTTCTGCACCAGCAGACCACGGACCCTCTCCTGCACACACACACGCACAGACAGACAGACACACATACAGTAAGTACTTGTGTCTCTCTCGGGTACTTGTGTCTCTCTCGGGGTGTCTCTGTGTGTTTCAGTGTGTCCCTGCCTGTAGTCTGTAGTTTTCTGTCTTGAGTATCTCGTTGTTGTGCTGCAGCTGCTGCGACCGCTGCACCTCATCCAATGACGACTCCAGCACCTTCTCAAGCTTCTGGATCACCTGCACAGCCAACAACACCACGCCACACACATCCAATCCTCATGTGTGGGCGTGGCGGCATCGGCAGCAGACGTACCTTCTCCTGGCTCTTGGCCGTCTGCCGATATAGCCCCACTTTGGCGTTCTCCGACTGCAGCCGCTGCAGCACGGCAGCCTGCTCGACGTGAGCCTTCTCGATCTCTTCCAGCTGCCGCTGCAGCCCACGGCCGCGCGCCACCTCCTTCATCGCCGCCTCGAGACGCTTGCGCATCTCGACCACCTTGCCCTTCTCCTCCCTGTATTTGTAGAGAGTCGTTTTGAGCTTGATGGCCAGTTCTGCGTTGGTAAGGTGGTCGAGGGGTATGTGCTGCAAAGGGTCGCCTTCGGGCGGTCTGCCGCTGCCGGTGTCCGCCCAGATTTCCTCCTCCTCCCTCAGCTGCTCCTTGAGGCTGTCCCGCTCGCTCTTGAGGAGACTTATCTGCTTCTTCAGCTCAACTATATCGTTCCCAGCCTGCTTCAAAGCAGCTGCCCTGACACACACACATACACACACACACACACGCACGCACACACACACATGGCAGGAACGGGATGCAGGGAGTGGTCGGAGAGTGTGTGGCGGTTGGGGTGACCTCATGTTGAATTCCTTCATGAGATGGGCGGTGAGCTGGTGGTCCTGCCGCAGCTCGCCCAGCTTCTGCTCGAAGGCAGCTACCGTCAGAGGCGCTGCCAATGAGGATGCACCGGGTGGGGCAGCAGGGGCACTGCTGGCAGGCTCTTGACGCCCCTCAGCAGCAGCAGCGGCCGGCGGCTCTCTCTCTCTGGCTGACGGCATGTCTATGTCTCGTGGCGGTGGTGGTGGTGGCAGGTGAGGCTGCTGCTCTCCCGCCATGACGGTCACCCCTGATGGTCTCCGTATTGTGTTGATCGACGGCCACACCCGTGCCTCCAGCTCAAAGGATGCAGCGGCAGTGGGGTGCTCTAGCAGACGGACATCCAGCAGGAAGGACCGCTGGAGGGGCGCTGACCCACTGGGAGGGAGCAGAGGGGACACATCTGCACCCGTATACCCATCCAGACACCCACAGACACAGACACACAGACACACAAAGACCGTTTCTCGGTATCCTAGCGATGTCTCTCTCCCTCACCGACAGTGGCAAACCCCGCGAGCACGTCAGGAAGCTGTGCGTCACCGAGAGTGGAAGGCCCCCGGCAGTAGAGCAGCACCGTCACACGCGACAGCTCAGCTGGCGATACCAGCGCCCTCACCACGTACCCATCGAAGCACGGCGTCCGGCTGTTGTCGACCACATGAGTGGCGAACCGCCTCGCCGGCCTGTCGGAGGCAAAGTAATCCCTCACGGTCGTCGTAAGGTCCAGCCTGCCGTCGTAATAGTGCGTCAACACCGGCAACTGCGGGATGGAGGGATCTTTCGAATCGCCGTCGAACGACAGAACCGCCATGACGTCGGTGAGCGGCTCAGGGAGGGGGCGATGCGACGGCACGCCGTGCAGACGGAACTCCACGGGGTGTGTAGGGGGGTGGGCGGGGGTCTTGGCGGGCAGCTGGTGGTGGGATGGTTCCATGGTCAGGGAGAGCAGCAGAGATGGCGGTGGAGCGAGAGACATGGACATGGATGGGGAGGGGTCGCATGTGAGGTGCAGTGGGTGGCAGGGGGGGAGGGCGTTGAGGAAGAGGGAGGTGGTGAGGAGGGAGTGGGAGGCGCTGCCAGACTGCACGTGTAGGGAGAGCTGCAGCCGCTGGTCGTCGGCCTGTGCGTCGGGGGGAAGCGGAAGGACCACCTGCACTGACATCAGATACACACGAGCATATACAGGTGGCTTCCACCGTTGCACACACACACACTCATCTGTCACCTCTTGGTTGAATGAGACCAGTGTGTGCGGCTCTGACGTGGTGACCAGCACATCTGACGTGGCGCTCTCCGATAAGACCGACCCGTCATAGCGCAGCAAACGCATCACCACCTGACCACCCACAAGATTTGATGAGAGCCAAGTCTTACGGGCTGCAGAGAGGCACGACATTGTCTTACATTTGAAAGAGCTGACGGAGCACCAACAGGCGGGGCCAGGCGGGCCGACCGGACCACAGCTCGCAACCGACACCTACACACACATACACAAGACACAAGACACATGGGAGACACACCTTCCACACCCACGCCCTACCTGAATGGATGAGCAATCCACAGCGAGTGTTCCAGCTGCGGCAAAGGGCCACCAGCCTCGCCGTCAGCCGCCGAAGGCAGCTCCAGCTCACACGCATCGTCCCTCCGCATGCTGGTCAGCTTCACCGTCACCACCCCCCGACCCACTGTGATTGTCTTGCCCTGATCGCCCTCTGCCTGTTGCTGACTCTTCCTGATGAATGTGATAGCCTGGGTAATCGGGGCCGGCTGCTGGATGTTCAACTTCCGCAAACTCACCGATCCCTCCCCCAGGAACCGTGCTGCGCCGTCCCTGATGGCCGGCACATCGCTCCCTGATGCTGCAGCTGGCGGGGCGCCCACGAGGACATATACGGCGATGTCAACAGAGCGGGAGGGGATGTCTGTAAGCGTTGCGTCGTGGAGGGGCAGGAGGAAGGACGACTGGCGGAAGGTGGGTCTGTCGGTGACGGCCGACACGTCACTCCGCCTCTTGGGGCCGATGCCGTCCACCTGCACACTGAGGAAGTAGTTGAAGGGCCTGGCGAACTCCAGGTCAGATATGGACACGTCCAGCACTCCCACATCTCCACTGGCAATGGCAGTGGCACCATCCGCCACCTCTCCCCCGATCTCTTTGGGTATCTTTCTCTGCAACTCATCTTTCTCGGTTTCCAGCTCCTTGATCCGCTGCTCGAGTGCGGCCTTGTCCCGCTCGATGTCCTTGTTCTCAGTGTTGGTCTTCTGCAGGTTTTGCAGCTGCTCCCGATGCTCGTGGATGGTCCGCTGCAGCTCCTCAGCCGCCTTCTGGTGCGCCTCTGCCTCTTCCTTCTTGGCCGCCAGCTCCTGGGCAATTGACTCTCTTGCTGCCTTCTCGTCGTCCAGCTCGAGCTGCTTGGCCGTGAGGGCGGTTTGCTTGGTGTCCATGTCCTTGGAAAGGGCCTCGTTCTCCTTCTCTTTGGCGGCAAGCTTTTGCTGCAGTTCGACGATCTCGTCCGCAGGCTTCTTCTTGGGAGCCATGGTGAGAGGGCCGGGTGCCTATTGGCGCAGAACACCACGGGCAAGCTGGATTGGACGATATTGAGACTGGGGGCATGGGGGGCGCATTCGGCGAGTGCATGCATGCAAAATGGTCGCAGATCTTTGTCCCGAAAGGTGTTTGAGAGGTTTTTCTGTTTGTGTCTGCCCATGCACTGCACGCGACATTGTGCACATAGAAACGTATCGTGAGCTGCATGGATTGGACTGATGCATGCGCATGGACGTGCGAACAGAAATCTGTCCATCCCTCCCCTCCCCCTCCCCCTCCCGTCTTTCACGACACGTACGTTGGTACGTGCGTGCGCACAGACGCATCCCCTCCTCATGCAGGCAACCAGATTCATTATGCAGCAGCACCAGCAGCAGCAGCAACATGCAGCAGGCAAGGCAGGCAAGGCAAGTGAGAGAGGAGGGCGGGCTCGGCTCCGCCGCACGGCTCCGCCTGGCCCACCCCTGTACTGCATGAACGGACTTCACTCGACGGACAAGGGTAGCCACACCACCATACACGTACACACACACTCCAGTGGAGAGCAGCACACTCACACAGAGCACATGCGCTCGCCACACACAACACACGGAGGCAGGAGGCGGACAGACCAGACAATTGAGGTCGGTCCGGAAAAATCACAGGCCAATGGAGAGAAAAATCAGCCGTGGTGGATGGATGAGCCAAGCTTGTCCTGCGGCCTTTTCGCGCACAGTGCTGACACATCCTCTTCATGCAAGCCTACAGATGAGCCGACATCTGGCCCCTCTGAGACTCGCAACAAAGAGAACGCGCCACCGCGACGCGCACCAGAAAGCACGCATGACACGACAGACGAGCAGCGAACAAGCGATGACACACGACACTTCTCTCTCTCGCCAACCAAACTCGACACATTACATCTGCATGCATGCCGACGGTAGCTATGTGTGGTCTGTCTGTTGTACACAAGACAGACAGTAGGAGCGACACAGACTCGGCTCGCCGCTGCTGCTGCATTTCCTGACTCCTCCTCTGCAACAGACCCGTTGCGACGCCGACACAGAGAACGGCACATCGATCTCTGTGTGAGAATTACATCGGCCAGATACAGAGGAAGGAATCGAAAGAGCGAGCATCTTTCCTTTCCACAACACAGCCTCACACACTTTCTGTTCTTCGAGTATGAGTGCATCCGTCCGTCATCACACTTCTCCCCATTTCTGCACAGCGATAGACAACCCAAAAACAACCGCTCACACACAGCTGGAAGCACAACACAGAAAGTCCCCCCACTCACCCACGTCCATCCCCCTGCCGGCAAAAACTCTTCCCTTTGGGCTGCGTCTTTGCTTCCAATACACCTGCACATGTCCTCTCTCCCTCCCTCCCTCCCTCCCTCCCTCTGTCTGTCTGTCTGTGTCTGTATGAGAGGCGTGGTGCCCCCGAAAGGAGTGACTGAAGGCCGGTCAAGGCAGCGAGTATGTGTGTGTGTATGCCCGTGTGGGAGTGTGCGCGTGTGGGTGCATGTCGTTGGTCCATAGGGCGGCTGACCTGAGGCCAGCCATGATCACCATACATGTGTGGATGAGCATTAGGCACACTCACAGACACGGCGGAAAACCTGCCTGCACTTCCTCCCTCCCTCTCTCCCTCTCGTCAATTGGCATCTCTCGTCGCGACAAAAGAAGCTCCTCGCAGCCATATTCTCCAATCATAACCACAGCAATCCACGCGAAAAAATCTCAAAGTCCCCCGCCCCCTACACAACACGTATCACACAACACTCTGGACAAGCCAGGCAGCCAGGGCTGCAGCAGTCAGAAGGGCTTCTGCGGCTCCATGATGGCGAGCAGCAGGTTGCTAAGGGGGGTGCGGAGGAGGGACTCCCCGGGTGAGAGTTGGGTGGGGGGTGTGAGGCACCAGACCTTGAACTCCTCGGGCGACAGCTTGCGATCGTGGTTGACGTCCGCCGCCCTGAAGCACTCCGTCGCCGTCAGGTTGGAGAGCTGCGGGCAAACGTCAAGAGATGCCATGGGTGGGTGTGGGTGGAATGGTGCTGTGCGTGCTCGTGTGTCGCCTGACTGACTGACCTCTTCGGGTGTCTGCACGTCAATCTTGAAGTCGGATAGCACCTGCTTGGTCTTCTCCGTCAACGTCACTGCGTCCACACCACACACGGCAGACACGGTCAGGCCAGGTGGCGTCTTGCTACCGCATCAACCAACCAATGTCTGTCTGTCAGCACGGTGCGCACCTCTGTACAGCGATGTGAGCAGTTTGGTCATCTCCTCGAACTCAATGTAGCCGTTGTGGTCCTCATCAAACAACGCAAACACAGCTGACGTGACATGATGACAGACTCGTCTGTGCCGACACCTGCACATCTGCGTCCCCCGCCTCCATTCCCTCTTGACATATGTGTAAGTACCATCTATTCTGTCTTCGACGGTGCCTTTGCAGTAGAAGCAGATGGTGGGCGTCAGCTCCAGCACGTTCACCTTGCCCTGACGCAACTTGTCAAAAATCCCCCACGCAGCTGACCACACCACAACACGCACCAACACAAACGCCACAAATGAGAGACCAAGTGAAGTGACGCAAAGCATCCCATCCCCCGTCTCTCTTCCCTCTCCCTCCCTGCGCACCGTCGAGCAGCCCGTCAGGAATGGTCAGCCCGTTGCTGTGGTGCAGCGGGTGGTTGTGGTATCTCTCCAGCACACAGGTGAGGGCCCGTTTGAACGCCGTCTCGTCCACGAAGCCCTTGACCTGGCCCATCGAGAATATCTCCAGCGCCTCAGCCACGGGCACGTCCTTAAGCACATTGCGCACATAGAGGAAGGCCGTCCCCGGGTCGACGTGGCTGGCGGCAGGGTCGGTCTTGGGCACTACCCGCAGCGACGTGTAGAACTCGGCAAAGTCACGAATGGGAGAGAAAGTGGGCTGCAACAACCAACCACAGACACACGAGCACAGCACTCTCCTCCAGCACATCTGCATTCTTGTGAGGCTGGGTGCGGTGGGTGTGTCGGTACTTACCTGTACATTGACGACTCCCGATGAGTACGTCCGTGCGCTGGTGGCCTGCACGGGCCTGAGGAGGGTCGGGGGAGGGGTGGGGAAGGCGGGAAGGGCTCGGAGAGACCGCTGCGCCTGACGGTGGGCCATCAAAACCGGCGGGAGCCAACGGGTCGCCACAAGGCTTCGACACTCAGCTTTCAGGGTCTCGTACCCTGGACCCTAGCGGAAACCCTCCTAGTGATTGGATGCTCACTCCATGGTTCAGCCCGATGGAATCAGCCCGATGGAATACATATCAAAAGTTGAGTCAAGGATTTATTCAGTCACGAGAAAAAGCTTCTGCATGCATCGAGTGCATCATCTTCGCAGCCTCTATCACTCCAGTCAGTCAAAAACACGCTGACTCACTCAGCGCACACACGTGCCCTCCCTCAGTCAGGTGAGGTCCACCTCCCCGCCCTCGCCCTCGGGAGCTGAGGGCGCCATCTGCTCCTTCACCTGCACCACACAATGAAGCACACACAACACATCAAGAGGCAGCCCGTGTGGTGTGCTGGTCGGCATTTGCTGGCTCACATTGTAGAGGAAGTGTGTCTTCCAGGCATCCAGCTTGGTGATGGTGTCATACTCGTGGCTGACACCACGCACATAACCATCACACACACACACGACACACACGTATGATGGGTGGTGTGTGGGGCTCACATGGCTTCAACAAACTGGTCGACGTTGTTCTGCTCGAAGGCCTCAACCATCGCCTGCACACAAAAGAGCAACCACACCACGGCCGAGGGTTGTGGCACCGCTCGCCGTCAAATGTGTTCGAACATGCACTGTGCGGACCTTGAGGAGCTGTCCTTCCCGCGACGGACCAAATCTGTCACACATACACACACGCAGAGACCGCATTTTTGCTTTGTGTATCTCTGTGTGCGAGTGAATCGGTGGGCCGCCCACCTTGGGTCCATGGCCTCGTACTTCTCGTAGGCCAACTTGGCATTCACGGCGTCCTGATGACACACACGCACCCGCACACACCACCGATGGATGGATGGATGGCAATGTGCGTTCATGGGTGTGTGTGTGGTGTGATGTGCCTGCCCACGTTGGTCGCCAGGTGCAGGATGCCCGCCTTGAGAAAGTGCTCCTTGGCGCCAAACTGGATCAGACTGTTCTGCAACGCCTTCTGGCCCTCCTTCTCAAAAATCTGACAATGCCGCGAGGGACACAAGACACGGATGCGCCTCCATCGTCGAAGGGTCTGCTGGCTGGTGGACTGGCTGACCTGAATGGCCTCCTCGAGCTTCTTCTCGTACCGTGCGATGTACTCGGCAATCTTGAGCATACACGCCGTCAACTGAGACCTGCGCGCAGACATCCACACATACACAACAGGCATCCATCGCCTTTGTGTGTCTGTCTGGTATGGTGGCTGTGACTGGCTGACTTTCCATAGTCGTCCATTTCGAACAAGTCAGCGGCCCTCCTGTAGAACTGAACGGCCCGCTCGTAGTCGCCATCGCCCTCGTAGAGCTCCGCCACCTGCTTGAGGATCTTGGCCGACTGGGCAAAACGACCCGCAGCGCTGTACAGCTCTACTGCCTTGTTGTACTGCTCCACGGCATCTGCACCAGCACACAAACCGACGCGCAGCGACACAAAGGGAGAGAGGACAGGAAAGAGGGAGGCATTGTACAGATCAACACTGGTGGGATGTGCACACGTGTGTGTGTGTGTGTGTGTTGTGCACCTGAAGTGGAGTATTTCCTCATGACACTGGCGGCCTCCATGAGGAAGTTGGCCTCCTCCGTTGCGCTCTGCAACTGGTGCTGGCAATGCGCACACCGGATGAACGCCTCGGCCGCATCTTGCCCTGCCGTAGCCAACACACAACACACACAGATCAGCGACAGATAATGAGAGGATGCGTCTGCCTTTGTGTCCGCTTACACATCTTTTGCAGCTTGAACTGGTTCGCCGCCTGCTGGTAGAGTTCGCACGCCTCATCGTACCGCGACGAGCCAGACAAGAAGCTGAGCAGCCCGCCCTTGAGCTTCTTGTCCGCCTTGGACAACAAATCTCGTGCTGCCTCGCCCATTTCCCCCGTCCTGGAGAAGGGAAGCTCGCACGATTTGGCGAGCTTGAAGGAAAAAGCAAAAACTGAATCTCCGTTATTTGAGCCAGTTACTATCCCAGCAGTGCACTCGTTGTGCCCCCCTGCTCGTTTGTGGCTTGGCGATGCGTGTAGAGTCGAGCACACTGAAGGAGATCAAGAAGGCGCGTGAGGAGCTCAAGGAGAGCCTCAGCCAGATAGAGCAGAAGATCTACGACTTCGAGTCCGACTACCTCAACGAGACCGCCACCTTCGGCAACATCCTCAAGGGGTGGGACGGATACAACACGGCCATCAACAAGAAGAACGCACGACGAGCTGACAACGCCGAGCCCGTCAAGGACCAGGACCGCTGGTTCTCGCGCTCTTCCCTCTCGTCGCCCGTCGTGAGCCTCGAGCAGATGCAGCACTTGCACACACAGATGGCCATGGACAACACACAGATCAACGGCCTGATGCCGCCGCAACACGCCAACGTCCAAGGTCAGCAAACGAAAGAACCCACCACACACCACACACCGCACTCACACACGCAAGCAAGGCAGTGGTGATGCTGATCTTGGCCGCTGTGGTGTGTTGGTATGCAGATGATGCCTTCACGGACGAGGGCCGCAGTGTGGCTGGGCAGTCGAGCAAGCCCCGCAAGACGTCGGGCAAGAAGCACTGACCGACGACGGACTACTGACTGACTGACGGATTGGGGGTCAACTCTTTGCTTGCCCGCCTGCCCAACTGGAGGGCGTCGGTAGTCTCTCTGCGCGACGCAGTGATTGGAAGCTTTGTACAGCCGTGAGTAATGATTGGCGGACCGGACCGATGACTGACTGTGGGTGACGGATGGATGCGTGCGTGTAATTTGACTTCCGCGAGCGTGCCATATGAAGACACACGTGATGCTTGACCGGTTATCCTTGTTGCTCATCCATATACAACGTACGTGGGGCGCGGCGCGTTCCGGTCGCTCTGTTGAGGTCATTAATAAACGTCCAAAACTGACGAATTCCTTCCATCCCTCCACTCCATCTCGCTGGCGGAGCTGCCGCCAGAAGAACACACTCACACTGTCGCGACCCATGGACCAACGTATCCCCAAGGAAGCGACCGTGCGTGCGTGTGCTCGAGGCTGCAATTCATCCGCCGACCAAAGACAGGGACCACACAAGCCACCGACGTTACAACACACTCAACGCTGCCATCCCCGTTGCTTTCATTCACTGGGGCAGTCAGTGCACGAGCAAAGGGAAAAAGATACTGACTGATACACACAAACTGACATGCACAAACCACACGTGGTCACATTCGCCGCCCGCCGGCTGGACACCAATGGATGGAGGGAAGTCAAGTTGCCGCGTAAGCTGAATTCACGCTCTACTATACAAAATACAGCTGAGACGCGTACGGTCCGTCCCTGCAGCACACCCACCCATCAATGCACCGCACCCACCCCGTGTTTTGTCTCAGCAAGTCAGTGGGCTGGGCCTGTGGGTCGTGACATGTTGTTGCCTGGGCGCGGCGCGGCACGTGAACATACACAGCCGCACCGCACAGCCCAACAATCAATCATGTCCCACCACACGCAGAACACGCACAACCACACGGATAAAAACATCAACATACACACATGAATCGACTGACGATGTCTTCGCGCCCCCCCCATTCATTCAACATGTGCACCCAGTCAGGGCATGTACAGCACATACACACGGACACACGACACGACACCATCGAGGCGCAGTTGCGCGTGGTCCGTGGCCTCTCGAAGATACACTACACCCATACATGAATCCATCCACACACACGACAACAAGCACACACACATGCGACCATGTGGCCATGCGCATGCACCGAGGCAGCTGGCATGGCAAGGAGATAAAAAGAGGGGGGGACCATAAAAAACACGGCAGGCGCTGCTGACCGCCTTCACGTGTGACGACCACACGGTGGCGTTCCACGACCAACGAAAAAGGCAGCCAGCCCAGCGAAGGAAAAATCTGATTCACAGCCAGACAGACCGACCAGGCAGTCAGTCAGAACTGTTTGCCCTTGGGGTGTGGGCCGGGGTACTCAGCGGGGTACATGCGAGTGCCGGCCAACCAGTCGCCCACCCCGAGCAGCCCATAGCTGTAGCGGTTGAAGTTGTGGTGTGCCTCGTGCAGTGCGATGGACTTGTCGAACCCCAGCAAGTACCCGAGAGGCGGCAGGTACGGGCAGCCCGACCAGAAGGGCAGCTGGCTGCCGGAGTGGTCGACGCACACCATCTCGAACACGTAGTTCATCATGAGCACGTACTCGAACAGACTGATGCGGCCGAACATCATTTCGATCAGGAACACATTGACTGAGCCAAGGGAGAGCGCGGAAAGCATCAGATCCCACGTGCCCAACCACGTGCCTGATGCATGACCAACACATCACATCAACTCATTCAGATGTGTTGACGTTCTGGCTGTTCGTGTGTGTGTGTGTGCGTGTGTGTTGGCTGACCGGCGCTCCCCCATGGGTATTGGAAAGTGTGGTGGTAGGTGTGGTCGGTCCACTTGTACACCCAACGCCACCGGTGCTGGCTGTAGTGCACCACCCAATACGCCAGGTCGGCGAAGATCAGGGAGAGCTGCACCTGCACCCACACACAAACAGCACAGCAGACCACACACAAGACAGCTGGTCTGGTGTGCATGTATGCATACACCCAGCGCACCTTGAGGGGTATCATCCACACTGGCGGGTTGTGCACGAGGTGGAATCGGGGTATCCAGATCACACTGCCGACGGCGATCGGGATGGCCCACCGGGCCGTGAACAGCAGGTGGTTGCGCAGGTACTGCCGGTGGGAGTAGTCGAACCTGCTCGCTCCGTGCTCATCCACACCCTCATGCTGCTGCTGCTGCTGCTGCTGCTCTGCTTCCTTGTGGTCGGTGTCTGTGTCGACGGTCTCAGTGGTGTCGGCCCGCCTCCGGCGCAGCTGGTCGCGTTTGTGTGAGCTGAATCGGATGGATGGGGGGAAGATCCAGTCGCTGTCGGCGAGCAAATCGACCATCGTTGAGACGGCGAAGTACTCGGAGAGTGACAGAATGTATGTCAGGACGAACAGAGCCAGCCAGTAGAGGAAGACGCTCGAGTTGACCCACTCAGACGCGAATGCCCACAGGAACAACGGCGTCAGGGAAGCCTGCAGACAGGCACACAAGCAGACAGAGATCTCACAGTCGCACACATGCCTGCTCAAGATGTTTTTGCCCCGTGTCATGCCTGACCGTGGTGGCGTAGGCCAGGAGGATTTGGAAGCCGTTCTCCAGAACGTAGAACACGGCGTGTAGACCCAGCCAGGACAGCAAGCTCTCAGGCCATGGATACCCAAACTCGACATCCTTCTTTGGCTTCCCCGGGGTGGGCTGCGTGCGATCCCCGTGTGACGGCTGGTTCGCCTGCATCGTGGACGTGACGCGATGGATGATTCAATTCGAGGGGAGGGGAGGGTTATGATGTTGAGGAAATGATGCGCCCGCAGCTCTGGGACACAGCTCTGGGAAGCGCTACCCTAGCCCAGATGAATTTAAAGTGGCGCCTAGGGTGCTCCCTGAAACCGCTGCTGCGAGAGGGGAAGAAGGAAAAAGAGGAAGCAAAGGCGATGGACAGAGGAGGATAGGGGCCAACCGTCGAGGTCTTAGAGCCCGTTGCTCTCTTCTTCTCGACGCCTGCGACTGTGAGGCAAGACCAAGTCACGAGGACTCATCGGAGGATGTGGGGGGCGGTGGAGCTCACTGCTGGCGGACCACGACAGCCCATGACAGCCGTGCACCCATCCCTGTCGGTGCACAAGTAGCAGAGAAGGGGGCATATATTGTCTACGGCTGCAAGGCCTTGACCCACAATGTTCCTTCGGTCAACTCGGCTGTCGTGCCTGTCGTCGCCCAGCCCCCGTGCGGACGGTCCTCCCCCCAGCCCCACCCCTTCCCGTCCCTGCTGGAGCCTCCCGTCCCTTTGCTACTCGCCGTCCCCGAATTCGCGGCCTCTGTGCAGGCTGTCGCGCCTTTGCCGGTGCCGCTGTGCGTGCCCGCCGTCTTTAGCATGCGGCCGGTGTCGGTGCGTGAGGTGTCGGTGTGGATGCCTTGGCAAGCTGGCGAGGCACCCGGTGATTAGGGTGGGAGGGCCGCTGCTGGCCTTCTTTGCTATCTTCTTGGTGAGCTTCTGGGCCTTCCTGAGGTGGTCCGACTGGACGCCGTCCATTGTGCACACCTGTCGGGGCTTCCAGGGCTTCCTCCAGAGCCCTGACAGGCCGCCCATCCCCGCATCTGGACCACCGCCCGACGTGAAGCTCGACCAGTGGGAGCCGTGCAGGTGTCCCAGCACGGCCTTTGTGTCGCGGGCCGAGACGGAGAGGGACGACATGGATCTTCCCGCCGACATGTGGATGGTGGCCGACCCCGGGAAGCTCAACGACACGGTGACGGTTGTGGTGTACATGGGCAAGAAGAGGCGCGACAGCTGGCTGGCGCATAACCTCATCCCCCTGCTCACATGCCCCCTGGTCAAGGAGGTGCTCATCGACTGGTGGCCCGACGTCCCCTTCGGCCCGCTGCCCCAGGACAGCTCCCTCTGGGAGACCCCCACCCCCCCACAGGAGCCAGTGCCCTTCCCCAAGACCGTGCGTCTCATCGCCGGCAAGAGGGACCTCGGCGAGCGGTTCCTCATCGGCAACGAGACGTCGACCGATTACGTGCTGAATCTCGATGACGACCGGTCGTTCGAGTGCGAGACGATCTTCAAGATGGCGGTTGTGGCTCACCTGTACGGGGGCGACAGCAAGCTGGTGGGCACGGAAGACCTCTCGCGGTCGTTCGCCGTTTGCACCGAGACGGGGGAGTTCCACTATCAGGCCGACCCCGGCAACATCATCCTGACCGCCGCTGCACTCGTGCCAAGGAGGCTGCTGCTCGAATACGAGCACACCATGCCCCGGTACACACGCACCAAGAGGAACGACAAGCGATTCATTCCCCGGTTGCTATGGTGTGTGTCCGTTGTGTGTGCAGCGGGCTGATGGAGATGTTCAACCGCGAGTTGAATTGCGAGGACATGGCGATGAATTGGGTGGCGGCCCACAGCTCCCCCGACGGCCAGGCGGCCCTTTACCTCGACAACGCTCGCTCACTCGAGAACTGGTCCTCACTATGGGGCCTCTCGTGGCGCAACGGCGGCGCACTCGTCGCCGCGTTCCGCCGGTCAGCGTGCCTCAACCTCCTGGTGGAGGCCCTGACGCCGCTGCCGAGGGACTGGACGATCCCCGCCGCCATCAGCTATCGCATTGACGCCAACTCCATCTTGTATGACCCCAAACGATATGCACAGAAGGCTGCTGCTGGTGCTGGTGCTGGTGGTGGTGGTGGTGGTGTGGCGGGGCTGCGGACGAGCAGTGCCCGAGGCGAGTGCTCCGACAGGCGGGACGCAGAGGGGTGCCGGAGGGAGTGAATATACGGGGGCGGAGGAGAGGGATATGTACAGGCAGATGGATGGGGTGGATGCGGTGAGCGCAGTGGGTTGGTTGGTTGGTTGTTGCTCTCATTGATTGATTGTTTTTCGGTGGCGGCGTGTACATACATACATACATATGCAGAGACACATACAGTATGTACGTATGTACATGTGTACATGAACACATACCTATACATACATACTTGGTGATACGTACAGGATAGGCATTGCATTGCCCGTGCGGTTCATTTGGTATCAAGACAACGAGCGACTCACTTATGATATGATATCGTGATACTATGACCGACCAGCTATTTCCTTTCTTTTGTTGTTCTCTCCTGAGACGTCCGTGAGTCGGCCGATCGGTCAGCCGCGTACAGATACAGGGGCTGACCAACATATAAAGGGGAGGGAGCCAGGGAGGGGGGGAGGGAGCCAGCAACGCCGCAGCCGCAGCACCAGCATATAGGCGCCTTCATGTACGTGTGATCCCGACGAGTTCTTCCCGTTTCCTTTTTTCGCTCTTGTCCCTTTTTGTTTTTTCCCAGCGGCTGTTGCTGCTCCATCCAGACATTTATTTGTCATGTTGCGTGTTATGTTATGTATCCGTGCCGTGGCAGACATACATTAATTGTGCGCGTGGATCGGTTGGTGCTTGGCGGGTGAAGGCGCATGCAGACATTGCAATCGTCGAATCGATCGAGAAGGGTCATGCACTGCACCCACCCATCCACACACAGGCACATGTCTTCAGTTACTCGCGCATTCACAAAGTCCACAGAGCACATGTAATGATGCGATGCCACTAATGTGACACACCATCCACACGAAAGGCACACGTCATATTCAGAGCAGCGAGCGTCCTAATGGACCAACGACATGTCATATACGCAATAAGACAGCAACGGCGAGGGGCAGCAAAGAGACCAACCAATTGAGCTGCACGAGACACCTGAGTGCGCCATTCCGCGAACTTGGCACTTCATCGCCCATCTCCTGCACACAACACGCAACACACACAGAGACATGAGCCCCTGACGTACGAGAGCCAGTGTCTCACTGACCGATTCCCAAGTCTTGGTGATGAGTTTCCTGCTGGCCATTCCCTCGACGTCCACCCCGCCGTCAGCCACAAACTCCATCGAAGGGGCGGGGTCCAAACCCTGGTGCTGGTGCTGAAGCTGATGCTCGTCAACCAAAGAGGTCGTTCTGTCCTGGTGGTGGTGGTGTATTCTTTGCTGACGTTGTCGTGTCTCGTTGAATGGCGGCGTGAGGTCGGTTAAGGCGGCCTCTGCCCCCTCCCCTGCAGCCTCGGCCTGCTTCTCCGCCTCTGTCTTTGAGGCGTCCAGCTGCTTGAGGTTCTCACGCGCCTTATCTTCCTGAAGACAGAGAGAGACACTTGGCTGGCACCATTCCCCCCTCGTTGGTTTGATGCGATGCCGTTCTGCGGACCTCTTTCTCCAGTTCTTTGTCCATGAGTTTGTTGGCTCTTTTGACAATATTGATGGTCTCCCGCTCGAGCACCGCCAGCTGCCGGGGGTCCACCGAGGCCGCCTCCAGCTCCTTGAGCCAGTCATACAGCCTCTTCTGCTTGCGAACCATCTCGGCGCGGAAATAACCCGGCCTGAAAACAAAATATGAAGGAACACACAAACCTGATGTCATATGTATGTGGGCGATGTTGTATGTATATCGCATGTGTGTATGTACGATAGATACCTGAGGTGGTGCAGGAAGGTGCTGCAGAAGTGGGGCTTGGATATGACTGGCACGGGCACCACAGGGTACTCGGTGTCCCAGTCAGTCAGCTCGCCCTCGCCGCTTTCGTCAGGGCCACCCACCCGCCTTTCAGACTCGGCCGACTCTACCAGAGACACGGGGATCTGCTGCTGCTGTGGAATGGAGGAAGAATGCCGCCTTCTCTTATCTTTGTCTTCGTCACGAGATGGCCACAGCAGCTGCTCGCCGGACGGCACCAGAGCACCCACATCGGCCAGGAGGCTCAGCCATAAGGGCATGTCCTTCCTGTTGTGTGAGGATGGCGGCCGCCTGTGTCTTTGTCTTGTTTTTGAGAGGTCGTGTAGCTGCCCCCTGTGGCCGATTTGGATGAACGCAGCGACGGGCTTGGTGCTGGTGTTGGTCGATAAGAGAGAAATGGGGTCGTTCTTCTTCTTTGTTTGTATATCCCGCTTGGCGCGCCAGCCCTCCTGGTGGCCTGAGCTTGAGATATCTCCCTCCCCCTCCAAGCTTATATGGTGATCCATGGGCTCTTGTGCTTCCTCCCTCTTCAGCTTGTGTTTCCTCTTGTTGTGAGAGTGATGTCTGTCGTTGCGTCTCCGGTGCTTTTTCCTGTTCCCGTGATGATGGACAGTCCCGCCTTCCTCTGCGAATCCGGCAGCGGCAACGGCCGCCTCTTCCTCACCCTCAGTCTCCTCCTCCCCCTCATTTTCTGTCTCGTCTTCGGTCTCTTCTTCTTCTCCATTGGTTGGCAAGGCTGTCGTTGTCGTTGTCGTTGTCATTGTCGTTGTCGTTGTCGTTGTCTCGGCCTCGCCCTCCAGCTCCTCTTCCTCCAGCTGCTCGCCTTCACCCTCCTCACCGCCCGCTGCAGGCTCCTGTTCGCTGACGGGCTTCTGGTGACCCGGCGGGTGCCTGGCGTGATGTGCCGGCGCTGTCGTGGTGGCCACCTTCGCTGGCTTGGCTGTGGTCGGCGTCTCTACTTGCTCCTTTTCGAGAAGAGGTTCCTCTGCTAGCTGGTCTTCAAGCTCCTCCTCTGGGCTCTTCGTGGTAGTTGTGCTGGTAGTGGCTGGCTTGGGGGTCGGGGGGACGGGCGGAGGGGTGGGAGGGGGAGAAGGGGGCTTTGTTGCTGCCGGCTTCTTCCTGCGTGGCTTGGGGGTCGTTGTGGGAGCTGCCGTCGTTGTGTGCGGGGGTGCGGCAGTTGGGGCTGCAGTGAGGACGGATGGCGGCTCCTTCTCCTCCTGCATCTCGGCTTCCCGCTCCCGCTTGGCCTCTGAGTCAGCCTCGCCGACGTATGACGCCAGGTTCTCGCTGATGTGCTTTTTGAGCTGGGAATGGAGCTCCGTCCGCAGCTTGGCCCAGTCCTTCATCAGGCGGCCGTGCAGAGCACGCATCTCCTCCTGGCCCTGAACACACGTAGACGCACATGTGATGTGCGTGAGCATCAAGGCAAATCGATTCGATTCACCTGAAGCATGGCTTCAAACCCGTCCAAACAGAAGGCGTAGACGAGGTCACATGAGGTCTGGTCGATCTTGATGAGGTTCTTCTGCTCGTTGACGTACTTCTTCTGGAAGTCAGGGCCGCAGGCTGAGCACGACAGGTCCTCGTAGAAGCCCGTGATCTCCTTGATGCAGCTCTTGATATTGACCCCAGTCCATATGTCGAACAGCGACTCGGCCGTCTCCATGACCTTATCCCACCTGAGACAGCATTAGTTGCACGACAATCTCCTCTGCCCACCCATCCATCCCTGCGTTGTGTGCGTCGTGTGACAACTGACCCTTCCTTGGCCGACTCGAATATCTCCCTTTTCCAGTCCTCTATGTCGTCCTTGACTACATAATCGTCGATGGCCTTGACCACCTCGTTGTTCTTGATGGGCGCCTCAAGAGCCACTGGGTGGAACACCTTCGTGAAGGCCGTCTCGGTGTCCTTGAAATACTTCTCCTGCGTATATGTGTTCATTCAGCGATCCATTGCAGCGATGATGGGAAAGGCGTGTTAGTGGCTGTCCACTCACGATTCACTGGATTGCATTGACGTGGGGATTGCCGCAGGCAGCAGCAGAGAAGGTGGGCAGCTGAGAGCGAGACGGTCGGCAGGCCTTAGTCGTTTCCCTCCTCGTCCCTCCCTTCAAGGAAGGCGGGGGATTTGACCCGTTCGGTGCAGGTCGTTATACACGTCCAGACACCACCACAGGCCTCCCATCATGAAAGTGATAGTGACGCTGATAGCGACAGCAAGGGGGAACGGCAACATGACGGATGACTCGGAGGCGAAGGGAGATGCAAGAAGTCGAGATTCTGAGATTTGGGGCCTGGGGCACGTAAATTGGAGAGGCCTGCCAGTGCTGATGTGGACCAACGTCATCGCAATCTTTATCCTGCCGGTGGTGTTTGGTGCCCAGGATGTCAGTCCAGCGGACAGGGGAGCTCCGGACCGCGAAATCTTCAAGTCGGCGTACTGCCAGAAGCTTGAAGACATGGATGGGGGAGTGAACAGCCACATTGAGGACTTTAATGCCACGGCTGTGAGCACCTCCAACATGAGCTGCGTGCAGCTGGTGGAATTCCTATACCTGTCAAGATCTCGGCTGATGGAGCACCTGCACTTCATGCTGAACAACGTGACGAAATCGGTCATGGAGGAGTCCAAAGACGACCAGGATCACCAGGTGACGGTGATGCTCAACGTCTTCTCGCAGTCGTCCATGCACCTGTCCACCTTTTTCCACCTCAACGCGGCCCTCCTCAACCGGCGCCCCGAGTGCTTTGACATGACGACGCGATTCCGTCTGCTCGTCGGCATGGCGACGCTCAAGGGGGTCAGCGATGGGGAGTTCTTTACGCTGTACAGCATTATGGAGGGCGTCAGGCCGGAGGTCCTCCTGTTCCATTTGCAAGACTGGCTCTCCCTGGCCACACACGCCATGGCCCAGGAGGTGGCCAACCTCAAGACCTATCTCGAGCACAAGAAGGACCTGGTGGCGTCACGGCCGGGGGATGAGAGCTATAGGAGGGACACATACGATAACGTCGCTGCCCTGCAGCAGTGGCACCAGCAGTCGTCGAATGCTGACGGTACATTCACGCTTGGGGAGGCCCTCAAGAGGACGATATTTGATGGATGGAGCCTCGATAAAGGTGCCAACCAAGAGAGAAGGAAGGAGTCGCGGGGGATGGATGCCGCTCATGCCTCCACGATATGGTGATGTGTGTCAGGTTTGTTGCGCTATCTGTTGCGGAAGGTGTTTCCACGTGACGCCGTCATTGCTGACATGGGCGCCGGGGGAGGAAAGGCGGCTCAGTGGTACGCGCCTACACACATACGCACACACGCACATGCAATCCATGCGCGTCTCCTATCCCATTTCTTTCGATAAGGTTGAGCGAGACTGGTTTGGTAGAGATCCATGCATTCGACGGCATCGACAGCATAGCAGCCATCACGGACGGAGCCGTCCAGTCGCTCAACCTCATCGAGCCATTCCAGCTGCCGCGTGCCTTCGACTGGGTCATGTGTCTGGAGGTGGCGGAGCACATCCCACCACACGCTACACAGACCCTCCTAGACAATCTGCAGCGACACGCCAGACACGGCATAGTCATGAGCTGGGGCCAGGCCGACCAACCAGGTGCGACACGTCGCCACAATCCTCTCAATGTGTCAGTCAGTCTGTGACCACCCTTGAATGAGCGCCTGCCATGGCATGTTGTGTGTGTCAGGTCAAGGCCACATCAATGGCCGCAACATGACCGAGTGGGTGGCTCTCGTGCAGAACACAACGTCGTTTAAACTGCACGAGGTGGGCATGCTAAAGGATGGAGGAAACAGTCACACAGACACTCAAATGGATGAAGTCACTATGGCCTGTCTGTTCTGCTTTGGTCAGGCCCTCAGCGAGGGAGCCCGCGACGCTGCTACAGTGTGGTACTTCAAAGAAAACGTCGGCGTCTTCACAAGGACAAGTCAGCGCCAACAACAAAGAGAAAGACTACCTGCCACCCCCACGAATAAGTGTCCCTCCCCTCCCTGGTGTGCAGGCCCTCTGCCCGAGCGCATCTCGTTTGCGATCGAAGAGACGCCCAGCCACTGTGCCAATGCCACCGTGTGCGTCGCTGACGCCGACGGCAAGCCCACTGCCGAACCCCCGGGTGTAGGCCCCATGAATGTGCAGAAGTCATGAGTGAGTAGCTTAGGCAGTGAGTGGACCAACGGAGAAAACGCGACTGACCCGATGAATGTGATGGCTGATCCCCGTTTGTGCATTCGTGAGTGACGAGCGCCTTCACACACCGATGGAGACTGAAAAGCGCATTGAAAAAATCCCTCCCCCTCTCGGCTTAGCTCGCAGCACTGAGAAAAAGCGATCGGGAGTCAAAGTAGAGCGCGCATTTAAGAAACATGATGAAATCTCAGCCACATGATCCTTCACCTCCTCTCTCGTGGCCTACTCTCGAGCTCTGCTATCACCTCCTCGTTGCTGTGGTGCTGCTGCCCCTGCTGATGGTCATCTATGGCTGGCAAACGAGGGCATCAATGCTGTCGTGGCTTGCCGACTCCCACTGGGATGTGACGAGAATGCGCCTGTTGGGCGTTGCGAGGAGCTCGTTGTTGAAGCTGCCGTATGACAACTATGATCTGCAGTGGAGAGCCTTCCGCGGCTCGTTAGTGCTGCTCAGCGTGGTGGCCTTGGTACACGTGATAGTGGGGAGAGAGGTGCGGGGCTGGAGAAGGAAGGATGCGAGCACCCGTGGTGGATGGGTGACAGGGGCCCTGGTGTATCAGCTGGTCGTGGGCTTGATCTACCTCTCTTACCTCCACGGCGCAGGCGCCCTCTTCACGCTGCTATTCGTCATGATCAACTACGCCTTCTCGCGGATGGCGGCCAGCGAGAGAGTGTCTGCTGGTGTGCCCGGTCTGACATGGGCGATGAGTATTGGGCTTCTCTTCTTGAACGATCGCTTCGGCGGCTACAAGTGGGCGTGGCTAGACCCACGGCTGGGCTTCCTGGACGGGCTCAAAGGCGAATCGAGATGGCACGTGCACTTCCCCATTGTGTCGCTGCGCATGATATCCTTCAACATGGACGCTTTCTGGTCGGCTCGGGCGAGTAGCAAGGAGGCGGTTGCGGTGGAGCTGAAGGAGAGGAAGGCAGCAGGGGATGGTTGGTGTGCTGATGGTGGCGCTGCTGCTGTTCCGCTGACGTTGCGTGAGAGAGAGAGGGGCCACCGTCCGCTGAGTGATTACCATCTTCTCGGCTATCTGGCTTATGTGGTCTATTCGCCTCTTTATCTGGCAGGGCCCATCCTCACGTACAACGCATTCATCTCTCAGATGGCCAGCCCTGCCCACCCGCCGAGACGGCATCTCGCCATGTATCTCGCCAGGTGGGTCGCCTGCGTGCTGCTGATGGATGCCTTCCTCTGTGTCAACTGGTCCAATGCCCTCATCTCCAACCAGCGGATGTTCCACCAGTGGGCTCATGTGGGTGTGGGTCAGCTGGCTGTGGGCGCCTTCACGACGCTGGGCTTCATCTGGCTCAAGTTTCTGGTCATTTGGAGGTTCTTTCGCTTGTGGGCGATGGCTGATGGGGTCGAAACACACGAGAACATGGGCAGATGCGTCTACAACAACTACAGGTACACACACACATATCAACACCACATGTGACGTGACGCCATGCTCATCTTCCCGTGTGTCTTCATGTGTTCGCAGCACCGAGGAGTTTTGGCGCACATGGCACCGCAGCTTCAACCAGTGGCTCGTCCGGTACATCTATCTGCCACTGGGGGGCGGCAAATGGAAGGCCCTCAACATATGGGTGGTCTTCGCCTACGTGGCCGTGTGGCACGACATCCGCCTCAAGCTCATCAGCTGGGCCGCACTGCTGTGCGCCATTCTGGTGCCCGAGCTGCTCGCAAGGCGCTTGTGGCACACGGCTGTGACCAAGGGGGCGAGGGCTAAGTGGAGCCGGCGCGTCGTGGCCGCGGCGGGGGCGCTGAATGTGTATGGGATGATGGCCGCTAACCTGTGCGGGTTTGCGTGTGGCCTGGAGGGGCTGCGGCTGCTGGTGGAGCGACTGATGACGGCCGAAGGGGTGGCAGTGCTGGCCGTGTCGTATGCGATTCTCTTCTCGCTGGTCAATGTCATGTTGTGGATCAGACAGACGGAGGAAGGAGAGACGAGAGACGGTATGGTCAGCCGGCCAGTGCAGGTAGCTGGTGATCAGTCAGTCAGTCAGCCAGTCAATCAGTGAGTCGTGTGCGACCGACCCGAACGAATGCGAGTGGGCGTCTGTCTGTCTGCGTGGGTCTCTATGGTCCTTTCTGTCTGTGCATAGTGTGGGTGTCTGTGTGGTCACAAGTGTGGTTAGCGTTAGTGTGGTGACGATGTTTTACGGTTTGCAGGACCGACAGACACACACGTTTCGTGCGGGGGAGTAACAGACATGCAATCTCTTCACAAATAGCACTGTCTTTCATGTCCAATACCGTGCACACGCACACACACACGGATAACATGCTTGAAAAAGAGGCACTGTACGCTTGGCGCACGCTGCCTCATAGCAATCAATCGTTTGCGCATAACAACCGTCTGCTGCAGTAAGTGCACTGCACTGCAGCAGTGCCCCGCCCCATTAGCTAGCTATCCTTCGCTCACGCATTGATCTCCATTCCCCCGCCGTCTTGCCTCCACCGCATCACCCATCCTCCCGCCTCACACCACCACATCAGTATGAACCTTCCTGTTTTATTTGATGGTAGCCAGGCACACCGTACTGAATTAGACGACCAGACTGCTTGCTTGGCTGAGTCTCAGTGAGTGGCAGCTTGTGCTGTGCAGACAGACGCACACACGAGGAGGCAGCAAATCGGTTGTGTGTTGCCGTAGTAGTCCAGCCAGAGATGTGACAGAGAAGGGGAAACGACCCACAACCACGCCCGCCCTCAGCCAGCCAGACAGACAACACGACCGTACAGGCCAAAGAAAAAAGGAAACAGCCGACAAATGACTGACAATCCAAACACACGGCCAGACAGACGACACGACAGTCCATCCATCCATCCATCGCACAGAATTTGGGTGTTGGCGTGCGCTGCCCGAGTGCGGGGCCCGTCGAGCGCCTCGGCGGGCCATCTCACAGTGACTTGCGCACAGCAACCAGACAAACAGACAAATGACATCTCAGCCAGGCCAGCCAAATGCACGCCACCACACACAATGCAGTCCACACAACACACACACCCATCAGTGACACACACACAGCCACACACAGGGCGCCCCCTCAGACAGACACGAGCGATGAGACAGGTGCAGACGGCGGCAGACAGTCGAGCGATGAGACGTGCGATGCAGCCAAACACGGGGGCGCCCGACACGCAGACATGAATCGATGACACACACAGGTGGGCTCACACCGAGATGCGCTGAGGGCCCCATCGCACTGCAGGACCCCCAGACGCCCACTCCCCGACACACACAGCACAGCACACTCACCCCGGACGCACACTTACTTGGATCGAAAGCTCAAATACACTCACACCCATCAATACGATACGACAATCCATCCCATCACACTCCACGTACGCAGACAGACACACACACCGGCACACATCCATCCATCCAGCCAGCCAACCAGCCATTCATTCAGCCAGCCTAGCGGATCACGTCACGCGACAAACATCCTCTCGAAAGGAAAAACAAAAGGCACCCCACACACAGACTCGCATTCCCCCTCTCTCTCGGTCTGCCTCTCTCTCTGTGTGTGTGTCTGCTGGCCGTCTGCACAGAAGCTGTGGTGACAGCGGGGAATAAGTGCTGAACTCGACGGGCAAACGATTAGGTTGGTCGTGGCCTGGCTGGGCATGTCAATGGGCGCCGGTGCCTGCACGTCCCGCAGCCGCTCCTGCCGCACGTTGCACTTGCCACGAGGGGCTGGTTGTTGCCCTCGAGCAGGCCCAGCCCACCGCTGCCGCCTCCCATGCCCACTCCCTGCACCGGGATGCCTGACGCTCGAAGACACGGCGGCGGCCATGCCCACGCCAGACGCATCTGGTGCGCCCCCGCTCTGGTTGCCCTCACTCTGGCACACAGTGGATGGTGTCCCCGTATAGCCCTCGCCGCTGGGCGGAGACGGGTGGGCACAATGTGGGGGTCTGTCGGCTGACCTCGCCCCCGGGGGTCTGTCGGCTGACCTCGCCCCCGTCAGCGCCCATCCCGATGCCGTCTAGGTTCGCCATTGTCGGGCACAGCTCCTCGCTGCGGGTGGGGATGGGGTGGCTTGGCTGTGTGGGCTCCGTCGGCAGCAGGGTGTCACTGGTGATAGAGGAAGCAGCGGCAGCTGTCGCACAGTAGGACAGCCCCAGACAGACGAGCTGGCATTCGTGCCATCCATGACGCTGTCGGACGGTGGCTGCTGTCGCTGGTGTTGGTGCTGGTGACGGTGTGGGCGGCTGGGTGAGCGGGTGGGGAGTGAGACGTCTCCACGACCAACACCGGGCTGCAGCGCACATGTACCCACCAAGATGCAATCAATCAATGAGTGTCTGTTTGCATGGATGCACGTCTGCTTTGCTCACCCCAGGTGGCGCGAGGAAGCTGCCATCGTGTGTCAAGGGTGTCCGTTAGGGTCACTAGTGGTGGGTGGGGAGTGGTCGGAACTGGATGGATGGTGATTTGTCGGGCGGGGCGGCAGGGGCACAGACAGTCCGAAGCGCATGTGGCTCCCGTCGATGGTCGGGCCACCCCTCTCACACGGCCAGCAGGATGCGCGTCGTCGACGATGACCCCATCTCTGCACGCACATTGCTGACCGTCCAGTGGCAGTCCAAGCGGCCGGGGGTGGGGGAGGCCGACGCACCTGCCGTGGCGACTCTGTCTTGCAGGCGCCTCAGCTCGTCTTGTGGAGAGACGGCCGGTCCCCGATGCCTGCTCGCGTCGAGAGGGCTTGCCGCCGCACTTGCCCTCGAAGGTGAGCTGCTCCAGCCGCAAACCCACCATCTTGTCAGCCTGGATGAAGTCACCTAGGACAGTCTTGCACCTGTAAGTCTGGACCTCGTCGTCATGAAGGGCGCCGGTGAAGCGCACGGGCAGCTGGTGCTCGTCGAGTGGGTTGAGAGAGATGGTGCTCTCGAGTCCGCCGATGTGCAGGACCGCCGCTGCATGTGCTTCGGCCGCTCCTGGATGCGCGTCAGCATCCGCTGCAGCGTCTGTGCGTGTCAGCGCCTGTGCGAACGTGGACGACTCGCCCGACGACCTTCGATCGCTCCCCCTCCCTCGAGCTGTGAGGGCTGCCTCGATACTCGTCGAGATATGGTCTGCGAGATGGACGAAGGGCTGCGATCAGACACGTCATAGAGGCGGTTGCCCGTGGTGGCCACGGGACGCCCCCTAGTCGATCCCCTTTAGTCAAAGGTCGGCAGGTCGCGTCTTGAGTGCTGGCGGGCGAACATCAGCCGCTGTGCCGAGTCGAATCTCGGCAGCGGGAGCCTGTCGTGTTGGTGTTGTTCATCATGGAGGCGCTAGCTCAGCGTCTCCTCGACTCATGCTGGAATGCCAGCCGCTGGATGATGCGTAAATGTCGGTCGCCTGGTCAGGGGGGGGCCAGTGTCTCGCTCTCGGGGAGGCTGACTCGCTGCTGCTGCAGTTGTGTGGTGGTGTGCGCGCTGACGGGTGCAGCGGGCTGGGGGGAGCCGACGTGTGGCCGCGCGTCGACATGCGGGGCCTTAAGGGCCTTGGCCACTGATGGGGCTGACGGACAGTCAGCCCCGCCCGCCGATGTTCGGCTGCCCTTCCACGCCACTGCTCTCTAAGAGCGCCGAGCGCTTCCAGGCAGCCATCGGTGGGCTTGTCGTCAGCTCCCTCCCTGCCTCCTTGTCGAGGGTGACGCTCCAGCCATGATGCGGTACGCAGCAGCAGCGACTGACCGTTGTGACGCGGCTGCACTTGGTGGGGGTCTTCGAGATTCAGCGGCAGCTCAGCGTCTCCTTGACCTCAGGCTCTCTCAGCCCCTCGTCGATCCACTGTCGTCCTTGGAGAGCTGTGTCACCATGGCCGTGGCGTGGGAGGGCGAATCGGGGCTGAGCAGGAGGGATGTGGGTGACTGGGGGCGCCTGGCGTTGGGTGGGGGCGGGGAGTGGGCTGCACTTCTATCGCGACCTGTGGTGGCTGACGGCAAGAGGAAGAGAATGACGAAAAGCCTTGACCCTGGCAGATGGCCGTGGTGGCTGGGTGACGGGGGTGCTGTGGGCGGGGCGTCCATGGCACGCAGCTCGATCGACGGCTGACTGACGGGAGGGGCTCCTCCGTCGACTCGACCTCGCTGTTCTTTCCTCCCTCCCTCCCCCATTACGTGGCTATCCCAGCCAGCGAGACGTAGATGAAAACTGGACTTGTATAGCGATAAGGATGTGCGACGGGCTGCCTCCGAAAGAAACGGATCTCTCACTCAGTCACTCGCTAGGCACCTGCCTGAACCAGGGAGGGAGAAAGGGAAACCACACACGCACACCAACACGCAGAATGATCCACTGGATGGCGGCCTCCCCTTCCCCCTCCCCTCTCTGCGTGTGCTCACATGTGTTGTGTCTTTACAGCTGCCATGTCGTGTGAGGTAGACAATCTCCGAGCCCATTGTGTGGGGGCATGCAGGCATGTGGCAAGCCAACGGGCGTCACGCTGCTGCACACACACAGTGCCAGCCAGCCAGCATATATGGCTGCGGTCGCCCCCTCCCTCCGTCCCTCCGTCAGACTCTCCCTTGTTTTATTCGCGCACCTGCTGACCGGCTCGACGACCAGGAGCATCGATGTGACCATCAGCAGAAGAAATCCGACCATCAGCAACACCAGCGGCATCAGACAACACCACCCGCCGCCATCGTACGGCTGGGGACGAGTGGTGGTGCGTGGGGGGACGGCCGGCATGTCGGCTGGCGACGGCGGCAGGATAATCCGATAGGGCGTGTCGTCTACGTCCCCCGACCCCTCACTCGCCCCTGGTAGAGGCCGCGACACGATAGTCCTCTCCTGCAAGAGGCGGACGATTTGTCCTCTCACTGCATCGGCCTCCTTGACCCCCCTCTCGACTGGATCGAGGCACACGAGCTGGAAAAGGATCGTCTTGGCTGGCTCGATGATGTCCTGTCGGCCGCCGATGAGCCGCTCGATGTCCGGCACTGCGCTGGGGGGAGGGGATGGCGAACAGGAATGGGCAGCTGTGGGTGGGGGTGGCTTGGTGGGCATCGGCTCCACACGGAAGTATCGCGCCAGCTTCTCGATGAAGCGGTCTGGGGTCATGCACTTGTTGTAGTCGAGGCAGGCCAGTGCACGGCTCATGAATGTCCCACCTGCACGTACACGCGCAGAGCACGGAGTGGATGACTCTTGTTGAGTGTTGCTGGTGTGTGTGTTGCTGGTGTGTGTGCGAGTGTCGCCTTGAGGTACCTGTCGACGCGCCTCCTGCCTGGTGCAGCCGGTACAAAGCGTTGACATCCACCACCATCTCCCACTCGGGCACACCGCAGCCAATATGAAACAAGGGACGGCCACTGAGAAAGGATATGGCCGACAAGGCCGCTGGCCAGTTGTCGGTTGCTGCAGAGTACCCCAAGAATCCCAGATCCTGCCGCAGGATCGTCCCCATATCAACCCGCCGCAGATACTCGACCGCCCGTGGGTCGGTATTGGGTGCCGGTCTCGCCCCACCAGTATACAACCTCCCCAGGGCACGCACAAACTGCTGCTCGGGACTGGACGTGTCAGTCTTGAACGGCAGATGGCGGAACGTGCCCGCCATGTCGCCGGTCGGATCGATGCGGGTGACACTGGTGACGGCTACGCGCCTCTTGTGGGTGGTCGAAGGAGGGGGAGGGTTGCGCGATGCGGAGGGGGCTGGGGTGGTGTCGAACTCCACCTCATGGATGGAGATCAGCTCGTTGGGCCCGTTGTCGTCACCCCATACGAAAAGGCCCCGCCTGCCCACTGCCGATGCCGCCACGGCCCGCACGTTCTCGCTCTTCAGCTGCCTCGTCACCTCTGAATCCCCCTTCCACCCCAGGACCGTCACGCCATGCATCTCCTTGCCCTTATCCAAGAGGTCTAGCGCCCCATAGACCATGCCCCACGACGACTGCTGGCCCGTCAGCCCCAGGCGCCGCCGCATCACGCCGTCGACCACGCTCTTGTTCTGCCCTTGCATTGGGAGGGCGTGCGTCTCCTTTAGGTGCGATGGCAGGTTGGGCCGGGCTGAGATTGCGGTTGGGCCAGGGGGGATGAACTTGACCGCAGCCATGGCAAACTCATCGGAAGCCAGGCCCCTCAGCGCATACGAGGGGTCGGGAGGGGAGCCGGACGAGGGCGGCTGTGTGAGCTGTGGGGCGGCACTGGGAGAGGGTGGTGCATCGCCGCCACCGTGGGCTAGCATGGGCGTGAAGGGCACGCCGCCGAAGCGTGAGGGGGCCTGGTAGCTGTAGTTGCCTCTCCTCAGCTGGCGCAGCATGGCACGCGAGGCCTCGCTCATCCCACCCGACTCGTTAAGCCCACCCGCCATCCTATCACCCTCTGTGTCGGCGACAAATCCCAGCCCCTTCCTGTAGTGGTGGCGGAGGGCCTGCTCCGTCAGCACGTGGCTCATGAGAGCCTCGCCCGTGACCTCATGGCCGCCCGTGACTGAGTGGTCCTTCTTGATGCAGACGGTGGCCTTGTCGATTGTCCTGAATCGGATCATGGAGTTGCTGGTCCGTAGCCGTTTCTGGAAAATGTGTGGCGCCACAGAGGGGGGGGCGCTGGGTTGTGGGAGGGGGTGGGGCGGGGAAAGGGTGACGGCGTCTGCGGTGCCTTGTTGAGATGAAGAGTTGCTGAATGACAACGCCAGCACACACACGGTGGGTGGCGCTTCGCGTGTGCCATGTGTGCATTCTTCGGTTACCGAGATGTCGACTCGGATGCATCCGCTGCGCTATCGGTGCCGGAGGCAGTCGTGCTCAAACACTCCCTGGAAGCAGAGCAGACAGGAAATGCCCGCTTCTGCCGTGAAGTCGCTCGTTGAATGGGTGCATGCAGCGCCCAGCACTCCCCTTTCCCACCTTGAATCGTCTATGAGGCAGTACTCGTCTTCCACGTCTTTCTCGGGGTACGTCTTGGCACATGGGAACTCAACCAGGTCGGCGCGGCGCACAGCTATGCGGCTGGTGGTGCCCTGTGGCTGCGGCACCTCGCAAAGGGCCTCGAGGGGGTCGTACGGTGTCGGACCGACCTCGAGCACTGTCAGCCGACTCCCCATGCGTTATCGCCTGTCGCTGCTGCTCAAATGTGCTCAAATTGAATGCGCTCGGGGGTGATTGCTCCCACGAAATGACAGGTTTCACGAGACCACGAAACTGACTATTTACGTCGGGGGGGAACTTGGAAGAGAGCAAAAATGGCACAGATTGCATTCCTTCTCGGCGACCATGAGGATTTTGATGATGTGCTGTCGACGGTCAACGTGTGCCTGCCTCCCATGGCCTACGGCAACGCGGGGTCGGAATGCATCGCCCTCCATCATCCATCGCAATGCTTTCCCTCTGTCTTTGGGTGTGTTTTTAGCGCTGAGGAGGGTACTGACGGCGAGGGGGATGGAGGCGATGCAGGTGCTGATGCTGGTGGTGAGGGCGGCGATGCAGGTGCTGGTGGCGTGACGGACGACGACGACGGTGCCGAGGAGGCGTCCTGGGGGCCATGATTCGCGTGTGTGACACGGTGGCTGTGTGTGCATCGCCATTGTGGTGGGCGGCATCATCCTCCGCGACGCCTCTGCCGAGTTGGGGACCGTCTTCGCCGGACGGGTCCACTTCTAAGCCCACCACACCCACTAGACACCACACGACCATCGCCACACACCACACAGAGACCGTAGTGCATGCGTTGCTCTCTTTTGCCTTTCTTTTCATCCATGGAGTATGGCTGGCTGGGCGGGGGTCTGTTTGGTCCGGTGGTGTGGCACGCACCGGAGTGAGTGAGTGAGTGATCGCCTGTCTACGGAAACACCCTCAGCGAATGGATGGATGGATGCATATGTATTTTGCCCTTAGTCCTGAAGGCAGCTGACGCATGCCATGCGCACGAGGAACGTTCTGTTTGCAATTCACACACGCACTGCCTGCCTTGCCTGACCTGCCTACCTGCCCGCCCGAGTGGATGGATGGTGTGCTCTCCAAGGCGTGTGTCTAATTACGCATGCACGTGTGTGTCTGTCCAAGTGTGTGATCTGTCTAACCGGCTGACGGGTATGGATGGATGGATGGCTGTGTTTTTGGATGGATGGTCTTGTGTGGTGTTGGCTAAGGGATGTGTCAAACACGGGGGCTGTGTACACATGAGGCTGCTGTGATATTGCGCGCGCGTCTGCCTGTCTGTCTGTCTGTCTGGGTAAACCCCCTTTTGGCTCGCTGTACAGACCACCACAATGCATGAACCGAATGAGCCGCTGATCGGTTGAAGTGATGATGCGCAAAGTCCTCATCAGACAGCACAAACAGCATCGGGGGATGACACCACACACACAGACACAAGTAGCGTTATACCACACCACACCACACCACACCACACATCACGTCCACAGACACACAAAACTTGCCGTCGGCCGAAACGCACACCCGATGGCTCACACCACACCCACAACCACCACCCCGTAATGCTACTAGCAAAAGACGATGCACTGCACAAATACCCCCACTCATCACTCGTCCGGCCGGCCACGCACCCACGCAGAGAAGGCTTCCTTTGAGCCACTCTCCCGCGACTCATATATCCTCTAATTGTTCTCAGCGCGGTCCTCAGCCAGCCTCTTGGTCCGCAACTGTCAGCGAGTTCGAGCTGCATGCCGATTGAGCCGCACGCTCCGCACAGTTGGACCCTTTCTGGTAGACCCACCCTCCCCCCCGTCTCCTCTCCTCTGTCTACCAGTAGCATCGCTTGGGCGCGTTGAATGGTATGGGTCTGAACGAGAGCAGCCTCATCTCCCACCAGCTGACCAGCTCCCCACTCGTGAACAGCTCCTCCTTCCGGATGTCCTTCACCCAACGAGTCTCCCACCCACCGCTGTCGTCATCGTCAGCACCGCTGGGGTGGTGGTAGTAGGAGAAGTTGGCAGCGAACTGCAGCCCGTAGTTGAGCCGTGGGTCGGTCTCTATGATGGCCTTGCGCACCATCTTGTGCACCTCCACCAGTGGCACTGCCTGCCCTGTCATCTTGCCCCATGTCTTGCGGCCAATCATCCCTGATGGCCAACTGTGGAAGTACACGAGGTCGTCGGTGTAGCTGAAGAGCCTCAGTGCGTCGGAGGAGACCAGCAGGTGGTTGCTGCGCGAGGCGTAAGGCGGGTAGGCGACCGACTCGATCTGCAGGTTGGAGAACATCGTGGCGCACCCTGCCGTCCGTAGGCCGAGGTAGGGCATCAGGTAGAAGAGCACCATCAGCAACACGTACACCCAATTGAGACACGAGAGCCGACGGGCCGCTTGGAAGAATGACAGAGACACTGGGGGAGGGGGCGGGCTGTCTTCACTCTTGGCTTTAGTCTTCGGCTGCTGCCGTGAGTGGTGGACGATGGCGCGATACAGGGGAGTGGCCAGGAGGTGGATGGTGCTGACGATGAAGACGGCAGCTCTCAGCCGCACATACATGAGCTTCTTCTTGCTGCCCTCGGGCGCCAGCCGGATGAGCCAGAAGCTGCACGAGGCCAGGAGATTGGCGTACACATACAGATGCACCCTGCTCCACACGGCCCATCTCCTGCTCTTGCCCTCTGTGTCCTCCATAAAGGCCTTGACGAGGGTCGTGTGGGGCAGCGAGATGGCCAAAAAGGCCAAGATGAAGACGTTGATAAGCGAGCTGAAGTTGACGAACTTGGCGAGAGCGAGGTTCATGTGCATGAAGGCGATGAAGCCCAACACATAGGGACGCCACCGACGGCTCCACACGAGCACGGCACACCCCAGCTCCCACAGAATGACGAACGCGCCGAGGAACAAGACCGTCATCGCAGCGGCTTGTGTGTCTGGGCGGAGGAGGTCAGCGAGCCACTGGTGGTGCTGGATGCCCATTCCCCCAGCAATGCGTCTGGTGAAGTCGGCCACGCAGGACTGTGGGGGCGTGAAGAAGTCGTAGTTGAGCTTGTGGAAGCCCGCGAACCAGTACAGCACCGAGAACAGGAAGGGCAGCAGCGGCATGATCCGATGGTAGGCGGAGCACTCCATGCTGCTGCTGATGACCTGGAGGATGTCCCCCGACCGTATCGACCCCTTCTTGAGGCCGTCCTTGCTGCCGCGATGCCGAAAGTGCCTCACAACCGCAAGCGACACGTCCCACAGCAGCCACATGAGAATGATGACGTCCAGGAACACAATCAGGTTGGAGTGGTTGGGGACGTCAGGCCAGTAGGGTGCCACGTGAGCCAGGTCGTTAACGAGTGCAGCCACGAGGAAAAGGGGATGCCTCGTCCAGGCGAAGAGAAGCGTCCAGACCATCATGAGCGCGCAGCTCCATGGGTGGCCCCACATGTCGGTGACATCCATAACCAGCCCGACGCAATACAGCACCGACAGCAGCCACGAACACTCCCCAGCAACCGCTGTTGCCGACGCATATGGAGTTGAAGGACACGGAACGACATCTCCCTCGGCTTGCTGGCCGAGCAGGAAGGCCCTCAGGCCTTGCCGCCGCCGCATCATCTCTCGCAAGCAACCCACTGCGTGAAGTCAACGTTCAACGGTCGAAACCCAAACCCTGCAGGGTTTCAAACCCTGCACTTTGTTTTGACCTGTTTTGGGATGGCGAGTCGTCGCAGTAGGACTGCAGGAGGTGCGGATGAGGATGAGGATGATGGGGCTGACGAGGGCAACTTCACCAACAGGGGGCTGAAGGAGCAGAGGAGGAGGGTGAATGAGATCCTCAGGAGGTGCGGCGTTGAAGATCCAAAGGAGGTCAACATGTAAGCAACCATCAATGAATGAATGCATCGGGCGAAGCATGCCATTCTTCATTCGGTCTGTGTCTGTCTGTCTGTCTGGATCCGTCTTCTGTCTCATGCAGGTGCCTGAAGGCGGCCATTGCGCAGCGGTTTCTGGAGCCCGATTTCTCAAAGGAGGACCCGCTATCGTACGTCACCCTACTTTTCTTCTCTGGCTCCATGGGGGAATAAGATGTGTTGTATGGATGGTCTGGGCATGGGCACGCATGGCATGTATGTGTGCACTGCAGGGTGATCGTCTTGAAGACCAGGTGCGAGGACTGCAACAAGCGCATCAGTGTCACGATGCGTGACCTGGTATGGTAGGCATGGACCAGGGCGTAGGGATGGATGACACAACCCATACGTGTTTTTGTGGGCATCGATGCGTCTGTGTGCAGCTCGACCAGGGCAACGTAGGTTGGGACTATGAGGTACATACGTGCGAAGGTCCATCCTACACATGACATGGGCAGCGTCGCCAGCTTCATGCCCACATGGATGTATGTGCGTGTGTGCGTTTGTGTCATCAATCAATCAGGACGGCAGTGAGGGCGGTGGTGTTGTGTGCCCGCGGGAGGACTGCCACTGGCGCGCATACGTCACACGGCTGTGCCTCGGCAAGTGAGTGTACGAAGGAATGATGGATGATGGATGGACATGTGTCTGGGGTGGGTGTGGATCTGGGCGTGCAGTCCCGAGGTCGATTGCGGCAAGTTCCACCACCACTGCTCCCAATGTCCTGGCTACGGTAGGTGGGTAGGAGAACACCCTCCATACCACCACCTACGTGGCTGCTATGTGTGTGCACAATCAGGCCAGTGCATCGGGGACTATCGCAACGCCCACTGTGAACACTGCGGTAACCACTACTTCACGGTGAGTGAGGCTGCCCCACCTTTCACCACAACCTTTCCCTCCTTACTATACGTGTGTGTATCAACGATGGTCCATCAGGGCCTCAGCGGTTTCCCCTGCCCGTGTGGCGGCGACGAGGACGACGACGATTATGATGATGACGACGACGACGAAGAGATGGGCGGCGGTGGCGGGGGCCGCTCCAGAGGCGAGCGATTTAACCCACGAGACTGTCCACTCCAGTGACGGAGGGAGGGAGGATACCTGCCGGTCAGTAGCCAGCTGATGGATTGCCGAAGGCTAGATTCCGACTTTGTGCGCTTGTCGGCTGCCTGCCGTACCGTGCCCAGCTCCCAATGTGTGTATTGAGTCCATTTTCGGACCTGATGCCCATTCGGCTCCGGGGGCCATGTGCATACATATACATACATACACTCACTGATCCTATATGTATGTATGTATGTGCCGGCTGGTTTGACGTGTGTGTGGTTGTGACAGGACAGCCCCATGCATTCATTTCTTGTAGTCAGTCGCCGTGGGCTGCTCTCTAGGTGTTCTGTGCGGCTCGGCTGAGTCTGGGCGGAGACATGACAGGCACTGTTGGAGGCGCAACACGACAGGCAGCGGTTTAGCGGTATACGGACACGGAGAGCTGTGTGGGTACCTTACCTGGGGGTGCAGTGCGAGAAATCGGTTCTTATCTCTATTGTGTATACGCCTGGCTGTGTATATATACATGCACTCACTGGCTGCTTTGCTGAATCACCCATGTTTCCATCTGTTGTGGTTGCCCTCTCAGTGTCACTGCGGCTGTGTCATGGGGGAGATGACAGACCAAATCGACAGCCAGGCGGTTGGGCCTGTCTCTCCATCATGTCTGGGCTGCGGAGCCACTCATGTGTGGCATGGCGCGTCTGGGATCGCTTTGTCTTGGCGTGACGGATTCGCGGCATAAGACACACGAAGACCATGATTAGCATACACATGTATGGGACACGATAAACGATGTTTGTGCGGTTACTATCGACGAAGTGGCTCATCCATCCATCCATCCATCTAATCGCTCAGAAGACCTTGAGTTTCTTCTTTGCCCGGTTGCCTGACAGCTTCTCTGTCAACGCCCTCTCCTCGTCCTAAGCCACACAAATCAACACAACCGACCCTCACACCACTCGACGGGAGCCACCCCTCCCTCCCACACCACCTCACCTCCAGCCGTTGTATTTCCTTCCTCTTGGCCGCCACTGATCCACCGTAGGTCGCCTGCAGCTCCGTCACAGCACCCTTACCTGCACACACACGCACGCACACACAGCACACACACAATGACCGACCAGTTACCGACAGGTGTATGGTCTGCCTCTCCGCTCACCCAGGTGTCGCTTCAGCTGGTCCTCTGCGCCACTCAGCTGCGATCGGGCGACTTTCAGTTTGTCCTGGCAAGCCACCAGTTTCTTCCTCAGGTCGCCTTCAGAGGTCGTCTGAGACCGTCGCAGCTTCTCCATCTCGTGCTGGTGCTTGGCCTCTGCCCTTCGCGCCTCAGCTGCTGCACTGTCGGCTTTCTGGCCCATCCCCTGCATCAGGCCGTCATTCAATAGCTTGAAGGAGCCGCGCTCATGCGGGGCAGAGGGGCCGTGCTGCGCTAGCCATGCCTCGCCGTATTTCGCCGCCAGCTTGCGTTTGCCGCTGCCCCGTTTACCGCGTCGCTTGCTGGCGCCTTTCTTGAAGGGCTTTGAGATGAAGTCGAGAGACCGCCTGGATGAGGGAAGACACAGACAGACACAGAAGAGCTGGGTGGGTTTCATGTGTGTTTGGTTTTGGTGCTCTCACTGCATTCACTGACCTGGGCGGGAGTACCCTGACAGAGATGGGGTTGACGATCCTCTTGTCATGGTCCATGTGGTCGGCCTTGCCCAGTGCCCCGCCCTTCCACCCCATCTTCTTGAGCATCTTGGAGCCAAATCCCTTTGTAAACTGCTCCCACTTGCCGAACTCCTCCACGTGGGGGTGCTCAAACTGCTCCTGGACCGCGTGGAATCCCTGCTGCTCCTCCTCATCGCCATCTGACTCGCTGTCGGACCCGCCCCAGCCGATGGCCTCGTCTGATGGAGAGGGGGCCGGGGAGGGGTAGGGAGAGGGAGACGGGCGGGATGGCTCGTTTTCTTGGCCGTCTTCTTGGTCGTCTTTGCTCGAGATAGAGCCACCATAGAAGACGTCGGCACGCGGCAATATAGCGGTGGGGGGCAGGGTGAAGTCGTGGCTGTGCGGTGGGTCGAAGTGGACCCTGACGCGGCCATCAGGTGTCACCTCCGTCACTGTGGCCTCGTACCACAGGCCATCAGAGAAACGGGCCTCCACCTTGTTGCCCTCAGAGATGTCCTCGTGGTGCCAGGGGAGCGATTGCAGCGCATCCAGCTCCACCCATACACCATGAGAGAACCGGCAAGAGGGTCCATAGGGACATTCGCTCACATTGCGGATGTGCCGACAGCGGGTCTCTCCCTTCTCCCGCGGAGCCGCATAAGACACCAGGCACATGAGGAGGCCGTCACCCTCATCCTCGTCCCCATCACGATGACCACCTTCAGGTGGCCGCTGCGCATCGTGATCAGACCTCCTCAGCTGCTCGATAATGCCGATTCGCCATGTGACAGCCCCGTTGAGAGCCCTCCGAGGGAAGAGGACGCGGGAGCCCACGAGTGAGTCGATAGATGCCGCTGGCAGGTCGTCGGAAGCAGCAGCAGCGGTGGCCGGCGCGGCTGAGCCTGAGGGATGCTCTGGTGATGGGGATGGTGAGGAAAGCACGGCTGCGATCTCCTTGAAGGGGCAGGAAGGGGCACCTGAGGAAGGAACAAGACAAGACGTCCCCACACAAGACACAGAAGAATGGATGTATCGACAGTGGCCACGGCCGCGTGCAGTGCATTGGGCTAAGATGATCAAGCAAACGCGCAGATCTGAGAGGCTCTCTGACTGATAAATGACAACCGAGAACAGCATGCAACTCGACTCGTCTGGCCGGACTTCTTAATTACCGGAGGCACTCTCCGGCCCGTTGGCGACTTGTTCGAGCGAATGCAAGGCGCTGGCTTTGGTCAGCTGGAGCAGCGTCTCCTGCAGGCTGCTGATGAGTGCGATGAGGTCCTTCTTGATGGCTGTGATCTCTTCAGAGGCTGGCAGGGCTTCGAGCTCTTTCAGCTGCTCTTCTGTCTGACGGATCTGCTCTCTCAGGGCTGCTGCTGCGTCCTCTGCCATGGCTGAGCCCTGCAAAAAGTTGCGAGCCATTGTGCGAGCTTTTGTGCTTAGTTCACCTAAGCTCGCAGGCCAGGAGGAGGGCTCTCGCGCTTCCGGAGGCTGCAAAGAGGGCCGCATCTTCACGCTATGCCCGCATGGCGATTTGCAATTCATAAGAAGACGTGATCCATGGACCATCTTGCGGCCACTTGAGTACCTCAACGACGCCACGTCACGCCTCTCCATGCAGGAGGCGACTGCTGGAAGATTCCTGTAAGACCAGCGCCAACAAGGAAGCACGGCTCTGTTCATCTGCTTGTTGGTTGCCGTCAGGTACCCTGCGCCATCTTCGCTGCTGCCCCCGCTGACCAAGCGGGATACCCTCCACGAGGCATACGCCACGGCAGCACTCTTCGCACAGCTGCCCGTTCCAGTGTCGCCCCCGCCATGGGTGATTGTCCGCAAGTCAACCGTCGCCAAACCACCTCGCCGCCATGTGGTTCACCTGCTGCCCATCCCGACAGACAGGCAGCCCTTCCTCGCGAGACCTGCACGGACAAGTGGTAGTGGTAGTGGTGGCGGTGATGGCGATGGCGATGTGGTGTACCTGTCGTGTGCGGTGCTTCACTATCTGCGCATCACGAGCGGGCAGGACCGGGTCACTTTGGAACCGCTGGGCGAGAAGAGCGATGAAAGGTGAGAAACTGGAGGCGACTGGAGTGGCGCAGCGCTGGTGGTGGTCTTTCTGATGCTGGTTTTGCTCATTCAATGCAGAGCCGAGAGTGTGAATGGTTTTCTGCCGCCGTATTTTGGGGGGCCACCCGCAGCCTCCCTGGCAGTGCTCACCAAGGTGACGATCGATCTCATCCATCCATCCATCCATCCATCGAAGAACCATCATGATTTTCTTTTCTCCATCCCCTTGAGCAGGTCAAGGGCAGCGGCCATGGCGACTTGTTCGACGCCGAAGACGGCGACACTGACGAGGAGGCGCTGCTGAGGCGCTTCTTCGACGTCCCGCGTGTGGCTGCGATGGGTGAGGTGATCGGGCTGCCCGCCACAGCTGAGCAGATGGACCGACTCCTACTGATCGAAAGGACCGCCGAGGGATCAGATTCTCAAAGGCCTCTCGAGAATGGCGTCGGCCAGCTAAGTGCAGCGAGCGTCTACCCCCCCACCTCTACTGCTGGCGGTGCATCCCAAGACCGTCTGAGTGACTTTGCCTTCACAGCACCCCACATGGCCTTCTATCGGGTCGACACACTCAGTAGGGGCCGGGGAGAGAATGACGGTGAGGGCGACCGGCACGCTGACGTGGCTGTGTTGTGCATCGATCCCGGCTCGACACGTTTGGTGCTGCGGGGCGAGTGCAACGCGCTGCGGACACCACTGATGGTATGTAAGCTGGTGACACACACAGCATGACCTGAATGAAGGTCATTGTGGGTGGCGTTTGGCGTCAGGTGTACCACTACGGCTTCTCTGTCCCGCTGCCGCCCCTGCCGTCCCTCCAGGGGCCTCTGCACAAGTGAGTCGGCTAGTGGGCAACTGCAAGGCAAGCCAGAGAGTGTTCACCTTGTGTCAGGTTGATTGGGTGGCTGAGGGGCCATCTCGGCAAGGCCGCCGCTTCGGCTGGGCCATCCAGGGCAGCTCTGCTCGTGCATGGGCCGAAAGGGTAAGTAAATGAGTGGGGCAACTTCACAGACACCGTTCGCTCGCAGACACGTCACATGAGTATGTGTCACGTGATCAGTTGCGGGAAGCGTTGGGTGATTCGTTGGGCTGCCGACCGACTGGGGTGCCATCACACCGAGATCGACGGATACCAGTGAGCTCTTCGTTGCACACACGTCACGTCCATTACTTACACACCTCTGAGCCCTGTCTGCCTGTGCATATCGTCAGGTTGTCTCCAGCTGCCCCTTCCGCAGCACAGGGTGCGAGGGATAAGGGCGACAGCAAACCTCTGGCGGGCCCCATGGGCCGCGCCCTTGCCGACCACATGGACAGGTGGCCTTTGGTGGTGGCCGTGAGGCACTTTGACGTCCTCATGCGCTCTCACGCAGCACAGCACAACCCCACCCTCAAGACACAGCTGCAGGTAAGTAAGCCAGCACAACAGCCACGTGTTTATGTGTCGTGTCATTTCGCGTTGTTCGATCCATCAGCGGCGGGTTGCCACTGCCATCAGCGACTTCCTGACGGCACCAGTGAGTTCCGCCGCCAGTGCAGACGCGACGACACCAAGCCAGTCTCTTGCTCACGGCGAACCAAGCGCAGTCATCCTAGTGGTATTGTTGCAAAGACAGCAAACAGACTGTATGATGTCGGGTGTATGTTTGGTCTCTCGGTCGTCAGGCATTGTGTGAGGAGAAGGAGGACCTCGGCGGTCATGTGACATCCCTCTTCGCCACGGACATCCGTGTGCCGCCGCCCGATGACGCCTCGCGAGCGGAGGCCTGCCACCGACTTCTTGGGGCGCAGGACGATTCACGGGACAAGGCAAAACTCATGGCCAGGTCGACACAGGCACACACAGAGAGACAGCATCCTTGTGCCCCATGACACTCCCTGACTGCCCCCCTTCATCCAGGCTGACGACGGGTCTCAGTTACTCGCACCTTCGCGTGTTCTCCGCTGCTGCCGCCGCTGCTGCTGGGACGCCATCGTCTGGCGATGATTCCACAGAAGAAGGCCGACTGCGAGGCATTGTCAAGCAGATGCGCAGAAACGAGGGCGGAGGTACGCAAAGCAGGAGAGAAGTCCATTTGCTGTGTAGTATGTACTGTGTGTCTTGTGTCGTGTAGATGAGGCTGTGGCGCTGTCGTCGGTGCCAGTGGTGCGGTGGGCCGACGTGGGCGGGCTGGAGGGGGCCAAGACGGAGCTCATGGACTGCATCAGCCTGCCACTACAAACCGCTGCACTAGGGAGAGGTAGAGGTATGAGGGGTCCATCGAACAAGCTGCGGTCTGGCGTGCTGCTCTACGGGCCGCCGGGAACAGGTCAGCCTGTCTGCCTGTCAGCCTGGGAAGCACTCCCCTCGCACGTACACGTGAGTGGACATGGATCTGTGTGTATGTGTGTGTGTGTATGCGTGTTTAGGCAAGACGTTGCTGGCCAAGGCGGTGGCCAATGAGTGTGGGGCCAACTTCATATCCGTCAAGGGACCGGAGCTGCTCAACATGTGGGGGGGTGCAGTGCAGCAAATGAATGCATTCATTGGTATGGCCAGCTGACACTTGCCGCCGTCTGCTGCCTTCGTCAGGTACATCGGTGAGAGCGAGCGCAACGTGCGAGAGATATTCAAACAGGTAGGTCAATGAGGGAACAGACACACACTGCCCGGACAGAGAGACCGATCAGACAGACAGACAGACAGACAGGCCGATCAGAATTTGCCTCTGCTTGTCTGTCGTATGCAGGCTCGTGAGATGGCGCCGTGTGTGGTCTTTTTCGACGAGTTGGACTCCCTGGCCCCCGCCCGTGGCCGGGGCGCTGACTCGGGAGGCGTCATGGACAGAGTCGTCTCACAGCTACTCACTGAGCTGGACGGCACATCACCCACGGTACACACATGTACACACACACACATACACTGCACCAAAGGGTTGTTGAGTGCTGTCCTGTTGCCGGCCGTCTACAGGTGTTCCTGATAGGTGCCACGAACCGCCCCGACCTCCTGGATGGGGCTCTCCTGAGACCTGGCAGGTGCGCGAGGGACCAAGACATCCCCCCACCCACCCCACACACACGTCAGCTTCCATCTGTTGGTCTGCGTGTGTGTGTGATTCAGGTTGGACCGTCAGGTGTACCTGGGCATACCCGATGATAAGCGGCCCCTACTCACAGCCCTACTTCGCAAGTTCCGACTGCAGGAGGTTGACGACACCGAGCCTGGCCCGTCCAGTGTCACCGCCAGCGGCATCAGCACCAGCTCCCCGCTTATCGAGAGGCTGGCCAGGAGCGTTCCTGCGACCTTCACTGGTGGGCAGAAGCCCACGAGCGAACCACACGACACGCGCAGAGGAGCTGAGCCGACGGGCATGTGTAGTGCGACACATGTGTGTGCGTGTGGTCACTCAGGTGCGGACTGTCGTGCTTTGTGCAGCGAGGCCTTCATGCTGGCCATCAAGGAACGGACAGCACTCATCCAGCGACTCGCCGGTATGTCAGCATGTGTTGGATGTGACCCCCTTTCCCATTGTGCACGTCTTATCGTATCTTTTCAATCGTCTCAGAGTCACTTGGCGTGTCGGTATCGGCCGTGCAGGACTTCGTCAAAGCGCTGAGGGCCGATAGTGCCACGCTGGAAGCCAAAGTGCCACAGCCGGGTGAAGGCAGCCATGGCTGCCATAGCGTGGAGCTGGTGTTCCCCCCCTCCCCCGCCCACCACGATGCGCCCATCACACCACCCCTCCACCGCCGGCACACGTCAGCCCCCCCTCCCCTGCAGCTGTGGCGCGACAACCAAGGCGCGGGGGACTTTCTGATGACCAGTATCGAAACGTCAGCCCTCAGCAGTCTCATAGGCGGCACAAACACGTGCTCTCGAGAGGAAATGCAGCAGCTGGGGGTGCGGTGGGTCTCTTTGAGTGAGGTGCTTCCTGTGGAAAGGGGGAAGGCGAGCACTGGGCTTGGTGATGTGTTGGGTTTGGTAGATGTGCGTGTGTGTTGGCGTCACTTTGAGAGTGCGATGGGCAGGGTGCGGCCGTCTGTGTCTGAGAATGACGTGAGGCGGTACGAGCAGATGAGGATTCAGTTCGCAGCCCCAATGAGACTTGCCAAGATGAAGAGAAGCGACAACGGTTGATGCGATGATGTGCATTGGTATGATTGCAATGATATATTGAGAAAAGTCACACTCACTCAAGCCACCCACACTCAGTCACTGACGTGACGTACAGCCAATAGCTGTACACACAGGGACAGACACACACCTCACACACGTGCACGCCGCCACCGACTCACTCTAGAGAGCAAATGTTCTGTCCGACGTTTGATTGAACTGATTGATGGCCAAAACTAGCTAGCGAAAGCTTAAGCGAGACCAACCAGCCAGCCGGCCCCTCACGCACGGCACCGCACACCACACCAGTCAGTCAACCAATGACCCAATCAGTAGGTAGGTACCTCCTGTACTAGCACTAGCACGTCCATCCGAAATGACTGACTGACACCACCTTTCTAGGCCCTTAGAGACACATACTTACGTATGTATGCAGATCAAACAAACGGACTCATCACAGGCGCTGGCCGCACTAGCAAGGCTAGACAGTGAGATTGAGGTCGTCCTCCTCCATTATCTCCGCTGGGGCGAACCGCAGAGTGCGTGTGTGGTCCAGGGGGACCACCTCCAGCTTGTTCCACCAGCCTCTCAGATCCTTGATCTCACCACTGCATCAATGAATCGACACACACACACACACTGGGTCCACCTGTGTGTGCGGTGTGTGTGTGTGTGTGTGTGGTGACCTGAGTCCGATGAATTTCTTCATGGTGAATTCGTCGATGAGGTTGAGTGCCGAGAAGACCTTCCACATGGCCTTGAAGACACCTGGGGCGTTAATCATCACGATCTCGCCCTGCGCATGAATCAACGCACCCATGTCGCACCCATGCATGAATCACGATCTCGTCCACCTGGAAGTCGGGGTAGTGCGCCTGCATGAACGACACCCACGGCGACAACAGAGACGAGAAAAACGCAGGAGACAGCTGCATAGATACACACACACACACACACAGGGAGGCACACGAGATGAGATCTGATCACCTTGCCGTGATAGCACGTCTGTCGTCTCTGTCTGTCTGTCTGTCTGGTTAGCAGGTAGACCTACCTGTCCCATGTGCAGTCCTTTGAGGTCGACGATTTCGCATATGTAGGCCAGCCGTCCGTCCTGGCGGGAGAGGGTGTCCAGCTGGATGGATAGGAACTCCACGATGTAGATCCAGAAACGCACGAACTCATCCACTGTCAGCTTGCCCTTACGCAATGCACCAACAGCACCTGAATGACACACGACAGACACATGACACAGACAGACAGACCCCAGTGGATGCGTTCTTTCTTGGCCGGCTCGATGGATCCCATCTCGTGTGTGTGCGTGAGTGTGTGTGTGTTTGTGTGTGTGGCCACCCCACCGACGGACCTTTTGTGTTCCAGGTGCCGGGGACCTCGATGTTTACGAGCCTGGTCTCGCCCCTGGGGTTCTTGCCGACGCCCCAGGCCATCTCGGTGGGGCAGAACTCGCACACCAGGTTGCCCTGCTTCTCCTCATAGATTTGCTTGACCGTCATGTCCCTGCTCACAATCTCCTGACGCACCTCGTCCACCTGGTTCTCACGCCGCCACTTGAGCATCGCACGGTACTTCTTGGCGACCTGCTGCAGCCGGGGCTCCTGCAAACAAAAAGCGCCGACAACACACTGGGCTGCATGGGCACTCAATGCTCATTGCAGCTCAAGGTGATACCAGATCTGAGAGCTTGACGGACGGCGATCGACGTGGTGATTTTCTGCGGTGAGCGCCGGAGCGCTTGGCGGCGTCCATGTCGACGGTGTGTGCGCGTGGGAGGGGCCGGGCATACTTCCGGATGAACCGCAACAGCCGAATGTCGCCCGTCAGCTCAGGAAACGCAGGCACTTCTGCCAAATCCTTGGCGAGGATCTCGCGTAAACGGCCTGCAGACAGGCAGCGCCTTACGTAGACAACAATGGGCTCCTGACCTGCTTCCCTGCTTCTCTGTCTGTCTGTCTGTCTGTCTGACCGTCTGTCTGACCGTCTGTCTCTCTTGGTGTTCCTGCACTGACCGACGAGAATTCTCTCCTCGAAGGAGAGCCATTCGACATTGTCGCCCGTCCGACTCAGCAAGCGCATGGCGACGCGCGGCCGCACCGCGTCGGCCTCCATCCCATCCTGCAGGTGGTCAATCGACGCGCCAGGTGACAGCGTCTGCATTCAAGAATGACAGACAGAAGAAACAGACAAACAGACCGGTGGCTATCTCGATATCTGCGGCTACGCAGTTGGCTCACTGACCGTGGTAGAGATGGTTTTCTCTGCCGTCTGCTTAGCGCCATCGACGCCGTTGACGAATACGTGTCCGCCCTCCTGGACGTAGTTGTCCTCTTCGTCCACCTCGATGGGCGCGTCAAAGGCGATGGGGCCGCCCTGGTTCTCCTGCAGGATCTGCTGCATCACACCCGCAGTGCCCGTGACGAGCTGGAACACGTTGGGCGGTTGGTAGATTGTGTCCCTCCTGGAGCCTCGCGGAACCACCACACTGCGCACACCTGAAGTGGAGATACATGGATCAAGCAGAGTAGAGCAGATTGATGGAGAGGTGGGTTGTGAATGGGCATCTTGCCTTGCTTCCTCAGCTGACCGTCGGCAGAGGGGATGCTCTGAATGGCGTTGGCGTCGTGCACACCTGCGGGGGAGAGGGAGGGAGGGAAAGATCAATACGCAAGAGCGATTGGGCATGTGGGAGCGTTGTCGTGTGTGATCTGGCCTCCATTGCCTCCTACCATTGTCCTGGACGAGCAGCTCGTTGTGGTCCCTCACTTGGGCTGGTCTGCAGCAGATCCACCCACACGACTGCATGGCCAACGGTCTGCACACTCCTCGCACGCAGGTGCACCCAGACCCACAGAGGACCGCTGCGCGCACAACAGGAAGCTGCGGGGGTAGCTCCCTAGGGCGTTCCCTGAAACCGCTGGTGCGCAACAGCGAAGCTCGCGCAGCAATGAAGAGCCGAAACGCGCCTCAGGGCGTGGCTGGCCTCTCAGAAGTAGCCGCAGGACATCCTTAGATCGGCATATGCAGCTGCAAGCATACCACTACGGCCTTGCCTTTGTGGCGGCTCTGGTGGCCTACCGACTGGTGCAGGATCTCACAGCGCCCTCCATCAAAGAAGGAGGACCAAGTCAGCAGCCGCACGAGCGCCACCATTTACCCAAAGATGAAGATCAGAGGGAGAGGAGGCCAGGGACTGCCACCGAGGGGGAGGGAGGGTATTTCGGTACGAATGGGAGTTTCTGGCGTGCGGTCAACCCTTTACCAGCTGACGTGGACGAGGACACCATCACGATTCAGTACTGCCAGTCCTGACAGTACAAGGGGGCGGCGCAGCAGGTGGCCAACTTCATCAACACCCGCTCCGTCGTCAACTACCGGGTCAGGGGCGTCCCTTACGAGGTCAGTCAGTAAGCCAGCCAGGCGACCACACACACACACACGCGCGCCGCGCGCGTCGACGGACGGACGGCAAGCACAGCACGAAACGGTAGATTCCATTGTATGTATGTGTAGCCGAGCGGTCTTCGGAAGAGCATGGCGTCGGTAGCCATGGTGGTTCAGCTGTCTGGGTTCGCATGCGTCTTCGCCGGCACCACCATATGTCAATTCTTCGGGCTGGACCCAACACCACCACTCATCGACGCGTACGGCAACCATCACACACACATATGTTAGTCAGACGGACCGACCACCTGTGTGTGTGTGTGTGTGTGCAGGTTGCAGCAGAACAAGATGATGTCGTTCGTAGTCCTTTTCTTCGTCGGCAATCTGGTGCAGTCGACGCTCACGGCCACCCACGCCTTCGAGATCTACAAGGGAAGACAACTCGTGTGGTCCAGCCTCAGGTGTGCATTCAAAAAGAACACTGATGTGCACCGCGGTCGCCAAATGACGCCTTCTCGCCCTTCTGTGTATGTGTGTGTGATTCAGCGAGGGTCGGTTGCCCCAGATGGATGACATCATGACAACATTCAAGGAAGCCGGCATCGAAGTGGCCCTCTAAGGCGCCGCCCCGTCCCCCTCCTCCCCCCTCCCTCCGCCCCCGCTGTCCGTCCTTCCATCCATCCCTCCATCAGTCGGCTGGCTGGCTGGCTGACGTTGGCTGCGGTGCCTGGAGAGTCCCACGAGTGAAGGTTGGCGAGACAACCCACATGCCTGGGCCTTGCCAAGCGGATGTGTGTGGACGATTGGCACATGCACGACGGGCCTGCCAGTTGCCAGTACGTACTGGAGTGATGTGGTGGACGGCCCCTCTCCCCCCCACGTGTTTGTGTGTAGCGTGTCCGTCTGTCTGTCTGTCTGTCTAGTGCTGGTGAAGAGCCGTTCCTTGTTCAGTGTGTGTGTGAAAACGGGTCTGTTGATGGTGTCGTGCGTGTGACAATTTGCACGTGGCTGGTCAAAGAAGTAGTTAGTTACACCACGGAGGGAGAGAGGGATGGAGGGAGGGAGGGATCCATGCCATGCAATTCAAGTCAACACGCATCATACACACATACACACACGGCATCGTATGTGTTAATGGCATCGAGTGAGCGTCATTCATTATTGACGGATGGAGCAAAAACAGACAGACAGATGCACCCATGGCCAGCCAGCTAGACAGAGGGCGAGGCGAGGCGAGTCTGCAGAGACAGAGGAAGGGAAGTTGATGAGTCAAGAAGTTGTGAGTGAGTGAGGTATTTACAGATGGATGGATGGTCCAGGCAGACCAGAGAGAGAGGGGAAGGAACAGAGGAGAGACCAAAACTCGGAATAATGAGACAGACAAGACAGAGCGTAGCAGCATAGCGATCGCCATGTACACAAGCAGAGAGCGGCATGCACCGCAAACACCCAATGGACAGCCCCTGTTTGAAACCCCTTGTCTGAGGGCCTTTCCCGTCGACGGCGCGCAGCTGTGTCACGCACAGGCGATACACCGGCCGTCACAATGCTACGCAGGCCGACAGAAAGGAATCTCAGACAAGGGAGACGCAAACCCCACGAGACGAAATCTCTGTCTGTCTGATCGATGACTGTACAGGATAGATCAAGGAATCCCACCCAAAGGGCCCCTGGCCACACAGACGGCTGCCCCCGTCAATCAGTCACCAGAGGAAAAGCAGAGCTCTCCATCTGTCCTCGTGGATGAGTATGTGCACTTGGCCGTCGCCACACGAACAAGAAACCGTTCCATGCTGTTTGTTTAGGCACGGAGTGTTTTCTCGTTGGTGTGAAGGCGCGGGCAAGTGCACACACTCGTCTACACGCAGACGACCACTAACAGAAGGCAACAAAAGGCAACTAACCTACCCCAAGATGGACAAAAACCAACCAACGCGTGACGGTGTTTCTCGTGGACGGATGGACGGATGGATGGATGCATGGATGGGTGGACTGACAAACAAAGCAATCAAGAATCTGAGCAGTGCCAGCGGCTGCTTCTCCCCTGATCCCCTTAAACAGGCAGGCAGGCAGGCAGGCCATCCACCGCTACACAGCTCACCCGACCAACCGCCGTCAAAACCCATCCCACCAACCACACACACACACACACACTCCGACAGAGACGCAGACACTCGGAAGTAGCCCGACCAACACCGACGAGGGGAAGCTACGGATCGACCAGACAGCCCCGCGGGTAACACACTTGCTAGGACCCTCCCCCAGTCTCCGTTTCGGGTGCTGCCTCGCCGCTGCCCGCAACGGCCGCCTCTGCCGCTGCTGCTGGCGCTTCTTGGGGCGCATCACTTGACGCTGACGCTGCTGCTGCTGCTGGTGGCTGCTCCTCAGGCCTCTCGTGGCCCTCCGGCTGCTGCTGCTGCTGCTGTGGCGCTGTGGGCTCCCCACTCGCGCCCTCAGCCTCTGCCTGTGGCTGTGGCTGCTGTGTGGCGGGTGCGGCCTGGGTCTGTGTGGGGGAGTCGGGGGGCGGGGGCAGCTGCTCCAGCTTCTGCAGAATCGTCTGCTTGTCGGCCACAAACTGTTCCTCCTCCCTGGAGAACAATGGGGCCATGCGATGGATTGAGAGCCGTTGTGTGGGTGTGGGGCGTGATGTGTCTGTGACGTACCTGTCGACGAGGAATTGGTTGAGGAATCTGATGATGCGGTCTCTGTTGGCGTAGAGTATCTTGTGGACCCTCGGGGGCTTCTGCGGGTTGGCCACGAAGATCTTGAACAAGTGAAACGCCTCAAACGCTATCGCCTTGCTCTCATTCCTACACATAAGACACCACCACGACCAACACAGCACAGCACAGCAAAGGATGACTGACACCCATGCGCCGCGCCCGTGTGTTGTGTGTGTTGCCCGCTCCCCTCCCCAGGCACCTGAGTTGGTCCATGTGGAGCATGAGGAACTTTTCGTTCTTGACGTACTTGAGCATCGGCCTGAGGAAGGTGCGGTCGAGGAGCAGCTCGCTGAGGACCTTGAGGCTCTGCCGCACCGTGACGTAGTTGGACGTGTTGAGTATCTCCCAGTACTTGTCGAAGAACTCGTCGAAGTGGTCCTGGATGAACTCGGCCGACGCGTTCTTCTTCTTGACCAGGAACTCACGCAGCGACACAAAGGCGTCGCTGGCCACGTCGAAGTTCTGCAGCTTCACTGCATCGATCAGGCGGTACACGTGGCCCGTCTCCAAGACGTACCGCACCAGCTCGTCGTAGCCCGCACACGCACGCAGCATCTCGCCCACGTGTGGGACGGTGGTGGGCTGCTTGCCGGAGGCGCTGGCCTCGTACCCCGCCACGAGGTGGTCGATGAGCGTCTTGTGGTTGAGGACATACTCGAGTGCGGGCCGCTTGCCGCTCTCCTCCTCCTTGGCCGTCATCAGGTTGGAGAATATCTGGCTCACCAGCCGCTTCACCTCGAACTCGTACTTGCCCAGGTCGCGGGCTATCATGACCAGCGTGTCGTCGCTCAGCATGCTGCTCACGATGGCGTCACGCGCCTCGTCCGAAGGCAGCTGCTTGTCCTCGTAGTCGGTCGCCAGCGGCAGGTGGCTCAGCACCTGCGTCAGCCGCTCGGCCGCGTCCTTGTTGAGCTTGTCGATCTGGTGCTTGCTGTCGGCCGCAGTCGGGTCGAGCTTCTCGAGCTTCTCGAGGTCGGAACGGATGAGCCGCCACAGCTCCTGCGGAGAGGGCGACTTCTTCTTGCCCAAACCGAAGAAGTTCATCGCGCTGGCTGGCAGTGCCTAATCGGGACACTACAAGCTAACAACAACAATAACGGCTCCTTCCTGCTCCTTCCTCCTTTTTTGGTTCTCTCCCTCGAGCTCGACGAGCAGTTTCGCGACCCCTTAAGCCCTGACTGCGAGCTCAGGGGCAAACGGGAGGGAGAGGAAGCAACAGAGGTCTTCTCCAAGGCCACATGAATGAAATGGATGCCCCAAACGCACGGCGCCGTCACTCACTCTCACCGCTCATTCGCTGGTTGAAGATCTTGAACATCTTATGGCAGGTGATGAGTGTGGTGCTTATTCAGCCGGCGGGGAGCTCTGCCAGGCGGCAAGACTGCCGAGCCAACCCTGCATGCCCTCGTCAGCCGTCTGCAATGAGTCCTTGTACATCTTTCGTGCTTCGAAGCCGCATCGTGCCCTCTTCTTCAGTCGGCATCAGCAAGCGGCACTTGTCGAGGCGTCTGCTGATGATGAGCACCCTGTTGCCGGACTTTGATCTCAACAAGAGCGCCAGATCGCTCAACCTCTACTATCGGGAGGCGTGTCTGCATAATCGGGGACGCTCTCTGGCCGAGGCGCTTGGCGACTTTGTGGAGGAGTGTGTGGATGTCTTCATCTACGGCGGCTGCTCTCCCGTGCAGCTTCAGCTTGAAACACAGGTACGAAGGTGTCGGCCGATGGAGATGAGGAGAGATCCTCATTCATTGAGCTGGGGTGCCTGTCCGCAGGTAGAGGGTGAGATCCACTGTGAGAGGAATCCGCTGGAGCGGCTGACTCAGGACGACAAGGAGGCACGGGCACGCTGGATTCGATGCGTGTGGCTGACGCTCCGCACACTTGGGGTAAGTAAAGCCCCACATGCACACAGGCTCAATCTGTGCGCGCACTGAAGTGGTTTTCCTCTCGTTTGTCAGGTGGTGTCTGTGCGTCGAGACAGTGAGGTGGAGGGCCCTTCGACGTCTGCGGCCGATGCAGCTTTGCAGGGGCTTGTGAGTACAACAGTGAAGGGGCAACAGACCGGCGACCGGCAATCGTATGTCCCATTCGACCGCAGCTTGGCGACTCGCGGCAACCAGGGCGGTGTTGCGACGGAGAACGTGGCTGTGCCGCCGCAGGTGATTCCTTTATCCCAGCTGGTGCTGCTGACGATGAAGGCCGTCAATGAGAGGGGGCTGTTGGACACTTGATCCGGAGGGGGGAAGGACGTGTGATGTGACAGGAGCTGAGAAGGCCTGCGAGGGGATAGACATTTGGTGTGTGGTTGCGCTGTCATGTAGTGTATATGTGGTCTGTGGAGTCCATCAACTTCTTTGTGACTCTGGTCGGCCAGCGGACATGAATGCATTCACGTCTAGCTAGAGGAAGACGGAACGGGTGGCAATATATTATCGATATTGATCAAGTTTGGAACACCGCAAACACTTCACGCTGCACCGCCTTTGGCATACATGTACAGAGATTGTTCTTGTCGGGTCGTCACGCCAACGACACAGTGTGTCCTGAACCACAAGACACATACACCTCTGAATGCCTCTCTTTACATAATCTCTCTCTCTCTCTCTCTCTGTGCGTATGTGTACCTTCAGCTCGTTGAGTGACGCTCTGTCAGAGTGGTGACAGATATGTGATATGTTGCGATATGTGTGGTAAGTGCGATGTTATGTTTGTGTGGTCTGTGAGTGTGGTCCATGCGGTCTAGCCAACACCGCAGATGCCTGAGTGTATGATTGGTAGCTGAGTCATGCCGGTCCAGTGACATCAAGAATATAAAATGCAGGCAGCAATGAACTCTGCACGCAATCGAGGGACAAACGAGAGACGTGCATAGAGACACCATGGCGCCTCTGCACACAGAGGATCGTTTGGTGTGGAAGGATTCCTCACTCAGTGCATGTGCCTTTACCTGTCGACTCGTGGCTATGCAGATGTGCCACCTTCCACACCGGCATCCGTCGGCCGTGGAGGTCCCTGCGGCTCAGGAACGACAGACACGTCAGCACCGTCTCCCACGACCTCACGCCGATCGCCCACCGCAGAGCATGAGTGTCGCGGACCCGCTGCAGGGATGACAAGGCCTCCGCGAAGGCGTGGAGGAAGGCCTGCTCGGGGCTGTACGCGTCGCACTCGCCGAAAATTCTGCCGTGCCGATGGGGTCTATGCGTGTGACAGAGAGTGCCGTCATCATCCGGGTGTGTGGGGGGCTGCGGCTGACGGCATGGATGTGAGTGGCGGCGGCCGACAGGGGCGTCAGGGAAGCGAAGGAGGTGCAGTGAGACGAGCTCGTTTTCGGGGTTGTCATCTCCCCACGTCCAATGGCCCGCAACCAGCGTGTCGCCCACGACGTCACGCCCATGGTCTGCGCAAATCATGGAATGTCGCGGACCCGCCCAGGGGCAGAATGACGGTCTGCTCGGGCACGAGTCCCTCATGCAGAGACAGGTGCATGACTGCTGTGGGGCGTATAGAATGTCAAGAAGGGGCCGTCTTGATATAAAATGTACACAGCGATCCACCTGCACAAGACACGAGAGACATGTGGACAAATAAGAAGAGGATCCCCTGGAGACAGCACCTCCAGTCGCGCTGCACAGTGCTGGCGTAGCTGCCTTGGGTGGGTCCACGGGGGCCGGTGGTAAGGTGTATTGGTACGGTGCCCGGGACACCAGCAGGGCCGCCCTTCGTCACCCAGCTGAGCCACTTCCTCCTCGCCGGTGCGGGCATGATGGTCCTCTCCTGCATGAGGCGCACCAGCTGCCCTCTCTCGGTCAGCCGGGATGGGCGTCATAAGTTGAAAGGCCATGGTCTTGGCGGCCTCGACCATTGGGAGGCCCTCGGTGATGAGGCGGTCGATATCAGGGGCTGGGTGTGAGTGGTGGGTAGTGGGAGTCGTCATGGCCACCATGACAGCGACAGCGTGTCACTTTTGGTGTAGTCCAGCAGTGTGAGGGCCCTCTCGAATCAGCTCTTGCGCCCCTCCAGCTGCCTGGCTGCCTGGCGAGGGACGCCGACACGTGCACCATCCCTGAGTGCTGCACCACCGCCTCCATTCCTGCAACCAAACAACACACAAAGCGTACCCACACACACTGTATAAGTGAATGCATGAACCACAAGTGTGTGGCCTTTCTTCCTCCACGGACCTGTGAGCGATGGGTCGACGAAAAGTTTGCCATATCCCACTGGGGCCGCCGCAGTGGGGCGTCTTGTGGAGAGCCGGCCGGTAATGAAGGACAAGGCTGCGGTGACGCCCGTGAAGCCCAGGTCCTTCAGGACCACGTCGCGCCACGTCGCCACGGCGACGTAATCTGCCACGCACTGGCGGTATGTGCTGCCGGCGGGTGGCTTGTACATGTATTGGGCCTCATCCAGGCCCTTCTTCAGGTGCTCAGCAGCTGCATCTCCGGCACCCTGCAGTATGGCTTGCCGCAGGCCTCCGGAATCAGGCTTCCCGTCACCATCTCCACGGCGTCGATGCGCGTGACGGACCCAAGGGGCAGTCGAATGCTCTTATGCTGCGTGCCGAGGTGCGGGGTGGCAGAGGGGCCGTCTTGGGCGTGGCGGGGCATCTCGACGATGCGCAAATGCACCTCAGAAAATGACAGCAGGGCGTTGGTCCGTCATCGTCCGTCCACACAAAGCCCCACAAACGGCAGCCGATTCTTCTCTCCCAGAATGGCGGGGTGGTTGGCGGCGACGTGGCGCACGTTGTTGGCCTGCAGCTTCTCGCTGACAGGTGGGTGGCCGCACCGCACACCACCTTGACGGCATGCATCCGTGTCGCACTTGCTGTAGTCAGCAGCAGCGGGCGCCGCAGCCACAGCAGCAGCAGCCTCCTCTTGGCCGAGCCGAGCACCAGCGCCACGGCGTGCCCTGATGCATTGCAAACAACCACATCCGTCCGTCCGTCCATGGTGCAGCCAAGCACTCAGAGATCCTTACCGAGGGGCGGCACGACTGAGCATCTCCATGAGGTTGTGAATGCCCACAGCGCGGGTGCGGCACTTATCGAGGAACCTGGCTGTCCGCTGGAAGGTGGCCTTACCCTCCATCATGTCTTCAGACACCGACAGACAGACAGACAGACAGACAGTGGGGACG